TTCACGAAGCACTAGTAAGGTCAGTTCGCTAGGACGTCGATGTATCACCACAGCGACAGTGACTTTCCATTCCATTGAGTCTAACATTGGCTAGCATACCAACACAAAGACTATACGATCATGACATCCTGCTACCTCAGATGAAAGGAAAAAGCATTGATTCGAACAGAAATTCATCATGGTAGAAGACACAGAGAATGCGATAATTAGTTAAATATTTGAATCCGTACTCGCGCGCTCAGCACCCCTAAAAAGTCCTCGAAGCTTTTTGGCCGTCGGCGCAGCAATTTCAATTGGTCAACGACTTCCTCCACCTGTGTGTCGTCGCGCAGCGTCAGTCGCCCTTCTTTGTAGATGCGGTAAAAGGCTTCCACCTGGCGCAACTTCCACAAATAATCTTTGTCCACTAGTCGGCCACCTTGCTCCTTCCTTTGGTGCGACCGCGATTTCATCTTCAGATACCAGTCTCGCGACCGCGAATTCATCACGAGCTCGCCGAATGTCAGCCCGCGCTCCATGGCGAAGTGCACGAGCAGTCGCAGGTTCTCGCGATCTACAAGGCGGGTTCTATCTTCCTCAAACCATTCCTGGTCCGTCTGCCACTTCGCCATCTTGCGCAAAAAGGGTCCGATCAGCTTTCCGCAGGTGTCGCGCTTGCTGTCGCGGCTACTTGGGCCGCGGGGTGGCGGGTCCATCATCTCCGTCGCATCGCAATGCTTCAGAATGTCCCACATGACCGCTCGGGAGCCGCAGGATTGCCACCAGGACTTCGGGTTCTTGCCTTGCACTTCCAAGATGACAAGCATGCCTTAGAACTGCCACAAATCCATCTCGGTTCCGCCAATCCGACCCCAACGTCTGCGAAGCTCGCATAATTGCATTCATCTCGCACTGGTCCCACTATTAAAGCTCAGCCTTCAATGGTCACTGACTCTGAACGGAAGGGACCCCCTTCAAAGCTTTCCCATGTCCCTTCGTTTTCCCCTGTTCTCTCAAGGGGTCGCCTCTTCTGTCTCAGTGACCAACTCCAATGACCATTGAAAGTTGAGCCTTAACACTACATCCCGATTCGCGCATTGCGCTAACACCGCGGCTTTAGCGACTCTCTTGTCATTCCGGAACGCGTCGTGGAACGAGTGAAACTGTCTGAAATTTTCTGCGGTCGGATGCGAATCCAGGAAGGGCTCGATGAAGCGCCTGGCGAAAGCCTCGCTAAGCTCTGGGGTGTTGGTCTGAAGGGGCTCTCCGGAAGCTTGGTCTCGCCAGAAGAACGGCGGGGCAGTGGCGGAAGAAGTCGGTGGATCTTCCACGACTAGCGCATGCTCTGCGCGTTTGTAGACGTCAACTGCGCTCAGCATCGCAGGATTCCCCAGAATGGCCGCAAGCCAGACTTCAGGGTCTTCCCTCCACCGCTTTCGCCACTGCTTTTCTTCGTCCGTCAACCTGACCTTTTCCTTGCAGTCGTCTCTAGCCTCGATCTCGAAAGCGTCATCGTAGAGGAAGTACATGTAACAGTCCGGATAGAAGTTCACGGCGGCGAGAGCCACGGCATTCTTGGAAGTCTTGGAAAGATGACCGGGGGAAGAAGCGCCCTCTGAGGAGCCTGCGGCTCGATCATGTTCTTCTTGCTCCTTGCTTTTCTGGACCAGCTGCGGGAGCACGTGACCGCGGAAGAACGTTTTGCGCTCGTCGCCGGCACGCGTGCAGACGTCATCTCCACAGTAGTTATTGTACATCTCAAGGCCGACGGGCTTCTCGGGCCAGCGTTGGTTGTACCCCGTGCTGAAACCGCGATCTTCCTTCATGGCGGCCAGTCCGTCCAGCGGGTCGTCGCCAAAGCCGGGCTCTGCCTGCTTGCGCGCCCGAAACGCCGTTAGCGCGGTTTTCCGCCAGCGCCCATTTTTCCAGTTGTTCAGGATGCCATCGCGCGAAAAATAGTTCGGCTCGGGGTCGGGGTCATCAACTTCAATCTTTTGATCGTCATCACTTTTCTTCACTTTTTCGTGGTCCAACTGGCGATCAACATCGACTTGTTCCATCAGGTCGTGCTCACGCTCACCACCGCAACCACAGCACCCTCCTTGCCCCTCATCATGTTGCTCCCGTTCCCACTGAGCGACCATTTCTCTGATCAGAGGAAGATTCATGATTGCGTCGTCGTCGCGGATCAACTGATCGTCCTCTGCTGGCTCTACTTCAGCGGGACTGACAGCATTGTTCTCCGGCCACAGCTTGCTTCCTAGCCATCTTCTGGGCGTCAGCATACGGCCCGCACCCCGATTCACCCAGCACCGTGCCTCCCAGTCGTCTCTTGCGTGTCTCTCTGACAAAGGGTCGTCCCACCCATCCAAATCGAGCCTGTCGCCACAGTCGTCACAGTCGACGTCACAGCAATAGGTGTAGCAGCCGTCGTCACAGTCGTCGTACGTCGCACAAAGCCCAACTCCCTGGCCCACCTCCTTGGCATTTTCGATCGCCTCCGCTTCTTGGATTCCTCGGATTAGAGCTGCCGACAACTACCGATATCTTTTAGAAGAACATCTTTTAGCTCACTTTTTAAGTAGAACAAATTCGCTAAAAGATGGTGTAAGAGATTCGTTGGCGTTACCCGTAATCGGATAGCGACGAGCCAGTAGTTGCGGGGGTCCTCCGCCGAATGGTAGGCCGCAGTCAATATTAGATGAAGGGCGGAAGCGGATGCGGCACCAGTCGCGACATCTTCTTGCTCTCTTCCTGATCTGTTGTACTGTGAAGCGGAAGCGCGGTGCAGATGTTCTTCTTGCTCTGCTGCTGCTGCTTCGGTGTGGGCGAGTTGCAGTTGTACCTCCCCCCTCATTTCCGTGATGTCATCGCCACCCAGATACACTTTCGTGTTTTCAACGGGTATGCTCAAAAACTCGCTAGCCCTCTGAATCAGGCTCCTGATGTCGCCGGTGAAGGTTGTAGTCAGGCCTCCTGTATTCGTCGTGGCGCCAGTTGCGGGAGGTGACATGGGAATGTGTTCGCCGCCCGTCGTTGCGAACAAAGAAAATGTCAAATGCTCGCCCATTGTCGTGATACTCGCAGATGCTTGAGATGAAAAGAAATTTGAAAGTTAGGCGCCGACTCGTCATATATGAAGTAGCGCACGCAGTTCGTTGCATCCGTGACGCACAGCCGTGCTTTCTATCACGGCAACAGCGTGGTTAGGTTTGGCGCTGTTTGCAGTAGCTCAAATGGCCGGCCACTGACAAGACGGCTGACGCAGTTGGTTTTTTGCTCCTGATGATGTTCTTCCTTCTGTGCTTGTCTATCATGACCCTGCTGGTCTTTACTTTAGTGCAGTACTATGGTGATCATGATGATGGTTATCTTTATGATCCTGTTCCTGGTGCTGTCCTTTGATCTACGATCTAGCACCTTGTTGGTGATCGTTGTGATTGCTCTGTTGTTGACCATGGTCATCGTGCTGGTGCTGATCTTGGTCTTGGTAGTTCTTTGCTACTTCTTTCTTACCTTTGTATTCGGGATCTGGCTCTGGGTATTGACGTCGCATCAGCTTGAAAAAAGTAATTGGGTGTTGTTGTCCTTTGCCCTCACGTCGTGGCCCTCTTCATCTTGTGCCCCTCTTCAATCAAGGAAGGATAATGCTTCTACTAGGTTATGTTACGTATGCGAATTTAAGTGGGAAGGGTAAGGGTCTCATCGTGACAGCTCTGCGCGGCTACTGTTTCAGCAACCTGATGTTGTTCCTTGTGAATCCTGTGGTATGAAAGGATTGTGATCCTATTCGCTGTCCACCGAAGAGGAGAACAAGACTTCGAGAAGTGCAAGAATGGATGCAATACAACCATGAATCTTCTCGCACAAAATGCTGCTGCTCAGTCTAATTATTAGTAAACTTCTCAGAAATGAACACTGCCCTGACAAAAAGCACAACCCACGACCCCGACCGCTGCTAACAACTACAACTTGCAGTCCTTTCCTACAGCTATCTTACCAGGACGTGCAACGAGCTTCAGTGTGTGTGCTCCTAGAGCAGAGAATGCGTTCTCAAGTGTGTCAACACATTCTCAATCTCATGGTGTGTTCACTTTTCGTCTACTACATGCTTATGATTCGCGGCTGCGATGTAGAAATGAAGATCCCTAGTAGTCGAGATGGGATCATTTCCCTAGTGATGTAGAAATTGTCCCTTTGACGTTGTGAGTCTGGGACGACGACGAGCTCCTCTTCGCCCAAGTATTCATATTCAATTCAATTCATTGGCGCGACTCCATCTCCCCATCACTGGGCGTAGTCGACTAGAGCCACAAAAAACGGCACACCAGGTAAACGAATCTACCATGTGGAACCGAGTCTGACACCAACAGCCCCCGATCTCTTATTCTTCCGAGAAAGGTCCGACTTGAGGCATCACTGGAGCGTGTGGGTATTCGTGCTGGCACGCGCGCTTTTACGTCCAGAACACCGATCCACGGGCCAAAGCACGAGTGACAGTGACAAAAGGAGCTGGGGCGCTGCTACCTATATACTCTATCTACCACCAAGTTACTTGCAACATTCAACTAGCAAGGTCTTGGGCACCCATCTTTCCTTTCCAATGTTAATTATAGTACTTTTGTCTAACTATGCTAATCTTCTTAAGTCACCGTCGCCCATGCTTTCGACACGACCAATGTCCTAGACGGCCCAATGCTGCGGCACTTGCTGATTTTTGGGTTTTATTTTTACTGGTGATGAGTTTTTCTCTCTGAGCCGATTTCTGCTCTTCGACTTCTTTTTGCGTGCTGCCTACCCTCGAGCATGCATATGCACTGCGTCCTTTTGCGAGCGCGTCTTGCACACTTGCAGGGACTTGTTATTCCATCCATCCGTCTGTAGCTATTTCCGCTGTTGCTCCCCTGTTGCTTTGCTCTTCGTTCCGTACCCCTCGCCGATGTCACGAGATCCATCATGTTTTTTCTTTTTCTACCTGCCTATCTGTCTTACCTACTTGCAATTCAGATCTTTTCTTCACTCCTGTAGTTCCGCCCTATTCTGCATCTACCCTCTGCTTCACCACTCCTGATCTCCTTATTTCAATACTTCTCAATCGGTTCGATTTTATTTGATTTTCATCTGAGCGTCTGCGCCTTTAATCTATTCATCGACCCAGCTCTGCTTGTTCGGATCATTTTCGCTACCGTGGGAGCTCCTCTCCTAATGATCTTTGCGAATTTTTTCGATTCGATGATCTATTACTGCCTCCTTTCTTTATCTTCCTAAGGGCTACCTCTTTTCGAGTGTTCATCCAAGAATTATCATTCCAGATCGTGCTTTCCAAGGCAATGAAAAGTTTGATGTGACAGGGCTGGCTTTTCAATACAATCACACTTTAATGCCCCTTCTCTTCGTATCCAGCTGTCTTTCACACGTGTTTATTTATTCCAGAGCCTTCCACTTTCACCTTCTTTGGGATTTTTATCCGTTACTTCTGCTTTCAGTGCGTCTATTTGTTTCTGAGTGATGTGATTGTCTATTTCTATGTTCCGGAACATTCCTGGCGTATACTTGACTCCGTTGGGATCCCACGTCTCTGGTCTTCCTCTGTGAGCTGTTTTCACCATCTCTCTGTCAAATGCCGGTCCTGGCTCCATCTTCTTTTGCTTTGATAGTCCTACGACTTGCCGTACTACTTCGTCCCTAGCTTCCTTTTTCCACTCGTCGACATCTGGATGCTTTTTCCTAATGAAGTCCATGGCATACTTGTCAGAGCCATATCCTTGTTTCCCTTTTGGGTCAGCTGCCTCCTCATATTCATTAGTACACTTGTTGCTTTAATGCCATTACCAGGCATCCAGGTTGCTACATAAAAGTATTATAGCTGTATAAGCGATAGCATGGGTGGTCTACCATTTATTTTGATGCCCATGTCTGCTTCGGTCGCGAATTGATTCAAGCTTGAGTTTTTCCAAGTTCGCTGCCGTAGTTCTTACAAGAAGTATTGGTATTCATTATTTCAGTATGAGTGTACTGCACGATGACAATCTGTGTACTTATGATTCAAAAAGCAAATTTGTGGTTAGATGATGATCATCTAACCAAGTAAAAGAATTACTCATAAAACAAGACCTCAAATAATACTGTCGGCTCGTACATCAACCTGTGATGTGAGACACGATGGACATCACTCTTCATCTTCCTCTTCCGGTGCTGCCTTGTGCAATTGATTGTAGACCCCACCAAGAGCGAGAAGTTCATCGTGCGTGCCTTCCTCCACTAGGCGTCCTGCTTGGATCACCTTGATGGTCGAGTAGTTTTTGATGGTCGACAACCGGTGGGCGATCGTGATCACGGTCAAATTTCCCTTTGTCCGCTGAATCAACTGGTCAATGGCCACCTGCACTTCCAGTTGAGAACGGTTGTCTAGTGCACTAGTCGCCTCGTCGAGCAAAAGGATTTGGGGTTTGCGGATGAGCGCGCGCGCGATCGACAGTCGTTGCCGTTGACCGCCAGAGAGCAGGCTCGCGCGTGTACCCAAAGGCGTATGCCAATCAAACGAAAATTTAGAAGCACCTTCTTCTGCCCCTCCTGCGTGCTTCATCTGCGTGGCACCATTTAGAAGAAGCAGTGGCTGTTCTTCCCCACCGTCAACAGCACCCACATCTTCATCTCCACCAGCTTCTGACGGTTCTTCCCCACCGTCAGCATGATCCACATCTGACGGCACAAAAGACGGGGGTGCAGTTGGCGGACCCAGGAAATCCACGTTCGCCATTCGCGCAGCCTCTGCCACTTGTTCTACCGTAATCGATTGTTGCTCGTCTGCTGTCAACCCATAGACCAGGTTGTCCCAAGCCGACATGTCAAAAAGCACAGGTTCTTGACCAACGTACCCTATGATATTGCGCCACGACCTCAGGTCTGCAGATCGCAAGTCGTGCCTATCGTTCAACACCAAACGTCCAGCGTGCGGTCCATGCAACAGATACTTCACGGGATCCCGGTTTCGCTTGTAATTTTCTCTAAGGAAGAGATTTGGATCGTAGAACCGCATCAAAAGCTGCATGATGGTGCTCTTCCCACTGCCTGAAGGCCCACAAAGCGCTACGGATTCTCCCCGACTGATGCGCAGAGATAGCCCACGCAAAATGGGTAGTTTAGGTCGTGCGGGATAGCTAAATCTAACCTCTGAGAATTCTAAGGACCGGAAAGTTGGCACCCTGTGGAGCCTGGTCGTTTTGCCGGAAGAGTACGCTTTTAGGACACTTGGATGAATCAGCGACTGGTCGACTCGTGACTGCAAAACCTCTACTCGCACTGCTGCTCGCTCTATCAGCTGCTGTCGTTTCTCGGGAGAAGCTTTTTCAAAAGTGGTCTGAGCCTTGCTTCCGTAGTTTTTCCGAATGTTTCTCTTGTACTCGTTAAATTTCTCCACTGCGTGATCCCGTTTGAGCAAATCCAGCTTCGCCTGTTGCACCTCAATCGCACTGGCGCTGATCGCTTTGACGCGCAGTGGTCGCGGGAGCATGTTATCCCGGTCGTCAAAGGCGTATTGGATAGACGGCTGCCTATCCAAAACCTCGAAGAGCGTTACTGCGGCTAATTTCGCTTCAGGAAGATCGGACGCCAGGAGTTCGGCTACACTTGCAGCACTACCAGCAATCAGCAAAAAGACGAAGAGGATGGTAAACACCGAAGTGCCATCGTTCATTCCCAGCACAATTAAAAACGTCCCAACACCAAGCACAGTAAGGAACAGCACGCTGTTCGCCGTCTCCATCAGGCCTTTGCAGTAGGCTTGGCGCCAACAAATTTTGAGGTTCTCTTCTTGCTCCTTGACACTCAAATCTTTATACCGTAAGTAAAATTCTTCCAACCCATTCAAGCCCCTCAAAGTACGAATGGCGAAAATACTTTCGTTAGAGCTTCATCCCAGAAAGAATCCATCTGGAAGAAAGCCATCCTGGGCTTCTTTTTCCTCTCTGTCTTTAGAGAGGAAAAATGTCCCAAGATATGACATATTATACATAGGCTTGACACCTCGCTCCTGGAGGAGACGGATTCCTTGAAAAGCCTTAATCTCGGTAATATACAACATGGCGACAACCGCAGGCGTTCTTCCATTTTCGTCTTGGTTGGACACATCAGACGAACCCCCATCCGCGTGTCGCGCGACGAACACGAGCAACATCGCGATCCCCACAATTGCGATCATCAAAACGAGAGACAGTAGCCAGCCAGTCCAAAACGCTACCACCAGAGCCCCAATCGCTCCGATGAGGTACGCAAGAAGATTTCCTAGATTAGAGGTTACTTAAAACAAGTCTTTTCTTCCCTGAAGGAATTTCTTCAGCATGAGAATGATTCCAAGAGGATTCCAAGAGGAATTCGCCGAAGAGAATGAGAATGGTCCTTGGAAATGAATTGTCTAAATCGACCCTTAACTAGCGACTGAATGACGCGAGCATAGCTCGCGACGGACCGCTGCAGCAGCACCGCTAATCGTCCAGCCGTGTTAGGACCATATTCGTGCCACATCATTTCCTGGCAACAAATGGAGCGAAACGCACGGACCCGCAATCTGGTCATGGTTTGGACAGTGATTTTCGTGTACAAAACGTTTTCTAACAATGTTGTGCAGGTGAGGGCAAGGCCACAGATCCCTAACCCTACGGCGCCAGCGTCGAGCCACCATCTCCCAGTGTCATACAACTCCTGGGCCATGGCTTTTTTTCCCGGGTCCACATTCGGATTACGCAGCGCCAATTGGGCTTGTGGCACCGCACTGTTGGCGGCTAGAGTCTTCACTAATACCCAAGCTGAGAAAGGACGCAAGCAGCCGCTGATGAAGGACACGGCTAGCGCGGAGGTAAAGTAGAGACGGCGCTCTTTTGGACGCGTGTATGGATAGGTCAGGAGACGCCGAATGATTTTGGAAAGAGAGACTCTTTTGACGAGTCTCTCTTCTCTGGTCTCCTGTTTGCCTCTAGCACGCTGTCTCGCAAGGCGCGCGTCGGCGCGGGCCCTCTGGGTTTCCGCATCCACTTCTTCATCGTCCTCTTCGTCACCATGATTTCCACCTCGTTCGTCCTCACTTTTGTAGTCTAGACTGCCACTCGACACGGACGCAGCACTACTCGGTTCCCCTCCACTCACCACCAATTGACTGCTCGCGGCCGAGTCAGAAGCACTACCGCCATCTTCGTCAGGCCGCTCATTGTTGGCAGCACTGCTACGACGTCTACGCAACTGGCCCATCGACGTCGCGTATTCAACATCATCCTCAGTGCTATCGCCAGAAACCGCGCTGCTAGGTGCATCGTCATCTTCCCCAGCCACAGCCTTGTAGTTTCGATCTTCACGAGCTTCTGGTTCTTGTTTATGTAGAAGTTCTCCAGAATTTTTACTATAGTGGCTGCTGAAGGCAGATACTTTTTGTCGCTCCAGCATATCCATCACAACCTCTCTTGCAGCCATCTCCTGGCCGACGTCAGCACTTCGGAAATAAGGGAAATCTGACGACTGCTCACCTTCACGGCCTCGCAAATAGTCATCATCCATTCTTCTGTGGTCTGAAGAAGACTTGTAGAAGCCAAGCTGGGTTTCATCTTCCTCTTGGTCTTGAAGGTGTTGTACTTGATTGTGTACTTGTAGACCCCGCAAAGAACCACCACTCAATTGCCGTCCATGTTCTGCCCCCAACATCAAGTTACCTACTTGTTTGCCTTTAAGTTGAAGGCTTCTTTCCATGTTTCTGTGCAAACTTCCAGCAACCGAGACCTCAACACGTCTTGGAATTATGCTAGTTGTAAGTGGTGAAACTTTGATGCTGGTGTTAGTCAAGGTTTTAGAAGAAATCGCCGATGACAAACCTCCCTGGGCTGTCTCGCGTGAGCCTGTCGCCGAAAGGTCCGCACGCTGATTCTCCAAATCACTCTCCGAGTCCGAAGGGCTGCTATCGTTATCGGCAACGAGTTTGTCTCGAGCACTCCTTTCTTCCTCGTCAGAGGAATGCGCAGCGAGAGCTTCTGCGGCACTACTGCGTGATGGCGGACTAGCATCACCGCGTCGAGGTCTAGTTGTATCACCACTCCGAGGAATCCCACGACGGTGGCGGTGCTCATCACGCTCAGCACGGTTGCTTCCACTGGGAGTGACGTAGGAGATACCGTGTTGGACCGTATTAGAGCTATCGCGTCGCTGCATCCCTGAGCATCATCATATCCTCGGACACTCACTTCTTTTCCACCTTGAAAAAGAAGAACAATCAAGTTCAAGGATCATCATGATAATAAGGAGACATCACATCACGCTGCAGCGATAGCCTTAACAATAGTTGCGACGGATTGCAGCAGCGGAGGGCTCATGTTTTCTGATGCAAAAGGGTCGCGAAGATGATCGCCTCCCGCATTGTTCCTTCCAGCACCTGTCATGGCCATAGATCGAATCGGGGTTTGCATATTCAGTAAATTGCGGACACCGCTACGAACCATCGCACCAGTGCCGTCAGCATCTTCGTCTTGTTCATCGTTGTGCAACTCCGCACCCATGTTCTCTTGGTGGTTGTAGACTCCGGGACCAAAAGCAGGAGAGCCCTGACCTCCTATAGGGTTCATCATAGTGCCAGCAGTGTAAGACATAGTCGCGTTGCTGCTTGGTTGGGAACCTGAAGATGATACCTGCGAAGACTTCATCTGCTGAAGAGATGATGCCAATTTAGTACGGTTGCTTTTATTGTATTGGGGGCTGCTGCTTCGTCGATGGCCTCCACTTGTTCGTTGATGGCTCCCACTTGTTGTTACATCGATGGACCGTGGACTCACAGATTTTTGCTCGCCTCCACGACGTTCGGTGGTGAGCCTCGCGCTTTGCGCCATAATGTTAGAGCTACCGCGGTCGCATCCTCCCTGAGAGGGATATGATCCTTCAGCTCTTCTTTTTCAAGTAGAAAAAGCGCCAAGTAGCATGATGTTGTGAGGATGCGCCAGCGCCAGTGGTAGCCATAATAATGCTTGCCGTGACCTGTTCCCGCGAAGAATTCTTTTTAACCTGCTGCACCATACTAGCGTACAAGCCGGTGGCGTCCCGCAACAGCTCTTCTTAGAGGTCACGGAATTACATTCCTGCTGAGAACATGATCCCTGGCTTCTTTATTTCTACTAAGAAATAAAGAGCTAGGGATCATGGTAGTGAGGAATGCAATTCGAAAACCGCCCTTAATCTTCATGGGTACCAACTTGCGCCAGACGGCCCTCGTTGAGGACGAAAATCTTGTCGCAGTTTTCGACTGTGGAGAGCCGATGTGCCACCACCACTAGCGTCATCTTCCATCGTTGACGCGTTGCACGACCCAAAGCCGTATTATTCTTAGACCTTGTAGCTCCAAGTTCAAGTCCAACTCAGGTGTTCTTTCATCTTGTCCGTGAAACAAATACCAAGAAAGATGCTTTGAGACCTTAATACCTAAGACAAAGTGCTATTAGTTTTACCTACAGAAGGAAATGCTCCCAGAGTGAGAGATGTTTTACCTACAACAAGATAAACTTCCTTGTTATCTTTGTAGAAGTAGATGGAGCCATAATACTAGTTGCGCTCCCAGTTGCTTCTCGCAATGGCCCTACAGAGGGCCCACCCAGTGCGTCCAAGCACTCCATTACCTGCTTTTCGGACTCCATATCCAACGCGCTCGTTGCCTCATCCAAGATCAAAATTGCCGGATTCCTTAGTATCGCGCGAGCAATTGAAAGGCGCTGCTTTTGGCCGCCAGAGAGGAAGACTCCAGTGGAGTCGAGGCCCGCAGGCAACTTGTCGATCCAATCCCGCATCGTCACTTGCGTCAAATTAGACCTCCTTTTTACCTATAATAGTATAGATTAATTCATCTGGAAGTTTTTATCTTTGGCATCTACTTTTTCCCTTAAAAAAGAGGTCCAAGATGCGTCTGATCATTATGAATGACGGAGGTAAGGAGCCTTAATCAAAGTGTCCAAGATGGTGTCATCGTCGATGCAGCGACGCGTCTGGCCGTCAATGCCTAGAAGCAAGTTTTCTCGAATCGTCAAACTGGAAAAGAGTGTCGGATCCTGGGAAACCACCCCTACAGTTTTGCGGAATTCACTTGCCGACAGAGAAGGCAAAGTGTAGCCGTTCATACGAATGCTACCGCTCACCGGATCGTAAAAGCGTTGCAACAGCTGCAAAACCGTGCTCTTTCCGCACCCACTGCCACCGACGAAGGCGACTTTTTCGCCAGGATTGATCAAGAGTTAAAGGTAGAAACATTTCACTTTTAAAGAACAATCTTAAAAAGGCAGAAAAGCATATTTATTGGGCTTTGCCCAATAAAGAACAACAAAAGTACAAACAACCTCTAATATTATGAAATCCTAAGCGCATCGTTTGCTGCCTATAGTAAAAATGAAATGTTTCAACCCTTAAAAGAAGTCCAGCTCCTTCAAGACGCGTTTTTCCGGACGCGTCGGGTAGAAGAAGTCTACGCTGCGACCGACCAGGGTCACTCCTTGTTGAGCCTCGAGGAAGGACAACCGCAGCGGCGCATTGCGAGATTCTAAGAGCAAGTCACGAAACACTTTTGGATCCGCACGCAACAAGGACTTGGCCGGCGTCCTCACGCAGAGAGAGGTGTGGACTCCGCGTCCGCCTCCTGGGGTAGCAGGTGGAGGAATTATTAAGGCACCTGTGCTAGACAGTTGCTCTTCCACAATGTTAGGTAACACCATAGTCATAGGAGCTCCTGCACCTCCTGCTCCCCTAGAATCTGTTGTACCGGTAGTCTCTCCTCCTGCGCTTGGCGATGTAGATCCTCCAGATGAAGATAGTAAGGATCCTTCTAGAGAAGAAACCAATAACGCTTTGTTTCCGTTGCTGGTTCGCAAAGTGGCCACATCTTGCCCATTCCAGCGCACGAGTCGGTGGCCGGCGCACACGCCAGCACGCGCTGCTAAAGAGTCGGGACGCACATCGAGAACGAAGAGTGTGTACGCCCAGCTCGAACCCGCATTCTGGTCTCTGCTTCCCACCTGTTCGAGACGGAAGCCAAGAACATCGAAACAGAAGTCTTCCAGTGTTTTCGTTTTTATCGAGTCTTCGTGTACATTTGCTGCAACGACTTTAACCTCAGCTTGCGGCACAATAGCCTCCCACACGTTCTTATCTTGTAATTGAGCCTCTGCTTAGACCTTCAACATCCTGAAATCTTCCATCTACGTACAAGTGCATCCTGGAACTACCTTTTCCCCCTTTAAAAGGGTCCCAGGATGGCTGAAAGTGCATCCTGGAACTATCTTTTCCCGTTCCCTCTTACATTTAAATATCGTTGAAGCCAGCCTAACTAGGAAAAGACAGAAGTCAGTGATAGAAGTACTTTATTAAGACTAACGCTTTCAGAATGGTGCTGGATAGGATAGGATAGGATAGGATTTGATTCACCGTCCACAGTTCTTGAAGATGGATTATTCAAAATTATTGTAGAAGCCTTAATCTGCATTCCCTTCTTGGCTTGGACTTGATGGAGTGCCTCCAGCTGCAGGCATCCACGTGGCCCACCTTTTGCGCACAAGCGCATCCAGTGTCGGGAAGTCGCATTCCACTAAGTAAGCACGTGAATCCTCTTCGTCATCGTCGCGATTTTGTGGTATCTGTTCTAGTTGCGCTTCTAGAGTGCCAAACAAGCCGCCGAGCCCAGTCTTTACTGCGGTCTTGCCGCCATGGGCGAGACAAGCTTGCACGAGTTGCGTGCGCATCGGACTCACTAGGCTTGCGGTGGTGCCTGTCGCTGTTCGTGCTGATGACTCATTTGTCGAAGGTGAACGTGAAGATGCCCCTGCACCACCTCCTCCTGCACCCACTTCTGGCACGAGAGGAACGACTACACGACGCACATTCTCCGCTCCACCTCCACTTAAGATGCCCTTAGAAGCGTCACCTTGCTTAACAATTGCGCGAGGAGAGGTAGCGTTTTTGTCCAGCATGCCACCCTTTTTACCAGAGACAGTCTCGTTCATCTGCCGCATTTCGGCCGAGCCGAAGTTGAGATGAGGCAAATACTGCAATTCTGCGACTGTAAGTTCTAGTTAGATCTTCCCGGAATCCATCTTGAAAGTCATCTCGGGTCTGTTTTTCCCTTACAAGATAGCACCGAAATGCTTCTGATGATGGAATTCCGGAAGCCTTAATCTAAGCGGTCATCGCCGAATGACAAGCCTGGTTCTTGCTCGTTTCTTTTCACCAGCGACAAAACATTCGCAAAGCTAATACGGAAATCCGCAAAGACGATCAAATAGCTAGCTGCCGATTGTAGCTGGATCAGTCCTAAAAAGACGTAGAAATTAGAGCTGGCCCAAATTAGTTCACCTTCTTTTGAGCAGCATCCTGAGAGCTTTCACCCTTTGTAATCGTCTCCAGGATGCTTCATCTGACATGTTCTTCTTCCCTTCCCATTGGAAACAGGTTGAGAGAACAAGGGTGCATATTAAGAATGAAAATGAATCAGATAAGAACATGTTTTAAATTGAAAAAAAATCACAGATGAATTTTTAGCGAAAGTAGCCATAAAAAAGATGACTGACACGACGTCAGGAGCCGAAACATTCTGCTTCCAGGTGAAGATCTGCAGTCGTCCGAAAATAAGCGCAATGGCGATAAAAATGTAGATGGCCGCTGCTTGAAGCCCGACTGCGAGACCTAGTTTGACCACCGTGTCTTAGACAGAGCTCAAAACTACAATTCATCTTTGCTTCTTCCCTTCATTTCCTCGGAATCAATCCCAAGGGAGAAACCGAAGAACATGACAGACCCTTGAAAATGAATAATGAATTAAATTGTGTCTCCGAGCCTTAAGTGTCCGTGTAGGCGGTCTTCGCGCGGTTGCAGGCTTGCGCATAACCTTTCACTTCCCTTCGCTCTGTGGAGAACGAGAACAGAGTGCGGATGGATCGGAAACACTCTTCCGCGATGGACGCGGCTTCGAGATAGCCCTTGTCGGTTCTCTGGGTTTGTTCACTCTTCACTTTGAGCATCCAGGAGGCGCTGCCGTACACCCCGACCACTGCGGGAATCATCATCAGCGTGAGTGCCCAATTGGCGATGAAAGACATTCCCATGGCACCAAAAAATGCGCCAACATTAGAGAGATTTTTGCAGGAATGATCGGGATTACATAATTCATCCTCTGAATGTTCAGAACATTCATCTCAGGAGCCTCTTTTCATCTAGCAGAAAATAGGTCATCAAGGACGTTGCCAGTGGAGGAGGATGTTGTACTTTTCGAACTAAACAAGTGGCCTTAACTAAACTGGCCAAACAGTTGGCTAGCTTTGCGCCAGTGGCCAGTCGCATGCGTTGGCAGTCCAGGGCAATTTGCTGCGGCAATTCCAGCTCTGAATTGCGGTCGAACCAGGCGCAGTCTTGCCGCAAAACTGCCTTTAGATACAAGCGCTTCGCCCTGGCGATTTGCGCCTCTGCCGCTGAGTCGATCAGGTAGATTGAGACACTGACGAAGAGCCAGGTGTACAAGCCGAGTCCGATCAGGCATTAGAGTGCGTCGTTCCCCTAAATTCACATCCTGCAGACGAGGATCTTTGACGGCAGACGAGTATCTTTGACGTGTTACTTTTCCCCATCTAAGGAGCTTAGGAAAGCGGCCAAAGATGCTAATGCTTTATTTACCATTTACTTTTTAAGATCATGAATCTATATATCATTGTTACTGTTACCTTTCCCCATAAGGAGCTTAGGAAAGCGCCGGTCAATGCTGAAGATCATGCTTCTATCTTTGTATTAAGAAGATGAGTTTACTTTCAAATTCTGTAAAAATAAGGAGCCTTAAAAGTAGCAAAGAGGCTTCCAGCTGATTGACCAGACTGCATGGCCTATATTGGCAGCGTCCTTGATATCCGCCTCTTCAGTGCGCTTGATGTGTTCATTGAGGACCATGAAAGCGAGACCTCCTGGTAAGGTTGCGATCAGGGCGAAGATTGCGCCGAAAATGTACTTCGCTTTCTCGCAGGGGTGAGCGACGAAGTAGAATAGCTTCGCAAACCCAATTTTGTTCGGAGGAATCGCGCCCGCAGCGTTCAGCTCATAGGTACGGTTGTCTGGTGCGATCTCGACCGAAAACCTTTGCAAGTTGTACTCCAGAGGCATCTCGAACACATCCTGCTGAGGTCCTTCCGATTCCCTCGTCATTCTGCTCATCGCGGCTTTTGTGCCTCTCCCATGAAAATTACTTTTATGGTCGTGACCAAAACCATGGCTTTTTTTGCTCGTCCTTCTTGTATTAGCGCTCTTCAGGTTAGGTTAGGTTAGGTTAGGTTAGGTTAGGTTGTGAATCCTGCACATCAAAGCCCCCCGGCACCTGGCACTAGTCATAATTCATCTTCTTTTATTGAGGGCATATTAGATAGTCTCAGGCTCAGAAACCAAGGAAAAGGGAAACGTCATAATATCCTCACGAGACACCAAAAGAGATAAAGAACAAGTCCTTGACCTTGTGGAGACAGATGAATCAATAGTATGAGCCTTAATTCTTGTTGAACCTGGTGCAGAGGAGTCGGGTACTTTCTTCTTACTCGCATGTGCTGCGCTGCTCCTCTCGGCTAAAACCAAAGAAGAAAATTCCTCATCCACTTCATCTGAGTCTTCGTCGTTGTCTTGAAGATGTCCTCCAGTGTGCTCTTGAAGATGTTCAACAGAACCAAGTGCAGCAGCGAGTGCGCCTCCTCCTCCAACACTACTGTTATAGTCACTGATTGACCGATGCTCTTCGACTGAGTCAATCGTTACAGTAGGCCTCGGTATCCAATAGTTCCTGCTATCTTCAAAAAGCTGCTCCGTTGAGGTGACCGAAGCGTCGTCGCCACCATCTCCCACTTCGGCCATTGTCCCTTCTTTTGCAGTAAGTAAGAACAACGACGTGAAGAAACTTGGTAAACAAGAACGAGGAGAACGTGGAGGACTATAATAACTGTAGTTGCTTCTTGTGGTGGACTATAACTGTAGCACGACCACAACAAGCTCCGTGAGTGATGATTGGTGGAAAATGTCGCGGCTAACTTATCAATAGTTACACGGACGTACTTTGTCATCTATAAGGATAAAAGACTAGGGTAAAAGGCAAGGGTCGTAAAAAGCCAAGGGAAAGTGATCAGCCAAGGGGTCGTAAAAAGCCTGATCATGATGGAAAAGAAAATGGAGATCGAGTCCAATGCGAATTATACTCAGAATATTTAATGTTCATAGTACTTAATTCAGATCCACTGAACATGGTACAATACGTCGCGCCCACTCATAGAAGTACAGACTTATCCTCTCACTGTACAGACACATTTATGTTTGCTCCAAGCTAGAAGTAGACATCTCAGATCCAGAAGATCCTCAATGCAGTTGCAGTAGAGACGTCTTCACATCAATCACAAAGTTGTACTCTCAACGTGAAAAGATCATAGGGACAGACCACAAACGCAATTCTCACAGATCGCAAATGTAATTAGAATGACGAGTGCTCTCACACTCACCCATATACAGATTACAATTCACAGTATCACTAGCAGACGATGATCCACTCTGAAGACGAACGCCTATCTAGGGAAGATGCTGCAAACATCCCATGCAAGCCATGAGCAGCTTTCCGCCAGTCGTGGACATGAGAGATGATCTCGTATGTGTTTTTTTGACGAGCATGATTATACTTATCCAGCCAATGCCAACATCTCTTTGTAAGTCTATATATGAATATTTATACTTATCCAGCCAACATCTCTTTGTTAAGTCTATATAAATATGAGAGGTAATTCCTTCTGAGAGATCGCCTCGACTACGCATTCGTTGCTGTGTTCAGCAGCGGATCTTTTCTCTGCCTCCTGCTACGCAATTGAAACCCTCGGAACTGCACGATCAACGTTATTCTTCACTGAGTGAGTTATTTTTATTATACGGTTACTCTATCTCCTGCTACAGAACGATCAGTCTCCTGCTACCGTTGATCGTTACTTCTATTTCCTTCTTACGATCAGTCTCCTGTAGAAGTAACGCTCTATCTCCTGCTACTGTATATGAACTGAACGATCAACGGTTACTCTTCCTCCTGCTACGCAATTGAAAGTCCCGGAACTGCACGATCAACGTCCTATTTAATTGTGAGTTATTTTCATTCCTGGTACTACCATTATTCCTAGTACTATCATTCTTGCTTGCTCATCAACAGCCATTTTTTTGCTTTTTCGAATTCGATTCCAGGTAACTGCTTCCCCGCCTCTTCCAGCGAGGTCAAATGTTCCAAGACCACAGACGCCAAACCGTTGCGAAAAGCTGCAAAGGGGATGTCCGCACACCCCTTAATCGGCGTGCGAAGCAAGGGACCCGTGGTCTTCTTGTCGTCGGAAGATTGTTGTCCTTGTTCTTCTCGAGTCTCGAAATTGTTCCGAGTCTCCGTCAGAGTTGGTACGAGAGCGTAGCATGTGACTTTCTGATCCTTCACTTCGAGAATGATAGAAACGCTGTAGGGCAACTGGTTCCAGTACACGGCTTCTCCTACTATACCGCCAGCGGGAAGACGCAGTTTCTTGGGGTCCTTGTTCACAGGGTCCGAAACAGCACACCCCGTATAAAAGTAGTTTTCACGATACAAAGGCACTGCGCGAGACCAGCTCTTCTGTAACGCTTTACGCACAAACGATACAACAACGTCATGAGACACACAGGCAACCAGGTTCCTCTTTGCAGCAGGCAAGGAGGACCCGGCCAAACTGGAGGTAGCGGGATCCAAACCTTCGCAGCCGGTTTCCGTATTCATATAGTTTTTTATCCCAGAAGAAGTGTTATCTTCAGTACGCCGGCTGCAGTTGATCTCCAACGAACGCAATAGCAAAATGAGAAAGGGGACGCCGATCAACTTGAAGTTTTCGTCCGTGTGAAATTGTTCGAAAAATTGCTCCGACGCGTAGTAACCTCTTTGGATGCGTTCATCTAAGTCCTTCTCCAAATCCTGCTCATTCACGTTGAAAGGCGTCGTTGTGAAGCGCTCGTGCCCGAGCTTCGGGTTGGGCTTCGACGCGTCATCTTGTTCCAAAACCAAAGAAGTTAGACTCAGCGAATGTCCCTCTTGGTCCCCTCATCTTGGCCCCTTTTACCTTGTACTTCATGAGAATACAGGGCAGAAGAGTTAGAGTACCAAGATGCTGAGAAAGATGGATAAAAGCTGACCATAACGAAGCTTGTTCTTGTTGCGCAGCCTGGTTCAAGAGCTTTTGTTGACTCGCATGGGCCAAACAGGCGTAGTCTGGCATGTCGTCATCATCTTTGGCTTCCTTCAGTGCAGCAGTGTAGCTAGGGACCGCGCAGCGCTCATTGTAGAAGGCTTGAGCCACTTTTGCCACAGCTTTGAGGTCCGAAATCAACTTTCCGCCAGACTTCTTAACGCTAGTTTTTCACTATCCGTGGTGAGGTGGGCTGCCCATATATTCCCCGTTAGTTTCTTTCGTTCCGGTCTAAAAAATCAAAAGAGGGGACTCCACTCAGTATACCTCACATGGGATTATAGTGATAAACTAGCCATAAAATTCACTGCAACGTCATCCTGCATTTCAAAACCCAAGAAATCTTTGCGATCGAATTTGAGCCCAATTTTTTTGAATAAGTCCACTGTATCTTCAGTCGCAGAAATCCATTTTTCAAACCGCAAGCGACGTTCTTCAGGTGTCTTAGAATTCTTCCAGTTAGAGGCAATGGAATCGGCAGTAGTTTTCCCGTAGGCAGATTCGTTCGTGCCGTCTTTTCGGGTCTCCGCCAATAAATTAGAGCTACCAACGTGCATCCCTGAGACCATCCCTGGATCCATTTCCCTCTTGAAAATGAGGCAGGGATGATGTTGAGGATGCTCGCTTGGTAGCCTTAAATAAAGCACAAGATTGAAGTTCGACGTTGATCTTCAGCCCTGTGTGTTCCATCAGGCCCTTCGAGATCTGTTCAGCAGTCTGTTGCGTCCTTGCGTATGGAGAATGCAATATCTGGATTTTTTTCTCATGAGAGCCTGCTGTAGCAAGCAGTTGCGCCATGAATTTCCCCAGTGCCTCATGCCCTTTGTGCGCATTCGGCAGCAGCTCACCACCTTTGATTTGCGCATCCTCTGTTACCTTCAATTGCTCCTTCAAATGCTCTAGCATCGCCTCTTTACCTTCACGAGACGCTTTGAGCATTTTGTTAGGCATGGTGACATTCCCCAATTTCTCAGCTTCCTCAGGTTCGATGAAAGCATCGTGGAGAGGCGGATCCGGGACGCCAGTGCACTTCGGACCGTGGCGACTCACCACAAAGTAGAATGGAGGTGGAGACCCCTGCGACATTTTGTGCTCCTCTGAATTCTATTCTATTCTGTCGGCGGAGCGTAAAAAAGCAAATGCGCTTTTCTTGTAATATTCTCTTATGGCTGGTGGTCTAGCTCTAGTCCCTTAGCGCATCATGCGTACTATGCCTATGCGTACTATTATCGTATTACTCTAGTGATAATCATCGAGGTGAAAATTATCGTATTACTCTAGTGTCTTATGTAAATACTTTTGGTGGAGCACCTCACTAGAAAGAGAACAAACAAAAACTAGAGAAAGGAAAGGAAAGTCAGTGTCAATCAAGTACTTATCTACTACTAACTAAGCGCCGGCGCTAGCGCTAGTGTATAATTTCTATGTAAATCTATGTATAAATACTGCAGCAAATGTTCTAGAACAGCGACCAGAGGTTATACTTACTCACTTCCACCGCAACGAAACATCTCAGATGTTCAAACGAAAAACATCATAGAGACGAGCCGAAAAAACCAAGGCGGGTTAGACGTTCAAATTTTCTTTCCTGAGGAACGAAGAGGGGATGAAAAGAGTCCATGAACTTCCCAAAGACAGAATCTCAACATCAGTCCAGATCGCAGCTCTAACACTCGCTCAAAGGACGCCTCTAAGGCACTCGTCCAGATCGCAGCTCGAACGCCTCTGCTCAAAGGACAACTCAAAGGCACAGAAATGTCTACCGCATGAGCAGCTGACGTTACAGAGGCTTTTCTACAATCAAGCTCTCATTCATTCATTCATTCATTCAGCTCTCAATCGTGAATATAGACCTCGGAAGCTTCAAACCCCATAAATATGGGACGTGATTCGTAACCGACTTTTAGACTCTCGAAAACACCACCTACTAGGAGATAGACTTCATCGTAGAAGTCATAGGTAGGACATCATCGTGGTCCTCCGAATGAAGTAGCTTCTTCTTGTTTTCATAAATGCGAAGTCATTCATCTTCAGGGTAAAAAACTGTACTAGATTTTTATGTCGAATCGAACAGGTTGAAACTTATTCTTGTTGGGTAATCATATGAAGAATCGGTAAGCGTGCATTAGAAGTGTTGTTGATATGACCAAATTGTGAAAGCATAGGCAGTCTCAGTTCGTTGGACGACAGAGGTGGTTCAAAAGGGCTCGTAAATACTGGTAATTTTCTATATGGGATAAGGGGAACGATTTTTCTTCATCTTTCGTAAAGAATCTTTACAAACAAACAATTTACTGTACTTGTAACTTGTTTCTTCTTGGCTGTCGTTTTCATAAGGAGGTTTTGGCGGCGTAGGGGAAACCTGTCCAGAGGGGCTCTTAGGAAATTTATTTGATGAAGATCGAAATCAAATAGAATCACCTGATGAAAAGCTGAAAGATCAAACATATATGAAAAAGTTCACTGTAGTGATTTAGTGTGATGTTATCATGAATTACTTACATAGCTTCTGTGAGCGAAGAAGTGCCGCATTTTCTACTTGTATTTACGTATCTAGAAGAAACTCATTGTCATTTTTATATGGAAAAAATCATTCATTCAACAACATGCTAGTACGTGTACGAACGCATTTAGCTGTAATTCATTAACATCCAAGATCTTCTTGCTAAGATGATGCTTCTTCTTCTCAGGCTATTCAACAGCCCTTCTGTTTTTTGTTGTACGGTCTACGTATACGTAAGAGTGATCCACAATAGTGAGAGCCTTTAAATGAAAATGTCTGTATCATTTATTATTTCGCATCCGAGGACGCAATCTTTTTCTGTTCATTTCTTTTGTTCAGATAAATTTGTGAATGTCATCTTCATTCTTAATCACACCAACTAGATTATTATGTCTTTTGACCCGCACATGAATCTTGCAGCAAAATGTACCTTGATGTTTTAGTCTCATGACGACAAATCCCTATTCTTCTTCATGAAAAGAGACCACACCTGGAATGAAGACAGGATTATCTGACTTGATCAGAGCATGATGTTCCTGAAATTCGTCACTACGTAGTACCAGAGAGCAAAAGCGGAGCATTAAATGTTACATATCCCAAAATCTGACGCTTTAACTTTTTGTATTCCTAGTACCTGAGGTCCTTGTTCTAGATTCATCGTAAATAATTCGAATCCCTTTACTTCAAATTCGTAATGTCGCGCAACGCATAAATCTTATCACGTCCCATAATGGACAACAATAAACCTCAACACAATGGACCTCAACATCACACCCCAGGCGGTCCCCATAATGGCAACGCTGGTCGACAGCCGAATTTCATCGCATAGCCACCTCCTGGACATGGCACCAAGGTCTGGTCCAGGATTTTGCGACATGTGTTAGAGAACGAGAAGACCTTCTGGATAAACATTCTAAAAACAGATACTGATACTAATGATGATGATGTGAACTTCTCTGCTTAACCATCTCTCTCTCTCTGCTTAGAAGAATCGAGCTGAAGCTGTAGAGGGAGTGGGAAACAGAGACTTTTCCCGTGTGAATACTGAAGTTGTAGAGGGAGGGGGAAACAGAGACTTTTCCCGTGCGAATATGAATTACCCTGAGCCTTAATAGTCAGCGTCATCTTCCTCGAAGGTGTCGCACCGACACTAGGTTCGTACACTCGCACGTTGGCGATCAGATCACTACGCGCCAACGGTCGTGGGCGTCCGAGTCTTTCGATAGTAGGTTGCAGTCCAGGAATGCCTGAAATAGCCGGCTGACCTATGCTATCTGGTTTGTAGATCCCCTCAAAATGGTGCTTGTTAGAGGAGAAAAAGAGGTGAATAAGCTTACGCTTACCTACGTCTACGATCAGCATCCTTATCCTTCATATTGATAACTCAACAACACCTATACCTTTTGGAAACCTCTGCTTCTTAGGATTATTCGCTGTGGCACTACAAGAAGAACTGCTGAAGAACTGCTCGTCTTAACTTTGATATGATTCGACAGAGAGACTTGCTGCACCGGAAGCGGGGGTTGGAGAGGATGGACGCACTCAGGCAGTTGCCGTGCAATTTGCATAGCCGGTTGCGAACGTGTTCGGAACATCGCGTTGGAAACGCGGGAAAGACTGTTGAGTACATGAGGACGTAATTTGTCATGAACATTATGTTATCGTTATGACGTTATATTAAAGTACTTTCTTCACTGGTGAATATATAAGACGTAGTACCGATCCCGAAACAATTCCGCCACGTCCGGTACTTTGCCGTGCTTCGACGTCATCAAATCAGGCAAAAATTCATCTTGCCACTCAATCCTGGACGGGTCTAATGTTGCTGCCTGTTGATGCAGAAAAGAACAGTTGTTCTCCTCAATGTTGCCCTCCTCAATGTGGAACAATTTAGTAGGGGGTGCTGTCGTCGTGATCACTGGATTGCTCGCTTGCTCTTGGTAGTCTTGAACATGTTCCTGGTTCATCATCTGCATAGTACTAGCACCTGCATTGTTGTGGAGGAAGTTGAAGTTATTATTTGCCATTTGTCCCGCCATCAAAGCTACAATCTGTTGCTGCTGTTGCTGCAAACGTTGCTCCAGGTTCACTCCCTCTAGTCCAGGCGGCGGAGACAAGTTCATCGACGTAGAAGTCGAGTTGTTGTTGGACGCACCCATGCTGACATTTATTCCCTGACTAGTAAATTAGAACAACGTAGCATTCATCTTGAAGGCAGACATCTTACTATGTATTTATATTTAAACTATAGCATTCATCTTGACGGAAGACATCTTACTTGGATTTTGACGTGCTAGCTTTCCAGTGATTCTGATTCTTTCCCTTAACAAAACAAAAGGGATACAACTAGGAAGCCAAAGAAGATGCTTTTTATACAAGAACAAGATGAATTTCGGGTAGCCAGCCTTAAGTAAAACCGGCAGGAGGTGGAGTATTCTCGACGCCGCGTGGAGGCGGTAGAAATGGATTTTTTCGTTCACATTGCATCTCTCTCATGCTATCTAGTGTCAGCACTGTGGCCATTTCTGGGGAGCGAGATCTGCCGCTGCGGGCTGTGCCAATTTTACTGTTGCTGCCTCCGTGTTGTAGTTGTTGACCAGCATCTCCCTGAAGGTGAAGCTGTTCTTGTGTTCCATTTACATTTCGTCCAGTCCCAAAACTGTTCGCTACTAGAGGATTGACACTGTTCTTGATGAAGTTGTTCGCAATAGCAGGAATGTTATTCTCGCAGGTAATGGAGGCAGCATAGCTTTTCGAGACCAAATCTAAAGCTGGAGGAGTTAAACTGCGGACACTGGAATTCGCGAATCGTGCCTTGGGAGGACTCATTACTACTGGTTTTTGTTGTTGCATTTGATGCTGGATTTCACCACTCTCTCCAAACCTATAGTTGCATCCAAGAGATCGTCCACGTTGAGGTTGATGACGTTGAGGTTGATAATGTTGCTGATGTTGAGGACCTCCAAGATGACCTCCTCCGACATTGAGGTTTAGTTGTGCTTGTTGCTGATCAACAACAACATGTTCATGTTCTACTGCTGGAAGCTGGAAATTATCTGTGTTGGAAGTTCCGGTGCAAGCGAGAAAGCATCTCGATTGACTCCTACTTCGATCGCGCGCAGCCTCAGCGTTTTGAGCATAGTACCGATTCGGGACACCACAGGCAGCCTTCAACTGCTTACGCAGAGATCGCACTTTCTTAGACCTAGTACCGCGTTCGCGTCCCCGATATTATCATCTACTCTGGCTTGCTTCACATTTTGTTTCAAGTACTTAAAGACACGAGGATTACTATTATAATTAGGAATTGCAAGGTTAGAGAAAACATCAAGGAAACAATTTAAAGCAAGGAAGAGGCTGTTGGACGACCGGTGGGAGGGGGAGCCTTAACATTCTCATTGATCAATTCCCCACCTGCATCGGTCAAGTCCACCTCCTTCGCTAAGTCCCTCACCTTTTGCGTCCCACCCAAAATGCGCGTGCCGATTTTCTTCTCGCGGCTCATAAAGCGCTCGTGATTCTGAATCGCTTGCGAAAGCGCACTCGACTCCAGTTGCGAAGGAACGACGACCGCTCGAACGTGAGGAATGTTCTTGTGCCGATTAGAAAGAGGCATCTTGTAGTTCTTGTGGAGGTTCTTACAAAGTGGCGTATTCTAATAGCCTCAAAGAAGTGGTAGCCATTTTCTACAAAACTTCCTTACTAGACTTAACCATTGAAGGCTGCTGCGCTACAACCGGAGACAAACTTCGTTTTCTACACGCTGCCGAGGTGTAATTGCTGTTACAGCCTCCTGGGTGTTCTAGCATCGAGGATCGTTTATTCTGTACATATTGAGGCATTTGGTTCATGTTGTTGACGTTTTCCTCGTTCATCTGCCCTGTAGTCGCATCTCCTGCAAACGGCATTCTTGGTCTAGCATGAATAGGCATCGAAGCAGCGAGTTGGACTTGAGGCAAAGCAATGCCCTGAATCGGTCGGGTACGCAGTGGGCGAGCAAAAGGCGCTGTTGTTGCGTTTGGATCTTCAACTCCAGACCAATCGGCAATACCTCCACATCTTGATGTTGATGACGTTCCCATAACTACCGACCGCGCAGCCGCAGTGATGTATTTGGGCTCGATAGTACGATCGGGGTCTTCGAAATAGACACGATCGTCGCTTGACACCGGACGCGTCTCTTCATACACTGCGGGAACGAGGCGGCCAACGCTCAAAGGAACGGCCAAGTTGTCAGACGGAGGAGGAACCAAGGACTCGATCGGCGTGGGCTGTTGTCGTGATTGTTTAGGGTTCCTTCATAGCAAAAGTCCTCTGGATTCAAATTGGTTCACGCCGGTAAAAGCGCATGGATTGAAAAATGATAATTTTCAGTTGTGCTCTCCAATTGAAATGACATCAGACTGACTACACATGATTATAAATATACTTACATAGACATACTGTAACCATTGGAAAATTGTACATTTTTAGAGCTGCATTGAGGCGTCGTACTTTGACTCGAAAATCCGAACATAGACCTCTCCACTGAACTATAGTTCGCGTGAGTCGTTGTTGTGCTACCCTGAGTCAAGCCTGATCCTTGTTTTTCATAGTTTAGTAGAGCCCAAAACAATTCATTTCTTTCTTGCTTGGGTTATTTCCACTGTAGATTCCCAATTTTCACAAGGAAACAAAGAGAAATGAGCATTCTTGGAAATGAATCATATTGTGCCTTAAGTAGTGATGCTTGTCCTCGGATGTGCTATGGTTCTTGTTGTAGCCCAAACATGGCAAGGCTGGCGCGTCAGAACTTCCTTCAACGTGGTTGTAGTGATCGTCTGGCGGTGATGCTAATATCATCCCACCTGCAACACCACTGTTACGCATAGAAGAACAACTACCAGGCGCGATCAAATGAAATAAGTTGTTGTTGTCGTGTGGTCCTGTGGGCGTTGCGGTTTTACGAGGTAGCATTTGAGCTGTTGAGGTAGTGGATCCTCTGAAATTGTTAGTTGTACTCTTAGAACCCAGAACAGGTGTTGTCCCAGATGTTGGTGTTGATGTAGTCGTGACTCTTCCACTTCTAACCCCGAAGTTCGTACTTGGAGGTGGTCGTGGAAATGATCCAGAGAAGTCGTACTCCAAAGGAGTCGTACTAGTAGATTGTTTACACGAGTTCCCACCTCCACCATTTGCAGGTCGTTCCAAAGGCGACAAGTTGCCATTAGAGATAGGTCTTTCCTATTCGTTTATACATCCCGGTTGCTATGGCTGTCCCCCTTAGGAGAGCCATAACAAACGGTAAGAGAAGCACCTTTAACCTACCCTTAATGTCAAAAAAGTCCGCCACTTCTTTCGACGAAACGCATTGTTGTTCATACTTTGCCTGTAAATTGAACATCGCGTCGAGTTTGGAGGGCTGGCCATCACTCTGATTTCCAGTAGTAGAGAGAGATCCTCCAGTATTTTCTATTCCTTGAAGTTGTCCTTGTTCTCCTAGATGAAATTGTGATCCTCCAATAATTCCTTGTCCTAATGTCACCTCTAAGCCCTGATGTTGGTCTTCCGCCTTTGCCCCTCCTGCAGTCATCATGATGTGTAATGGGCAGGGTGTCGTTGCAAGGTCTTCGTACATCTCCTGTTGCGAATTGTCACCCATCCACAACGCAGACGCAGCCTCAAATCCTCCATGTGCGTCTTCAACTAGCACAATGCTAGAACGTGGAGCCAATGTGCCGGAAGCTTTACTACTAGAAGTTACTCCTGCAGAGGACCCAGAAGTAGCAGTACTGCTACTAGCCTCAAAAATATCATCTCTATTACAACTACTGCAAGAGGCACTTTTCGGCAGTTGCAATGTATCTAAGCACTGTCTCAATTCTTTCAAGATGAGACTATTCTCCAGAGCCGAAAGTGTTGAGCCAGCTGAACCTGTTGTATCCTCCAGATTTTTTCCCGGCGTACAACTGTTGCCCTGCTTCGTGGCAGCACCTGGAAAGAAGTTCACGCTTGTTGACTTCCTAGCTGTGGTTGTATCTTCTTGCAAGGCCTCTTGAAGCGTAGCAGGAGTGTCTTCAGGAGCCACAATGTAGTCCGAAGGCGCGCTGACTGTGCTCCTAGAAGGAGCCAACCCAACCAAAGGCTCAGTATTGCTTTTCTCTGTCAAGCTGCACTGACCACCTTGTCCTCCATCGACTGCGTTGTCCACCTCGGGACCGGTGTGGGGATTAGATGATAACCCATTGCAGCTCAGTAATTGATTCCTACAACATCAAGGCAAACAGAAAATTCTGATGCTAGTTCGTTTTCTTGTAAAACTGATACTTACTCAACAACAATGGTGTTCACCTTCGACTCACCACTGATCATTCTCCATTTATCCCTCTTCTAGAAGTAAGTAACAAAAACAATGACGTCAAGTTTAAATCCCAAATGCATAATATTCGGCCACGAAGCTACACATCGCCACTTGCCTTCTCGCAGCGCAAGGTGTAGTTTTGCTCCTGGGGGAACGCCTGGCGGCACCTGCAACCGCAATTTTTCTCCCGTCCCGGGGACCTTGACCGCAATCTTGTTCACCCGGTCGTTGGGCACCGTCACAGTGAAGCCATCCATCGCGGACACGCGGGCGGCTTCGGATGTTGATGTCATTTTGTTGTACTAGTTGTGTAGTGTAACAAGGACGCTAGTATTAGAAATATGGCTAACACTAAGAACGTTAGTTTTGATGATGCGAGTCTAGTACTCGGCAACCTGCCAAAGATTTCCCGGGCGACTTCTTTAGTTATATTAAGGATGGTAGGAAATGACACTTGTAAGGTAGTTCTTTTTGTTCATCTCGAGTTCATTTACTTTTTGTTTGCGACGAATTTGCCGAGAGGGAGCATCACTCTCGAGCTTGAGACACACTTCTGTCGAGCTTGAGACACTTCTGTCTGTATCTCTTTTGACGACAGTCTCTCAAATTCCTTGTCCTAAAAATCTCACCCGCATCGGATCAAACATTGCGATATCCCACGAGAAACGAAGTCTTGAACAGTGATCAGTCTGATCACTGTAAACCACGAAGATACGACTGGGCTTGATGGAATATCCTCTGAAAAGAAAGTTGAATCATCTCTTTTCAACATACAGTGCTGCAACATCATGAATATAAGGACATTACCAAGCAGCTATAGGGGAGATTGATACGATTTTGTTAGTGGCATCAGTTTCAGTTAGTCCTTCTGTATCGTTTTCATTAGGATAGGATAGGATATGGTAGGATAGGATGCCTTTGCTTCGTTCTCACAGTCGCAACTTACCAAATGCTGGATGAATCTTCAACCACGATTCATCTTTTCGTCTCTTCATTTCTAAAGCCAATGAATCATTTAACCCAACCACCCCAAAGAAAAGAAAATTTGTGCTAGTAGTACGTTCTAAGAAAAGCACTCAAACTTCTAGAGTTCTTCATCTTTCTAGGAATGTTTGTTTCGTTCCAAAGAAACTACCCAAAGAAACTACCCATATGTTCCACCCGTGAGACCTCAAATCTGGTCCTTGCTTAGTCTCATACTTGGATGCGCATATCTTATCGTTTGCTCACTCGCAACGCCCCATTCTTTGGCCAGTCCCGGTTCGTGAATGACCATGTCTGCTACCATATACTGAGTTTCTGTAAAGTCCTGTCTTGGCTTGACACTAGCTCCGGAAGGCGATGGGGGTAAAGGGCCACGCGATTCCCTGCCGTAATCTTAGAGCTTGTTATATACTCCAACTAACTAGGACGAAAGGAAGCCCTAGCAAACTAGGTGAAAACACGTCAATGAACAAGCAGGTCATCTTCTTTGAACAAGTGCTAGTTTTTCTCTTCAAGAAAACGTCCTCACAACAAAGAAGGTGCTCCTAATCATGTCTCTTAAAAAGATAAGGATGAACATATATTATTCGAAAAACTGAAATAAGCGAGTAACTACTGAAAATAAGCGAGATACTGAACAAGGAAGAGTAGCCCTGTCAAAGCTACCTCCCTTATTTCAGTCAGTAACTCGGTTATTTTCAGTTTTCGAGTAATACAGTATGTTGTCTGTGCAGGGAGCCTTAATATGTGTGGTGGAGCCGACCTAACTAGAAAAAAGACAGACCAGCGGAAGATATAGAAGAGAGCCTTAATATGTGTCCCCACTGTGAAGATACTCTTGGTACGTCCTCCTGCTATCCCAGCCCAAAGGCTGCCCACTGGTATGGTGCAGAATCAATTGCGGCAAGTGCTGGCTATGATCTTCGTCATCGAAGTCCGTTGAGGTATCTCCCGCAACCGTCGTTAAACCAGTTAAGGAAGATTCAACTGTGTTTTTTAGATTCAACAGTCTCGTCCGATCTAGGGAGGAACCCTCACGTGGCGTCACTTTTGGAGGCGATCGTGGAGTCGAACCGGCATTCATCGGAGATAAGGGCATCTGTGATAGTTAGTGATTGAGAAGGCGCTAAGCTGAGTTGGAAGTCTTCGACTTTCATGAAGCAAACCGTCAACAGATCTTAGAACCAGTGAACTGTAGTGAGAAGGACATCTGTACCTAAATATGTCGGAGTCGGAATTATCATGTTGTACCAAGAAATAGTCGCTTGATCACGTAAGCTGGAACGATCGTTGAATGTAGAGGCAGAGCGGAGACTTTCTTTGAGAGACTAGAAAAAGAAACCATGATTACGACTAGATGATAGGACAGACTAGGAAGAAAAGAAACCATTTATTTTAGAGGAGAAAACGAAGAAAAATCTTAATCTTCCACCTTTAGAACAAAAAACCCGTCAATTGTTGAAAACTAACTGACACGTACGTTATACATAGAAGAACGCTAAACAACGTAAGTATACATTTACACAGAACGCTAAAAATTGACTGCTCACGTATGAAAAAAGAAACGCTGTAAACCAAAGACTCATACCGCGCCTGCAGCTGCAGCTTCGGCTCCGCCTGCTCCCTTCTCAGCACGACCAGCACAACAACCGCTGCAGTCATCACAGACCTTCGATTCTGAACCGCCCATTTTGAGTGAGTCTTACAATTAAAAGAATGGACCCTACTTGTACGGTAGCTGCATGACAACTATGGCAACTTGTATGGCGATGGTCTAGTACTAGTTAGAGGCATGATGATCGAATAATTGCGTCCTTACAAATACCATTCAATTATACTTGTAACTTTAATACTAACTTACAGCAGTAGAAACAACCTACAAAGAGAGATGTCAACGATTCTCTCCTACTGAAGATCTTCGAGTGGGGTGGGGCAAGGTAGAGATTTTTATCATGTGAAATGGATTAAGTGCCTGTTAAAAGATAGAAATAGATGGTCAACAACATTTGTTTCTATCAATAAATTTTTGTTGAAAGATTGCCATCGCCATGATTGAAACAGTAGCTCGCTTTTCACTCCTAACAGAAATTCGAATTCTAGGACTCAACATCACAGAATAGGACAATGAGACATACAGAAAGATAAAGCACGACTTTCTAACAACAACGGTAGATGAGTACTCTCCATTCCAAGAGTCGCTCAGCACTACAGATGTCTACCTGCTCGCTTTGGCATGCATATTACGACAGATTCATTTTTCAAGAGTACCTGTCGATGATCATTGATACATTGATACACAGACACACACACATATGTTCTTTCATCACTCAGTGACAGTGTTACATCGAAACACAGACACAGACACAGGCACACACACATGTTCATATTTGTTCATCACTCGGTGCTGTACAAGTACAGAATCAGCATCAAAAACTCTCGGACTATCTTCAAAACAACGAAAACATCAATATCTTAAAGCGTATCTTCGCTGCCGCTACATCAGAAAGACTCTCTGTATTGTAGCAGTTATGCAACATTGGTCTTTAGGTATACTTGGTTCGCTCGCCTTCAAAGGTGATCTTAAATGTCAAACTTGTTCCATCATCACGACTACGCAGTCGCTAAAAACCTTCCTTCTAAGAGCACCCATGCTCCAGTAGTGGGACTCCGTGTTGCGGTAGTCTCATAGAAGACCTTTTTTAAACCTAAAGAACGCTGCCAAGGAAACCTCCATAAAGTGTCTAGAATCCTTCCTGGTCTTGAAGCAGACATGGATTTTGCCGAGAACTGCACTACTCCGCTAATCTTGTCTTCTGTTATCGTCGAAGTTTCAACAAGCTTTGGTGCAGACAGTTGTGAATAGGTGTAGGCAGACGATGAAGCTGAAGCTGTAGAAAAAACACCTACACGTCGATGGTCGTCGCGTACTCCTTCGAGTTCTTGTTCTGGTCGTGTCGCAAAGTGGCCGCAGTTTTTACTTCTTTCTTGTTGAACACCTCCCTTCTGAAATAAACCCCCCAAATCTAATGGCAAAGATTTTCCTAGCCTTGATTTCGCAAGCTTGGCATTTTTCGCGGCTTTCGCGATATTGTCAGAATCCTCGGTGCTGTTGGTCTGAACCTTCCTCCCTTTCATAACCGCAGGCACCAAGGGAGTTGTCGCTTTGTTCTTGTATGAGTTTATCGCTCCACCACTTGTTGTTGTATCTAACATTTTCATTTTCTGACTCCGTCCACCAGCAACACTACCCTTAGAACCACTTGTTGTCAAGATTTCCCTCTGCGCTTGTGCCATTATCGTTGCGAAACCTGCCCTCCGTCTCCACCATGAGAGCGATACTCTTGCGATAGAGGCGCCGAAAATCAAAGCAAACATACCATTCCACACGAATGGTAACCGACGACGGCGCTGTTGTTCAGAAGGTCCTTTACTGAGTGTATCAGCTGTAGTATTCGTCATCGGTGAAACTTCTGACAGCAGTCTAGTTCCACGATCTTCTTCACGTTCACGTTGCGCAACCAACTGCAACCCTCCATGTGAAGCTTCTGAACTTTTTCCACTCCTAGCAGTCCTAGGCACAAAGTCATACTCCACACCTCTTAGCGCCAGCTTTAATCCATCCCGGCCCCCTCATCTCGACCCCTTTCCCATGAAATACAAGGGAAACGGGTATCGCGTTGCCGAGAAAGATGGAGAAAAGCTGACCGTAAACCTACTTGCTCGTTAACAAAGGCACATTTTGTGACTCTCCACTGTGCCACCAAAAACTGAGCTGGCCTCGGTCCTTCGCCGAAGATAAACTCTGATATTTGCCTAGGCGTAGAGTACCAGGTCGACGGTGACCAGGCGTCTTGAAGACTTTTTTAGGTGTTAGAGGACACAGCTAATTGTACTAGGTCTAGGTATAATACTAGACATAAACTCCGAAAAATGTGTGTACTTGATTCCATTGGTGCAATGCCTAGGATTAGGATTAGGAGGGTGTCCGCCGTCCTTTTACCTGCCTTCTCAAGCGGATTAGCGTAGCCGTAGAGGGACTACAAACTTTACTTACGGCTTACCTATATGCTTGACAACGAAAGAACGGAAAAAAATGCTTCTACACACGAGCCACCTATTCGAAAAACTGAAATACGCGAATAACTACTGAAAATAAGCGAGATACTGAACGAGGAAGAGTAGCCCCGTCAAAACTACCGCCCATATTTCAGTCGGTAACTCGGATATTTTCAGTTTTCGAGTAGTTCATAATCAAAGCCACCACTCTACAACCCGCTTTCTCCTGACCGTTCAGGTAGAAGGTTCGCGCATCAATGGGCACCAGTTCTTCATGAGCATGCACGGTTAAGGAACCATGCACTAGTTCTTCTTCATCTTCAGAATCCCGCATCCCCTTCATCCTCGCGACAGGCAATGAAAAGGTTGCTGTCCGCGCACCACCGCCATCTAGAGACGCGCATATACGGAAACGATTTCTAAGGCTCCAATCGTTCCAATCGAATCTCGCACCATAAGGCCCCAGAGCATCCCTAGCGCATTGTATATCCTTCCGTCTGTTCCTAGCCACGAAAAACACGACTAGGGCAACAGCGGCAGCTTCCATTCTCATCGAATTCGGGTCTGTTCTCCATGTTCGGCCAGTATGCACCAACCTTTGCCATAAACGTGGAGACGCTGAGGACGACATCTTTTTGGTTAGGGTTCTGCAGTCACGAGGAGTAGTCTTTTACTTCGTCATTATATATCTTTCCTGCGATGTAGTTTGTTCGCGTTTGACTATCATGCTCGCGGCCTCTTGTTCCGGGTATACCAAATTGAGTCTAGAGCGGCCAGACATCTAGAACAGGGTTTCTACAACAGGGTTTCTCCCGTACTAGGAACAAAACTTCAACATCTTCAGCTTTATCCGCGGATTGACGAGACATCTTCTGCCCCCTCCTTCAGGACGAGCATCGCTTTTATCAACATAGAAAAATACCCAGAAAAACTTCAACTGCAAATGTTGTCACAATTTGTTCTGACCTACTAGTTGTGACGAAGTTCCAGTTTGTAGCATTGCTTTTGTTGCGTGGTCTATACAGTGTTCATGCTTGAAAGCATTTTGTTGTTACACTTGGTTCATCTGTTTGTGCGGCAATCATGCGTCCCTCGTTCCTAGGCTGTGATCCTCACTTCTGTTTCTTAGATAGTAGCTGTAGACTCCATGACCTACCGTATCTTCATCCCGTTCTGGACTCTCCTCTCTGCTTCAGACAGACCGTCGTACTTACAGTAGTTTAGCCAATTATCATCTGAGAAGTGCATGTGCAGCAGGAGTCTCCAGTGCGTCGTGGGACCTGTCGGTGGATCTAGGCACGCTGTCATAGATCGACCGCGGATCTAAGAAAGTATAATTACGATCATAAAAAAAGAATTCTAGGTATAGCTATCAATATGTTGATGCTTTTCATCTCTCATTGACTTGTCGTCGCGTGTTTGCCTGTGTGTTGTAAATTCTTTAGTTACAGTTAGAGTTCTGCTGCGAGCGTGCCTGTAAATTATCAGCTTGCGAAGTAATTCTTGTTAGTCAGTAGCAAATTTGGATTTGGTTTTAGTTAGTAGTAAATTTGTGGATTGACGCCCCCCGCGCTATGAACTATCGAAAGATGAATAGGTGCAGCAATATCCTCTAATTTTATGAACATCTTCAAAATCAAATGTGGTAAAAAATAAAAATTGCGTTTTTTCGCTGTAAACAAGTAGGCTGAAATTTCGTATCTTCGACAAATCCGCCTCTGGATTATACCGGTGGAGCACGTCTAACTAGGAAATATGCAATAAATTGTTACAACAACCAGCTCTACCCCCTTAAACCTGCTCTGGGGGTAGAGCCGGTTGTTGTAACAATTTAATTTGATCGATAGGTTTCCTGTTTTATTTACATATTCAGGATAGTACAATTCATTGTCGCCTTGCTACAGGAACTACAACCCCCATGGAGCTCACTACAGACTCCTGAAATCGATCTCCTGTTATTTCAAGATGCAAGCGTAAGAAATTCAGTTACAACCAGCTCTACCCCCTTGAACCTGTAAGTCCTCCCCCTTGAACCTGTATTGTTACAACAACCAGCTCTACCCCCTAGTATGGCGTATGCAAAAACAACGACGAACGCTGTTGACCTTAACAACCTCGCTATTCTAGTCATGTCGTCCCCCGGTTATGATGTTCCTGATCCTTGTAAGAGCAGGCCTTAAAACTGCGTCCTCTGTGTGTTCGTGGAAGTATCTTCTAGCTGACCCTCTTTCTGTCCGCATCAGGGCGCAAGACCCTCGTCGACATAAGCTCTATCATACATCATCGTGATGGCCCTACAACCTGTACTCATTCGTCACTCTGGGGGTCCCTCCGTGTCCTTTTTTCGTTGCCTGAGTCTACAGTTTCCGGCAGTAGTTCCATTCAATTACCCCGCGAAAAGCCTGAAGCACAACGGCCAGGCGCTACAACTACGCAAACGATCTATAATTACGAGCATAGTTTACGCCAGCCAATGATGACGGCACGCCAGCTGAGCCAGAACTTCCCTAAAGGAGCGCCCCACTCTTGGGATACTTGAATATTCACTGCCTACTTATGTTGTAACTGTCTGCGATATCAGGTGAGGCTGCAAGCGCAAGTTTATGAACTTCTGAATTTTTTAAGACTGAATAAAAGCTCATCATGACCTAGTTGTAGCCCGTTTAATGACAGACATTATTGTTCGTTCGTTGTGGACTTGTAGCAATGAAGTAAGTGTATGGTCTTAGGAAATAACTGCGGGTAATATCACCTCTTGTAGTCGACAAGCATACATTTAGTACGTTGTAATTGATGTGTTATTCATGGAGTTGATTTCATTCGTCATTGAATCACTAGGGTGCTTGTTCACTCGGTTGTCGTATTTGTGGTTGATTGTCGTAATACATATCTAGTATGACAACTGGTTTCATTTTCTGGTGAAATGGTGCTCGTGGTAGTCGTGTTGTAGATAGGTACATGAATTCAAAATCTTTATCTTCTGAGAATCTCATCAATCTCGTCACTAACCAACAACTTCTCGTCAATGTATAGCAATCCTCTATCATTCTAATATCCACCTACTTGACGACAATATCGAGTTCTGAACCAATCGCCATCAAATCTTCGATTGCCATTGGCTTTTCGTCTTTTGGCGTCGTGATCGCGTTCTGGTTAGCCGTACCCATATCGGTTTGCTTCACCTTGCCTCGTTCCTTGACATTAGAAGAGCCTACAAATTGTATTTATCATCTGGAAGAAAAGCATCTTTGGCCGCGTGTCTGCTGTTCGGTTTTCTCACACTGACACCCCATATATCTGCGGGGTGGCATCAACTTTTCGGGCCTTGAGAAACGGCGGGCCAGAGAAGATGCTTCCTAAAATGAACTATAGGTTAGGTTAGGTTAGGTTAGGTTAGGTTGGGTCCTGCCATCCGATGTGGCAGACTTTAGCGGCTCCTGAAGAGCTGAATTCATGATCATCATTTCATTCAAGCCTTAATGATGAAAGTCTTGAATTCCTCGAACGAGATCATCTCATCACCGTTAGTGTCCACTTCCTTCATCAGTTCGGTGATAGGGACATTTCGGAACTCCGAGCCGAAGGTTAGAGACTGATAATTACCACCATTAGTACTATGAGCGAGGATGTGGAACAATAACATGGTGTGTGTTGGTGAGAGAGTGGTCTGCTCAATAATGAGATCTTAGTCGAAACAAGAGAACAATGTCGATGACTCGCTGGAGAGAATCAAGAATGAGTACTACAGAAGTATCAGAAGGCGGATTATATGTTAGGTTAGGGATCCTTCACATCGAGCTCCCCCGGACTCCTAAGATCATATCAATTGAGTAGTATTGCAGTGCATGGTGGGATAGACCTAGGAAATGAGGGAAAACTAACCGGCTGTTTTACTTTTGTGCTTTGAGCGTCGCTGGGACCACTAAGCCTCTAGCTTATATAAAAAAAACAGGCAGAAGCCAATCAAGATTAGGTTAGGTTAGGTTGTGAATCCCGCACATCAAGCCCCCCCGGCACCTGGCTCGACTCCGAGGATGAATCGGTGACCTGAGTAAAGTCGACGTCGAACACCGAGGCTGGTAGTATAGCAGAAGCCAATCAAGATAATTCAACCTAGTAGCAATACAGAGGGTTAGGTTTCGGATACAGTACATGTGGACAAGGCTACACAGCGGCTGCACCATACGAGGTAACAGTAAGACTATCAAGAAGTCACACCACGCAATACAGAGGCTGGTTGTACAGTATAATACATCAAACTGAAGCATAAAAACAGGCTCGACAGGTTCTGGATAGAAATTTCTCCACTGTTATCCACGTCAAATCGGTCGAAGGTTGCCTTGATCAGCTTATCGGATCCCTGGTCGATCTTGCAGCTGACCACTGCTGTAAGGAAGTCGGAGAAGTAGATGTGCTGATTAGAGGTGTTGAACGAAAAAATCATAGTAGTACTTGTAGTGGTCCATCTTGTGAACATGAGTCGCCAATATCTAACAGAGCTGGACTCGTTGTGATGTAGAAAATCCACGTGAGGATGAAAAGGTCAGTAGAGGTGTGAACGAGAAAGTCATCTGACAACGAAGCCACATGATCATGATCACTCAGCACTATCAATCTTCAACCGACTCTCAAGTTGCAACTTATCTCGTAAACCATCAGTTCCTGTAGTGGTCCATCTTGTGAACGAGGAGACAGTGTGTAAGTATTGTAGGCCTTAAGATGGTCGTGGTTGTAGTCCAAGTCATCGAAAATCTGGCTCAATTTTTTGTCGTCGATGTCTGTAGCCCCATCACCCATTTGGGCTAGCGCTTGCTTCAATTCGTGCAATTCGACAGTGCCTTCGTGGTGGGTTAGAGTGAACTAGTAGGTGAGAAAGGTTGGGTTTCAACGAGAAACAGTGAGAAACAAGATTGAGAGGTCAGAAAGATGAATACGAATAGGTGAGAAAGAATCAATACTAGCATCGATTCTATTTTCCCATAATACGGGTGGAGCCAAGCTGACTAGGAAGAAAAAGTAAAGATAGTAGGTAAAAGGTGTATAAGTACAGAATTATAGTAATGGCCAAGCTAACTAGGATCCGTCTATTCTAGGCGCCGCGTGGATTTCATTTTCCCATAATGAAACATCCAGCTTCACAAACATCTTCTCCAACGCAGCCACTTCCGAACGGCCCAAACACTGCGCCATAATCATCGCGGTTGCTTTTTCGAACGCCGTCTTTTTTAGAACAACCCATCTTCATCTTCATCGTGATGAGCGCAAATTTACCAATTCTATTCGATAAACTGATCAAAATAAGCGAGTAACAGACGAGAATAACCGAGATACTGACGAGAAGGAAGAGTAGCCTTGTTGTTAAGCTACGCCCCTTATTTCAGTCAGTAACTTGGTTATTTCAGTTTTTCCAAGTACCTGGACACAGCTCTTCACACAGGCACGGGCTAAATAAAGATGGACTAATAAGTGAGGCCTTAACTTCTTCTGAAAGTTGGCCAATGCGTTCAACACGTCACCGTTTAACTGATGTTCGTCCAGTCCGCTCTCAGCCTGGTCCAACTTGGCGATCCAGGGATGCTTTATTGCTTGGCGTGCGGTCAAACGTGTATTAGAAGAAGACATGGCGACGTCAGTGTCTCACAGTGCTCCTCTGAACTGTATTACAAGGGGAACTCATAGTACCCACAGCACCCACTGCTCAGAACAAAATACTTTACTGCAGATGATGCTAGTTAGTAGTCATGTCATGTCATTAGATGTCCTGAGGTTCCATAGTACTAGTGAGAAAATTCTACTTACATTCATAAGTTTACTCGGATCCGCTTCCAACAAGCCTAAGACCAAGGATTTTGCTTCGACCGAAACCTTCTCAAAACGCGAACGAAACCACTTGATCTCATGTTTACGGATCGCAGCAATGATCTCATTGTTGTTCTTGCCGAGAGATTAAAGAGGGGACTCAGAGAGAGAGAGAGAGAGAGAAGATGATGTTCAGATTACAAAAACGTGTTTCAGAGAGAGGGAATGGGTAGGGATAGAGAACGCGTGGAAGATGAGGAACGTGCTTTTGAAGATGAGGAACGTGAATGAGAGAGAGAATGCGTGGAGAATGGGTGGAAGAAGAAATCATATTTAGTTGTATCAACGGAGATGTGAATCATGTTCTTATGCACTACTCGTCATCTGTATGATCTGTAATCAGCATGTGCCTGATGCAACTGATACTGACTGTTCGAAAAAGACTCAAAAAGTTGAAATTAAAGATCATAGATAAAACCCATCTTCAGTGTCATAAGAAAAAGGCGGATATCCTCCCAAGAGCATGAAGACGATGACGCCCAAAGCCCACATGTCGCCAGTATTCTCGACTGCGCTTTGGTGGTGCAACAATTCCGGAGCCAGGTACTCGACTGTGCCTGCTGTCACGGCCACTGTCTTCTTGTTCTCCAAGACCTTCGAGAAGCCGAAATCGATCAGCTTGACTTCGTCATCAGCAGACTGAGCAGACGGGTACAGCCAGTTCTGCAGTTTCAAATCGCGGTGCACGATCTTCATGGTGTTGTGGATGTACGAAACGGCGAGAAGCATGCGGGAGTTAGAGGAGAAGGAAAAGTATCCGACAGGAAAAAGAGATATCATCACAGCATCAGAATCTCGACAGGATAAAAATCATCTGAAATATGATAATCTGTTATTCAAATGAAAACTCTTCACTGTGACTATTCTACTAGCCCCGCAATTCACTCTGATGTTCTCGATGTTCATCTACTAGAAACTTGAAATCCACCCGTCATTGTGAGCCTTAACCTTCGTGGCCCCTGCTGCTCCTGCCTCTGTGTATTGGCCTCGCGACATCAAACGATCGTACATCTCACCACCAGTACAGCAGTCACACACCAAATAGATCACTTCCGGAGTCTCGTACATGTCCCGGAGACGGACGACTTAGAGGTAGGTTTTTGGTGCTTGCTTACCCCGCTTTTTATGCCTTTCTCCATAAAAAGCGGTAAGAAAAGCACCTTTAACCTACCCTTAAACGATATTTGGGTGATCCGCATTCAAGTAGATCTCACATTCTCCTCGTACACGAGTGGCGACTTCCTCTGGCGTTTCGTCGCCATCGCCATAGTCGTCTTTGCGGAGAGACTTAACCGCCACACGCTGCCCGGTCACTTTGTAGACATTAGAAGAGTGGGAGAAAGTAGAGGATGAGGTACTAGGGGAAAATGAATATGGACGAGAACGACGTAATATTGAACCGAAGAGGACCCAATAATACGTAATACATGAGTAAAATAACAGAAGGAATCTCCTACTAACTCTGAAAGCGAAAGGATCATGTTTCATTTTCATTCCTTATAAGTTTTAGTATAAAACATCTTCAGCGAAATCACATCTTCTTCTTGATCTTCCTTGATGTTCTTGTATAATCATTCAAGTCCTGGCATCATGCCATAATCTTTCCCAGCACAACGGAGCCGCAAAATCCCGTTCCCAGTACCACGGATTTGTCCAAGTCGTACTCGTCCTCCAGCTTGATATGTTTCTCGTGTGCCCTTGCCATTACAGCTGTGACATTTTTGGTGATCCCCGTCTGGCTGCCTCCACCCTGAGTAGACCGTTGCACATTCTCTGCGGTCTGATGGATGTCATCGAGGATAGCGGAACTAGTAGAAGTGATAGAGGATTTGCGTCCATTCCCTCCTCCTGCGGTGCCATTGCCCCTGAGCTCAGCTGTTTCTGTGGCGCCAGCGACCCTGACGCCACCCTTATTGCCACCTCCGCAACAAAGCATCTTTCTGCTGTTGATGATATACCCAGATCAATAGGATCCTCGGGTGTATCAATAGGATGACCAGTTATGAAGGACGTCGATTTTCCGACGCAAAGTCGGACGATTATGATGGAAAACACCAGTTGACTTCTACTTCTTCTGTATGAAGATCAGTAACACCAGTAGAACGACGTTCTTAATGAAAGACAATTTCACAAATTTAGTTAGTTGTCAATCATTCTTGTGGATCTGGATCAACAAAATCTGCAAGGACTAACGATGTTGATGTGGGTATCACGGATTCATTTTTGTGTTAAAGTTATAATGAATGGTGATTACAACCTAATTGGAGGAACTAAAAATCTGGTGGTGATTATAACGGGACTTCTCTTGAACTAAAATCGGTTACTTTTGATGGGAAATATTGTCAAAAGTATTGACAAAGTTACACGTTACAAGTTACAAGTGATGGAGGCAGATGATATAATGAGAAGTACCTAGATCTACTCTATCAGAACAAAGCGAAAAGAATCGGATTCGGAAGAGACGCGGCACTAAAGGGAAAATAAAACCGGAAAATGCCTTCACGAAGTGGTGCTTCAGAGAGTCGGAAGGAGATGGGGACACTATGGACATCATAAAGGTGTGCAGTCAGTTGCAAAGTTCACATGATGAATACAGAACCACCAATCGCTCATTGACAGATTGATATGATACCTGCTGTAACCTCTGTCCCCTGACCACAGCTTGTAACTTCATGTCATTTCCGAGCCACCCCTCCACTAAGATGACCGATTCCCAAGATCCTGCTTATGAACAACTGTACGTATTTTCTCAGACAGATGCAGGTTCTCCGCCTCCACGAGCGGGGACGGGAATACCTCAAGTTCTTGTGAACACATGAAGATTCGGACATCAGGTTCGCTCAGGAACATTGGATATTCGCTCTCGTACAATTGATGCTCTTTTCGTACATCCGCACTCATCTCAATGATTCTTCTTCACCATAGTCGAGATATTGTTTCCTCGTCGACCTGCAACAGTGCGCGACCCCGTGACGAGCAAAAACAGCGTCGCCAGCACGATACTTGACGCAGCTCCCACAATAATCTTCTCCAACCGATAGATGCAATGTCGCGCATACACTGGTGCAGCGTAGGCTAAGGCATATAGGACCACATCCGCACGCGCAAGAGGGTGATGCAGGTTGCTATTTTGGGCCAAGGCTAGCCAATACCGTCTCTCTGCGTCTGAGGCGAAGAAGCGGCGAACGACTACGTATATCGCAGGAAGAATCACGTAGCAGGGTGTATGAAAGAGGAAAGGAACCGTCCTCTTCGTCTGATGTTTATCTCAGAGAAGTCAAATAATGGTTACAAAGAACTAGCGACGGGAAGACCACCACATTGCATCATGCACCGTCGTCCTACAGGATTCATCAACGACATCGTTCAATCTGCTTCAACCAATAACAATCTCATAAAATGTTTCCGTCGAGGGGTAGAAATCTCCTGCACTCGAAAAGGCCATTCTTTCCCAGAATCGCAACGACTCCCAAGTCAGTCCCGGTACCCGATGCACTGACACCCCATTGCTCACATCACCATCCTGCACGAACGTCCCCCACAAAAAAGCCAGGATCTCAGGTGTCCGAAAGAGCGTCAACAGGTAAATCAATGGGTCTCGAGAAAGTAGTAGCAGGAAGAAGGTGAAGACGGCCTCGTTCGGGATTATCAGGAGCCAAAGGGTACTGAATAAGGTGAAAGGGAGGACGCTGCGAAGACAATACCTTGTCAGACCCAAGTCGATTCGGGTGACATAGAAATCTGGAGCTTCATTTGAGTCGATTATATCCGGTTCTTCTACTCTAGAAGTGTTCTCTAGTTCCTGCTGTCCATCTTCATCTCGCTTTTCATCTTCATCTCGCTCCTCATCTTCATCTTCGTGGTCATGATCATCATCTTCACCTGCACTTTCTCCTTCTCTTGTACGGTTTCTACGTGACAATGTACTAGAAGACGATATACTAGAAAATGATGTACTAGAAGATAAGGTACTAGCTCCAAGATTGTTCTTGTTGACTCCATCAGTAGTACTGGCGCTCATCTCTTGTGCTAACCTTCTCTCGTCCTCTGGCATGAGAAGCATAGCCGTTGCAGCACCTCCTCTACCACGTCGCTGCACAACTTTATCGTCGTCCTCTACTGACCTTTTCATCCTCAAAATATTGGCGCTCAGAAGTTCCCGCAAAGACCATTCCCGCGACAAGATTTCATTCACAAATTCCAGAACCAGGAACTGAAAGAGGGCTACCAGAAGCGAAAACGCGGCTAGAAAGAGTAGCAGAAGTAGGTTGAAGTCATTCTCCACTCGACCATGTTCATCAATCGGTGTTCTCTTGTTCGCAGCTCCTTGACTACCACTAGCAGATGAAAAAAACTCCCCAAAAAACTGGTTGTTCTGTAAGAAACTGTTCAGCTGCTGTGGTAGGTAGATGTTGGCCATTTGAGCGAGTGCAGCTCTCAAGTGGTCTGCTGAAACGGACAAAGAGGATCCACCAGTACCAAAAAGAGCTGGCATCAAAGAGAAGATGCTAAAGCTACCACTAGCACCATCATAGCCTCCTTCCTTCTTAGCGTTAGCCGCAACCAAATCCAGCAGAGCTGGACTCGTTGTGATGTAGAAAATCCACGTGAGAATAGCAAACTCAGGGATTGCACCAACTAAAAGTGCCAAACCTCTGCGTCCTAGGGCCGTGCGACCGATCAATGGCTGAAATCCTGGGGTCCGGGCTAAGAGGAACAATGTCGCACCTAGAATCGTCGACAACATAAAGGGCAAATACAAGCGAAAGATGTGTTTGACACAACTAAGAAAGTTGCCGCGAGCATAGATGGCAACTCCAGGTCGCAGTTGGAGGAGGGCGAGGAAGACAGATTTTCTCCCTAGAGTCGTTCCTGGGTCTGCAGCAGTACGAGAAGAGGAGAGGCCACCTCCGTTTTTAGCACCACTACGACGATTGCCCTTCTTGGAAGAGCTCTTCTTGGCAGTAGAGTGCTGTAGTCCTTGCTCACTTCTAGTATGACTAGATGTAGTATAGTTGTTCTTGGAACTGGTCGTAGTAGACTCCTCATTCGTGGAAGACATGTCCTCTTCAAAGAGACTCGTATCCTCTGCATCTCCTTGTCGTATTGTCTCGTCATTCGATTCACTCAAGTTGTCAGAATCAACAGCAGAGGATGCGCTGTTCTCTTCTTCACTACCATCTTCACCAACTTCCTCCTCGTGATCCGACCCAAACACAACTCCTGTCACAGCATCCCAGTACTTCATTAGCCTATCAGCGAGAAACTCATACAGATTAGCCGGAGAAGAGCCTCCTCCTCCATAGTGTTCAAAACCTCCCTTTCCATTTCTCTTTTTCTGCTTCCGAAACTCCATCACCGCTTCTTGTAGTTCCTTTTCGTCATCAGGCGTCATGAAGTCCTGCAGTCTCACTTTCCCACTCTTCACAGCACTAGATGTTTGTGCATTCGCTGATTTTCTCGAGAATATTTCGTGTGCTTTCCGCTGTACGAATTCACGCTCGCTTTCTGCAGGGATATGGCGGCCTGGGGAATGAAAGAGAGGATGAGAATATCGTAATCGTAATCCTTCAGCTGAGCAGCAGTAGTCTCAGTAAAAACAGCGTAACCGAGTAAGAGGAGGTCAGAGTGCTCAATGCGATATTACTGTAACTATCTAGCACTTATATATGTTATAATTAGTACAAATGTCAACTGTACCTTGATTACAGTGTTACTGTACTGTAACTTCCATAATGTGCTTGTTCCGATGCGAAGAATATCACTGGCTCTCCTCTGCTTCCTTCTCCCGAACAATGGCTGCTCGTCGCAAACCTGGGTGACCACACCAAAGGATGAGACTCAGCATCTAGAGAGTAAGCGTTTCGCCTAGTGTCTCGCGTCAGTTGCTCCTCAGGTTGACTCGGTGACAATGCTCCAACCGTACCGATCGAGACCAAGTCTCCCTGAGCATCCCACGCAAAACCAAGCGCCGGCTCAGTATCCGTAGTAGATGAGCCGCGTCTTCCTACCTCGTCTCTTGTGTAAAAATCAAACGGAAAAAGGTCATAATCGATTTCCTCCCTCGACAGTACAAGCCAATGGAAAATTCTGTCTGCTAGTTGTTGTTTTTGTCCAGGCTCTTCTGCCTCGACGACATCATTCCTTGCACTACTCGCGGTTTTCCTTGCAGGCACAATTTCGATCTCGTAAAACAGAGACACGATCCAATCAGAGAAAGACAACGGCCGCAAAGCGTCCAAATTCCAGACTTGTCGATGAGCTGCGAATCCTTTTAGTTTCATCCCTCCTTTAGAGGCGCTTTGCTTTGCATCCCCAGGTCCAAATGCAACTACTCGCGAGGCATCAAAGTCTAACAATGCCTGTGGTACGCGTTTGCGACCCTGCTGCATTCCACCAGCAGACTTCGCTGCGTTCTGTGCCGCTAGTTTTTCAGGTGATGACGTGGGTCGCGACCCGTCTGGTTGCTGCGAAACCACATAGTTACGGACGACATAGACGCATAGTTTCTGCGGATAAGACAGACTACCAACGGGCATCACTTGTGCCCACTGTTCTCGGAAGTGCTCTCGCTTGGTCGGTCGGATATTCTTGCCTTTCATGTAGAGTATGAAAAGGGGACTGTGGACATGCTTTTTGTATCCGCATGCCTACATTTGATGTTTCTCTTCACTATGAGTATTGTTCCCTACTACAAATTCTATCAAAAAGAGTAAGAAGCAAAGTCTATTTACACAAACGGAGCTAAAAATTTTTACCACACACCAACCAAGGTACATTCTCATAACTTCCGCCAAGTCGAAGTATCTTGCATAAACCTTCACCAAATCGTGACACTGGATCACGTCGTCTGGATCAAAGTAATCCATAGGCTCCCCCCCTTGATGTCGTGGCTGCTTCAACACTGGTAGGTCGTAGTCTTGTTGTACCACCATGACAAACGGGTCTTCGGAGCCAGGTGCTCCCCACTCGAATAGGGGAGGAAGGTGCTGTTGTGGTTGATTTGATGAAGGCTGTTTGCCTTTCTTCGAAGATCTTGATGCTGACTCTGTACTACTTCGTGCGAAGGTACTGCTCAGATCCTTTAGATCCAAGATTGCGTACCCACTGTGGAGTAGTTTTAGCGCACCATCATGCTCCTGCCCTCCTCCAGTCTGTCCCTGCTCTCCTCCACCAAGCGCTATGGGTTGCAGTCGGTGCAAGCTATGTGACTTTAATAGATCTGAGCGGAGACGCGTGTCTGCATGTCCAATTTCTGCGAACAGCGTGTTGAGACGGAAAAAGGGACTCCTAAGCGTATCCAAAGCGTCAGCAAAACCTTGATCTTCATTTTCCGTGACCTGTTGCGCCCCGTCTGCGCCTTCTTTCTCAACAGATGCCCTTATGCGCCGTGGTCGATGTAGCTGGGGAAGAGAAACGGTGCCGAACATTAGAAGAAACGCTGAGATTGCGCAAAAAAAACTACGAGTTCTTACGTAGTAGAGTCTACTACAGTACACTGTCGTCATAACATCCTATGCAGGAAGGGTCGCGCGAAGAGAATCGAGATGTGACTCTGATCCTCGTGTGCATTCTTGACAGTGACGGTTGGAACTATGGTGTTGTCACGCCTACACGCGTGCTCAGGACCAACCAGTTCGTCGCGGTTGCCACCGCCAACACCGTAGACTTTGATTTTCGTCGAGGCGAGAATCTTAGAGTAAGCATCTTAAAAAAAGAACGTCAACGGCTGAACCGAACCTCAAATTAATAATACACCTGGCTTCTCGCTTGGAGTGCGTAAGTATAATTCTCAGTACGAAAAGTACTTATTCGAAAAACTGAAACAACCGAGTTACTGACTGAAATCAGGGAGGTAGCTTTGACAGGGCTACGCTTCCTTTTTCAGTATCTCGCTCATTTTAAGTAGTTACTCGCTTATTTCAGTTTCTCGAATACATGACTTCCAGCGCTGTATGAATGCGTGTTTGTTCCAGTTTACCTCCTACCAAAAGGAGGCTAGTATCTTTTCTCAAAGCCCTCTGTCATGCACTTCTATTCGATAAACTGAAATAAGCAAGTAATTGACGAGAATAATCGCTATACTGAAAATAAGGGAGATACTGAAAGAAGAGGAATGTAGTCAACGACGTCAAGTCTCTCTTATTTCAGCCAGTAACTCGGTTATTTTGAGTTTTCTAATACACTTAGACACTCCCTCATAACCACCTTGTCCTTCTTTTTCGACAGCTTCGGCACTAGAGCATGCACGTCGACTTCGTTTTCCAGCAATCGACCCATCTTGCGCGTCAGAAACAGCATCAGATGTTAGATCTTCCCGGAATCCAACACGACCTGTAAAAGGATCCACATCCTGGAGGGTCTGTTTTTCCCTTAGATGGATTGTTGCTGAAAATGGATGTTGCTGAAGATGGATTGCCGGAAACCTTAAGGATGGTATTCCTGCACGCAGTTGACGCAAAAAACGTACTCGATACGATTTCGTATAATCGGATTACTATGCACTGCATGTCGAATCACCAGAAAAGCCATGCTATGGGCCACGAGGACAACAGATTGCGAAGAGAGTTGGCCTAGTGGCGTCACACTAGTATCTGACTCTGATGCACTCGTGCTGGAAGACTTGTTGTTCTTTTTCTTCTTTTTGTTCTTCTTTCCCTTCTGTCCGCTTCCAGTTGAGTCGTCGTCGGAACTGCTCGCCCCTTTCCTCCTGGTATACCACTGCGACGCATCACTAATTGCAAAACGAAACGTAGCGAAACGTTTCTGTGGTCTTTATGAGTTTCTTCCCGTCTCTAAATTGGACTACTTGCTCTAGCTGTTACTAGGAAATAGAAACTCACTACCTCTACTAGTTTCGCTGTTCTTGCTCATCACTGATCTTTCAAAACATCTTCACTGTGACTTAGGACCATACCCAGAGAAACCCACTTCCTTTCGGTCGGTCCGTCAGAGTCCGCACTGCTCCAGCCAAAAACGTTGCTTGGGATCTGAGCACGTCAGTCGTCCAGGCTGAGGGTTGTTCCTGCGTATCCAGAGAGAAGACCACGGGTTCACCAACCCCATTAGATGCGGCGCCTCGTTGATACCATCGCCAGAGATTCATCATCTGTTTCCAGTTGCCTTGATTTCCAGGTACAAAAAGCATAGTCGGACCTGGCGGAAGCTGCGCAGAATTCACTCCTGGCTGTTGTTCTTGGTGCATCTCTTTAGACCTTGCAAAAATCCATCTTGTTGAGGAGCTTCGCGGTGCCCGTTTTCCTTTCAAAACGGGATCAAGATGCGGGGGAAGATGGATTTCCTCAAGCCTTAATCTCTGAAGACTCGTCATGGTCCTCCAACTCAATGTTGTCGTTGTTGCCTCTACTATCTTCAAGATGCATTCTCATCCTTGATTTCACTTTTTGCCAGTCCACTGACACAGTCCCAGAAGCTGCCGTCGCTTCCACTTGTACCCTTAAGTTTCTTTCCGCAGCCGGATTATCACTCAGTTTTCGCAGTCGATAATGCGTTTTGGGTATGTTCCCATCGTTCACCACTTGCATAGTTTCACCTAGTAAAGCTGACTCCGGACGATCATACGCGAATCCACGCACTGGCAGGGTTAGAGCTCGCGCGAACCCATCTCCGGGCCCATGATGAAGCCCTCTATTCTCCCTTGAGAAGGCCTCTCAGGATGCTTCCGAAGATGGATCAGGGGAAGCCGTAACACTGAAAACTGCTGTCCACTGGTCCTCTCCATGTTCCAGGTACCATTGTAGTGCAAATTCCAAGCCACTAAACAGGCAAGGATAAAGGCGATGCCAGAGCCCCAGGAGAGCAAGATAACGAGCTTCCCATGGAACGGGAAAAGGATAATGTTGTCACGCGACATTTTGGTGTTCCTGTTTTCTCTGGATCTGCAAATCTAAGGGCGTGAGCACTTACCAAATGGATCCCCGATGATTTTGAGCTCTGGTGGATGTTCAACATGAAGACCATGATGTTGAAGACCTGATGGTCAATGTTCACAGCTAATCTGATACGCACGTCTCTCTCAGAAGTTTGTCACGGATTCACGCTTCCTTCTCTTTACTCTTCCTCGCCGTCCTCAAAAAGAAGCCTACTCTTCCATTCTTCGAAGCTGCCCGTGCGTGTGGCAAACACAGATGCAACCCCTTTGTGCAGGCGGTAAAAAAGTTCATTGACAACTTACTTTCAGGTTTAATCTGTCTGATGCGACAAAAGAACGAAGTCGCGTAATCACTGTGAGATTGTATCCAATGAGTATGCGTATGTTGAGAAAATACATCAAGTCAGCTTTTGGGATAAGCCTTCAGTGGGTATGGGGAATTTAAGTATTATGAAGCCAGCCGTCCTCTACTCGAAGTAGAAGACGAGTCGCTAGTTTTATACACTTTCACACATGAAATCCATATCTTATAGAGTGGATTTACCAACAAAGTGGGTGGCTTTAGAACTGCGCTGTGTTCTCAAAAAAAGAAAGAGTCATATTTTTGTACACCCTCACACTGCACTCATTGCCGACTGCTTCCACCCCTATTTCCGCTAGAAGATGCGACCACCCTTGCAGCAATCCATTGCGCTACTTTCTTGTTTATGAATTCTACGCCACCTTCGGCATGGCCCTTCCGCTTCTGTTGAACGACCTCCCATCGTTTCATGCCTAAGCCATCGTAAGCACCCTGAGTTCTCAAGATCACATGCGATGCAGGGAAGGTCTGGTCGGTTTCAGACACAACGACGCAAGCGGGGGTGAGCCTGGAGTTGTGGTTGAGAATGCGTTTGTCTATCGATGACTGAAGAATGATCGTGCTAGAAATAAAGATTGCGATCGACGCTTTCTATCATCCATAATGTTGGTGGAGCATACCTAACTAGAAAAAACAAAAACCGAAAAAAGAAAAGTCAGGCAAGGACTTATCTACTAATAAATAAGCGCCGGTGCTGTCGTGGTCCTGTCAGCCCCAGAGGTCTCACCTTCGAAGGCAGGCCGGAGCCCTGTGCAACGCCTTTATCATCCATAATGGAAATTGCTTCTAATGCATTGATATAGCATGAATCAGAAGTACACTACCCAAGACAGTCAACAACATGACGATCTCAGTACGAGTTAAGTATTGGAATCCCCTGTACCTCACATCCGTATTAGCACCAGGCAAAGTTCCACTCGGTGCTTCATTTCTCGCTACCAGAGATGCATAGTGGTCCAGCGTATTTCTGTGCATCATACTGTGGTACGACAGAAGGCCTCCAAATCGTGGTAGGGTTTCTAAACTAGGCGGATCAGGACCGGGAGCGTGGATCATGTTGTGTTCATCATGATAAAACAAGGGATTGCCATGACTTGAAGATGCTCCTTCGCCTCCCAGTCGGAGGAAACTACTGTGATGTTCGTCGTGGTCATGTGCAAGCTGCGCTGTATCTACTCCGCCCCCTTGCCTTCGAGCTACCGCGGTGGCATCCCTGAGAGCATCCTTGGCTTCTTTTTCAAGTACAGAAGGGAAGAAGGATGATATTGAGGATGCTTCACTCGTAGCCATAATTGTCCCCGACTTGCTTTTGTTACCTCCGGACAGGTGTTCAACAAGTGCACCTGCTTCGCAAAAGCGACATGCTGGGCGAGCACGCCACCCTGCGAGATACCAGCTAGGAAAATGCGAGAATAGGGCAACTGGTCTGGATTTCTTCCCTGGTCACTCTGTAAATTAGACCGCGCCCTAAATATAATAATCCATCTCGAACAAGAAATCCATCCCGAAACTTTTTTCCCCTTGAAAACGTCTCTAACATGCGTCGTCCGAAGATGGACTAGGGGAATGGCCATAAGTAAAGAAGCACTAGAGATTTCTAGCCCAGGAGAACTCTGCTGTAGAAAGGAACTGCCTGGAGTGATTGGAGGGCTCGTAGGACGTACAACTGGAGCATTCGTTTGAATTTGATGTAATGCTGGATCCTCGGTTGAATCCACCAGCATCTCCACGTCGTCGTCATCATCTAGCGCTCTGATACTACTAGGATGTATGTCGACTGGCGCAGGTTGAGCCTGCAGCAAAGGTGTAGTTGCTGCCGATGGCGCCGCACTAGGTATCGTACCATCCTCGCCCGACGACGAAGCACGTGACCGCGCCATTTTCTGGGGTTGTGCTTCAACCGAACCAGGACTAAGATCACTCCTGTCGTGACTAGAAGAAGCTGACGCCCCAGTATTCACCCTTGCAGACGATCGCTGCAATGCTGTACCAGTCGACGCCCTGCTTTTGATGTGTTTTTCAGCTTCGTGGTCTATTATACTCCAAACCGCCGCGCTAGAACCCTCTACATCACAAAACTCGATTTCCCGTTCGTCGCAGAAACGGGTGTCATAGTCTATGTAGCGGTACCAGGAGGGCTTCTCAGAGGGGTCATCTTCTATTAGAGCTCAAACAATTCATTTCTTCCGCTATTTTCTTCTGCATCCAAGATTTTTTTTTGTTGTTGTCTACTGTCTACAAGTGCACCACCGCGTGACTTGGACAGAGAGAAATGACCTATGGAAATGTAATGCATTCAGCCTTAACTCTACTTCTACATTTACAGACTCACCACGCCCAGTGGAAGTAGTTGCACAGTCAGTCCAGGCACGAGGTTCACTTCCATCACCATCTTCTGTAGGACTGTCACTATCAATATCCATGCAATCTGTGTAGTCTCCTGCAGACCTGGTGCCGCAAGTCTCCCAGGAGCCGTCTTGCGGGTGCGTCCGAGAGGAATGAAGAAGGAATAGTAAGTTTTAGTCTTGTCAAAAGATCAACTTTGAGTCGATCGACGAATTTTTACCTCTCTCTACCAAAGAAACTGAATCTCACTAGACCAGAAAATACAAATAGCTAGTACTTGCTTGATATCCACCCTTCATAAACATCGCCGCTGCCCTCTTCCCTGTCACGGCCAACACAGCATGCAGAGATATCTGACCAGTCGAACATCCTTGTCAATCGTGAATAGAACGATGAAGACGTCTTTGAGCTTACACCTGTAGCTACCGGCACGACCAAACGAATCGTAGGGACCTTTTTACGCCATGTTTGCTCCAGTCTCGGAGAAGCAAGCGCTGCTCCCCTTTTTACCCCACCTCCGACTCCTCTTCCGGCTTGGAGATGGTCGCCTCCAGGGGTCGGACGGGAAGCTGTTCCCCCACCGCGAGATGAACTTTCAGTGACCGCGATTCTAACTTGCTCTTCCACTGCATGAACTAACTGTTGATAGAAAGTATTCATCTCCTGCGGCGAGAACTCCCCGCCCCCAAGCCACGGCAAGAAAACCAAGGAAAAGTCAGCTTTTTCAGGACCTTTGATAAGCAGCCGACGAATGTATTTACTAGGTATCTTCAGTGGATGCTGTCTACTTCTGCAGTTTGGTGGAGCTGTTGATGTTATTGTTCGAAAAGATAAAGCAGGTGAGCGAGGTGAAGAAGATGAATGTTGGAGAAGATGTTGCTGTGGTCGTTGTGCTAGTTCACAGTGAGCGTGTTGCTGAGTCGGATGTCCGTGAATGTCAATCCTGGAATTTTGAAGACTACTTTGGCCATCTGAGTCAGGCAAAGATCCACGAGCCTCATGCCCTCCTCCTATAGCAGCACTTAAATTCAATAGAGGAAGTTTTTTGGAAAAGAAATTCCCACTGTCTATTCCTTGATGGTCTTGTATAGTAGGAGTGCTGTCACTGGTTTTGCTTTCCTTTTGTGCGGAGCCAAGGTCCACTATGTTGATTGCAATACCATGAGCAGATGTGGCAGTCTCCTGATCTCCTCCACCGGAGCTCGCACTGCCACCCCGTTCTTCGCCCTTACTTCTTCCCTTCGCTTGGACAGCATCAATTCCGCCACTAATTTCGTGTCCACCACTGCTTGTTGACCCAGCAACACCCCCTCCTTGGACTTCTACACTCATGCACCAGCCATCGCCTTCCCCAGCATCCTCGCCGTTCCAAGTAAGGAACTCCTTGTCTCCAGCCGTACTAGATCCATCAGCACAATTAACCGCATCGAGGACGTGAGCTGATCCGGCCACGACTATCGGACTGGGACTTCGACTCCTTTCGTCGTCGAACATAGCATTCTCACGTCCCCGAGTGCCCTCACCGTCCTTGCTGCGAGGTGGAAATTGGAATGCAGCGTGTACGACTCCGAATAGAGGAAGTCCACGTCCACACCAGGTAAAGAGGATCACTGCTAGGGTCCACATCTTGTCCTTCTTCATGTCGTTCATCTTTCTCAAGGAGGACGTCGACAGTGCCAGATAATCGAACCGCAAACGATTGCGGAGCTATCGGTCAAGCTCAAGTGAGCACTAGTAGGGGAGAGGACGCTACTACTCCTAAGACATGCCGCCATATTTATTGCTCTATGATGGGTTATCGATTTTTTCCGTTGCGCAGATACTGAAGTAAGTCACTGATTCTCTGCTCTTTCACAGTTCGTATAAACGTTTCTAATTTAAACTTGTCTATTTGTATGCGTCCTAGTACGCGCTTTTTCTCCGCAGTCAACATCATTAGAAAAGACCAACGTTTCCCTGTTTCATCCTGTGCTTTCCAGCGCGCATCTCCAATTTCTCTGCATTGAACACTTTGCATGGCCGAGTGAGACTTGAAATTTTTTGTTGCTCCACGGTGTAAAGTCATGTCCTACACCTAAAAATGGACACGTCCGAAGAATCAATCACATGATTTCGAACTGTCACTGCACTTGAACCATGTGTCAAATTCAGCAAAAATTCCAGGGCCTGTTTGACAATAAATCAGATTAATTGTTCCGATACTAATCAGGAAAACGGTGACAAACTGTACTGACATATATTCTTGAAGGAAAAGAGAGTTCTACTCACGATTGGCTGTTTTACATGAAAAAAAGACAAAAACCAGTGTCAGAAACTTAGCTACTTAGTAAGAACATCTTTGAATAACGCCCACATTTGCGGACCATGAAAACTTCAGCTTCTACTTCATCTTCAACTTCACCTTACAACTTCCTGTCTGATAAGTGAACAGGCCAACGCCTAAACCACTAAGCCAACTGCGCAGTCCACCACTTCCACCGCTTCACCACATGACTCCGCACAGCGTTGCCCACTTTGCTTTCTCCTCCAAAGTCCAATCGACGAAAGACGTTGTCGGCGAGCAAATGCCTCCATAGGAGGCGGGCGCCTGACACGCTCCAGCGTCTCTCGAGGGTGTCCATCCGACCGGACACGGAGTATCGTAGCTAGCTTTCACGCTCTTGCACGGCCAAGACGCACCACAGCGCCATGCCCAGTCATCTCGCTCAGCTTGGGACATGCTTGCGAAGTTACGTGGTCCGCAGAAGCCCGTGTAGGAAGCGTCAGGGGCACAAAAGCCTGGCTGTCCAGAAGCTGCAGCTTCAAAACCGGAGGGACAAGCTTCGAAATCACGTGCGCATCCTCCAGTCATCAGCTGTTTGCGTGCGGCTAAATGCACCAAGACAAAAGCATCCTTCTTCAAAGCTTCCAAGGACATTTCGTTTGCGACAGCTTCGCTCAATTCCTTAGTCGCCTCACCAACGGTTTTAGCCAGGTTTGTGTCTTGATCGCCGATCGAGCGTTTGAAAGAAGCGGAATGCGTAATCGTACTAATTTCACCGGAAAGCGTTGCGGCATCGCTGCTTGATTCTCCGGGAAAAACGGGGTCGGCAAGGACAGGGAGGATGAAGTTCTCGTTGTGGCCAGCGAAGCCTCCCAGCATCACGGCTACGGAAGATCGGCGCCACATAGCCCGCGATGAGAAGCTGCGTTTGCTCGTTGCGCAATACATTTTTGTCGAGAAGGGTCTGCTCAAGAGCAGTTTGAAAAAAATACTCGAAGGTTACAGCTGGAGTTGAGAAAAATGTCTTTTTTGGAGAAGTTTACGAGAAAAAAGTAACAACGATCGAAGAGTAAAAAAAGAAAAACTCAAACAAAGTAATCAACATGCTGTACGTTACAATTATAACGAAGACGATTAGAGAAGTACAACGAGCGATAGAAGCCTTTTCGCATACTGGTTTTTCCCGAGAGTTTTTGTCATGCAGTATATCACCTCGTTATACCGAATATTTTTCTGAACAATCCATAAGGGCACTACATAACCATAGAAGAGGCACTTGGACAGTGCGTTGAATTTTCAAATCAAGAGTTGTAGTTCAAAATTAGGTAAATTGTAATGTGCGAGTCCTGTCAAGATGAAGACTTATTTCCAAAAGTCGCCTCAAACCTCTTACGGCGGACTAGCGACCAAAGGACTGCCCACGCCCTTGCACTTCGACGTAACCGTTTTGACACCTTCCCAAACCTGCGTGGACGCTTCCGCCAACCGAGAGGACAAGGTGTGCAACGGCGGACACGGAGGAAAGGCGAACAAAAAGCACTTACTCTCAGTCAAGACGTCGACACAGCCGCAAATGAGTTTGCCGACAACTTGCATGACGTGGATCGGCAGATTGATGGCTTGGTACACGGCCAGAGTTGCGACACGGGCAAAGTTGCACCGATTTCCCAGAGTTTCCACGAGCGAACAGGACTTCTTGTCGAAACAGGGACGCTCGAGGAAAGCTAGTTCAGCCTTAGATCGCGATCCTAGGAACGAGCTTTGATCCGACTTCTCTTTGAGCATGCCAAGATCCTTCTCCAACTGCTCGAAATCGTTAGTTCTGACTGCGGAATTGAACTCATTCACAAAGGAATAAACCTCGCCAGAGAGCGACTCCATAGCTTGGAGTAGAGATTGGCCTTTTTCTTTCTTGACCTTCATGACGTTGTCCCAGAAGCTAGTGCACTGTTCGCCGCACTCACCGGCCAAAAACGAGCGCACATCGCCCAACTTGTCCTCGCTGACAGGGTCCATGGCAGTGGGAGCAGTAGCCTGCACAACAGGTTGAGGCATATTCGCCGAGCCACCCAAAATCCGCGCTTTTTTCTCCGCCAGCGACAGTGCAGTGGCTGTGCTGACACATAGGGACACGCCCAAGAGGGCTGTCGTAGTCAGTACCATAATTTCTCCTTGACCAAAAAAAAGGAATTACTAAGGTTGCGATACTGTGAATGATGACAAGTCCTTTTGCATACACCATAAATGGATCTCTAGTAGTAGAGTTGCCTTTTCCTGAAAATAAGTCCCGACGTTAGTAACATGTTCGTATCTACTGACTTTGCGATTAGCACGAGTCTCGATCAACACGAAGTGAATAGCACTGAGTGAACGCGAGGTAGAACAATTTCTTCGGACATATAATTCTCGTTACATGAAGCATTGCATTACGATCTATCAAAGTCCCCTTTGTGTTTGCAACAAACACACCATCGATACTTATGTTTAATCTACTTTCCAGCAAGCGCAGCAGACCCGACGCGGTTCAAAGCCTTGACCAAGTCCAACTCGCGGACCAAGATTTGGCTTCGGAGGCGTGCTTCTCCCGCGTCCCTGTGGGATTCCATATGCTGGAGCATCGTGGCGATCGTAGCGTAGCTGGGATCAGAGACCAGACGGACGTTGATTTCGCGAGAAAAACGAACAAAGCTGGATCCCTTGTACTTGTGCAACTGCTTGTCGAATTCTGCGATCACAACCTTAGCGACCTCCTGGAACTCCTTCTTGGCAGAAGCAACCAAGGCAGCCTCGGCACCTGCACGCTTGCCCTCGAGGGAGGTCACGGCAGCTGCGCCAGCACCCTCGTCAGACGTGGTCTTGGCCATCTTCACGGAAATCGTAGGAGAGGCGATGTTGGCGAAGGAAGTATGACCGAGAGCCTTGGCGATGGTGTTTCCAAGTGCGACCGTGGCCTCAGACAAAGTCTGCTTGAAAGCAGCCTCAATTTCAGTAGAAGCGGCAGCCTCAGCGGATTTACGCGCAGACTCGGCACTCTTGATGGCGGCAGAGACCTGCGGAAAGGGCGTGGACGGAGAAGCAACGGAGAGCTCCACAAAAGGCTTGCCTGCCTGAACTCCTGCGGCGGCAGAAGCCAAGACGAGTCCGGTCACGAACTTCAACATTTTGTTTGTGCTTTTTGGATGGGAAAAAACGAGCGCTAGTGATGTCAAGTAGAAAGGATTGTCGGATGATCAGGGCATTCACACTTTACGTCAGTGACGGTACGACACCGGCTAGCTAAGTACTCAAAAACGATTTCGAATTGCTAACGAGCCAAGGGAACAGCAGCTACCTGCGAGCTAGTACAGACGCTAATGCATAGATAAGTATGCCATTTTTCCGATCATGATTTTCACAAGCGTTGCATACGACCAACGAGAAACATCTTAGGAATGAGTTGAGTACTTACAGAATCTTCGTCTCCGAAAATATTGCTAAATGCTTTTTGACCTGTAGCGCAGTGAAAATGCTTTTTACAAAGCATGCGGCATCGCGCTGGCCGCAGCAGCGTACGGGGACGTCGGGATCTTTTCACCTGCAGCAGAGTACAATGTCGCGTCCGTGAGAGCGGAGTCGCCAGAGAGCCAAGCAGGAGCAGTTGGGCACTCCATTTGGGTGCCGACGGACTCTTCGAAGGTCGTGTACTGAGGAGGCATCTTGGACAGGTTATGGAAAACAGCCATGGAGCATGCTGGAGGCGCGGAGACCATGCTGCACTCATCCTTCATATCGGAGATCCACATACCTGGACACGAAGTCATCGTCAAAAGACACGACGTAAAGCAAAGAGGCAATCGGCCAGTCGGACCCGGCTCCTCGCGAGCGAGCGGAACGGCGCATCGCGGAAAAACGGAAGCGCACTGCATACCCATGTAAGCTGCGAAGCAAGCTTTGTAGGCGGCGTCGCTGGTCTTACCGACGGTTTTACGGTAAAAGCGCGGAAAGTCCGCAATGGTGCCATCCAGCTGTCGGTCCGTCACGTCAGCCATAGCGAAGTCAGCGGCCGTGATCGGGTAAAGCACACTGCCTCCACAGTTGGAAGCGGTAGCTAAAGGCATACACGGCAAAGGCTGGTTGATCCATGCGGGTGCGCCAATAAGCGGCGGCGCAACGCTCAACAACGTCGACATGGCACTCTGGATCAAACCTGCACCGGTCGCAAGCCCCTGGCCCGCCAGAACTTCCGCTGTGCCACGTCCCTGCGGAGCCAGCTTCGATACCAACTGAGACAGGTCGCCACCAAACAGGCGTGCAACGATTCCACCTGGAAACGCGGCTGCGCCTTTCACCGTCGCAGCCTTAGCTGGAGAAACACCGTAGTTGCAGTGCGGAGCCGCAGCCATCTTAGAGGTAAATGTCGGAGAAGCAGCGAGGAACGAGATCTGTTCGGCTTGTTGCTTGTAGTCATCCACATTGAAAGAGGCCAAGATCTCGGAATAGGCCTTCTCAAACGCGATCTCAGTATTCTCATCTTGCTTCTTCTCATCGCTCAAAGCGATGATAGCGTCATTCTCCTTCAAATTCTGCTGAGCCAGCTCCAAGCTCGTCATCGCCGCTGCGCCAGCAGCGAAGGAAACGACACCCACAAACTGACGCATCCTGAAGTCTGCAGACACAGAATCCGCGATGGAAAGAAAAAAGTATGAGACTAAGATGAGAAAGTGGATAGTATTAGATCGGACCTGAGGCAAAGAAAATCAAATTTATTTCAAAGAGTTTTTACTGACTCTAAGTGATACGAAAAACGAAGCTCAACGATGTGAGAAGCGATTTGCTTCTTCATGAACGAGTAGTGAGCATGCAGATCGAAACACTATTCGAGCGTCACTTTGAAATCCCTTACAGCGTGCAGCACGCATTAGGAGAATTGTAGGTAAATCTATTTTCTGAGCACTCCATCCAAAGCAACATTTGACTCATCGAAAATGAAAACAAAACAAGCTCACAGGGCAAAAACAAGAAGTGCCTATATTTCTTTGGACTACAACTATTCTTACAAGGCGAATATCCAACTGTACTACTATGTGCATTAAATCACGTCACTAGATTCGAGCTTTCCTTTCCTCTCGATGCTCGCTGTCATATCTTCCTGTGACAAGGATTGTTGTCTGCGAACCACTGAGCACTTCGTCTCTTCTAGGCACATGGAAAGTCCACTTTGCAATCCGCTGCTTCAGAGAGCTTCTCTACCGCAGTCATTCCATCGAAATCGATCCGCTCATTGCATGGTCCTGTGTATTCCGGTGGAGCCAGACACTCGGTGCCGAGCAAAGACCACTCTTTTGGGCATCGCGACACGTCCCTTGCGCACTCCAAGGCTGAAACGGGCACTCCTTCAGCCAAAGCTGCCGCTCTCAGAGCATCTGTCAGAGTGTTTTTGATCATCACCATACTTTCGCCAGGGTGGGACGCTTGCAGCGCTGCTTGAGGTCCCGTGAGAGCAGGCGCACGCAGCAGCGAGGCACGATCATGAACCATCGTGATCGTGTCCAGAGACTTCGACGTAGTCCAAGATTCTGTAGGAACGTCGAAGGGAACTTCCGCTGAAACGGCTTGGATCCATGCGGCAAAGCACGTTGCTTTGATCGCAGACCACATCATGGTTTCTTTTGAGTGTAAGTAAGTTCCTTTGATGGAGAAAAAAACTGACAAGAGCGGCAGTACTTTGATAGACGATGAGTTTGAGTTGTAAATGAGGGAACAAAAAGTCGAATTCTTTACGATACTAGAAATAACGTGAAGATGCGATCGAGAGGAAAGGCACAACGAAGAAACACAAACGCACGTCTGAAGTAAGAACGATTGTGCCAAATTTGCTTGTAAACTATCTGCCTATGTCCATCTCCATTTTCATCTGACATTTAAAGTATATCAGGTCCGAGCCAAAACGCTAAAGAACAGCAAGCAATACGATGTAGAAAGATGTAGATCACACCATTTCAGGTCGAAATCTAAGTAGTACTTATGATGAAGTATTATAGGAGCAGCTATCGCAGCACGCCTGAGACTATTTTCCGTCAAACCGAAGGTTGAAGAGTGGTTAGACGGCAAATTTATTGAGTCACATCAGACTTCTCCATCTTGTTTCCGAGAATTCAGATTTACTTGGCACGAGCAGCCTGCAAACCGGAGAGCAGCTCCTGATCAGCTCCGAGCAATCCCTGGAGAGTTTCGATTTCCGAAGCATAGACCTTCTCCTGCGTCATTGCTTGCTGGGAAACAAAAGCCGGCGTTGTGACGTCGACGTTGAGGACCGGAAGCGGCTTCGGCACATCATCTCCAGCTAAGAAACTTGCGCGCATCTCGTTTTCCAAACCTGAGAGCAGTTCAGCAGCGTAGGCGTAAGAATCGGTGCTCAAACGGGACATATCGACCTTCATGCCCTTTCCCTCGCCGACGAAAACATTGACGGCTGGCTCACCTTGGAGAAACGAAGTTGCACCTCCCAAAAAGGACCCGCGCATGGCATCGAACTTCGCCTTGATGTTGCTCTTCACAGCACCCAGAATCGCCTGGTAAGATGCTTCCAAAGTCGCAGCCGGAGCGGGATTCTCAAAATACACATCAGTTGTGCCTCTCTTCAAAAACGACGTGCGTCCGTAGAGCGTAGAGCGGGCAACTGCGTCAGCATCGGAGACGGCTTTGGCACTTTCCACACCACCACTAGTGTGGGGGACATCGTAATGAATGTCGATCACGCTGGGTAAGCTCGCTTGCATGACATCCTGGATTGCGATCGGCGGAACGAACGGCTCCAGGGCCATAGCGCCAGTGACTGCCAAAGCGGAAGAGAGAACGAAAGCACGGGACATCTTGTTCAGAGCAGAGAGTGAGATCGATTGGAGCTAGTTGCAAAAAACAGAAAGAGGACTAAGTATCCTTGCAAAAATAATGAGATGATTTAGATTTACCGAAAGAAGAGAATCCAGTATGTACTCATCTATCCGATTGAACGTTTATTCTTGGGTCGAAAATTCTTTTTGGGTTTGGGAGTTGTATTCTTTTTGGGCCTGCACGATAACTGCGATCTCTGACGACGACTTCTTTGTGCTTAAATTATGAACGACAATCTAGTTAACTTAGAATCTCTCGTTCCACTCACCAGCCAGCTATGAATAGAAGAAAAGATGCCTTGCATAGGCGCAATCGTATGAAAACTGCAAAAAATACGCTATCTTCGTGATAAGGTGTCCACATTCAGTCTTGATGTTTGCAAGTTCAAGTCCGTTGTTGCAAAAAAAGACATCGGAAAGTAGAAGTGCATTCATTACCGAGAGATGCCTTCGCTCAAACGTCCAATCACAAGCCACCTACCTTAACGTCCAAGATCATAGAAAAATGTAAGTGCGCTTATCTTGATGCAAAAACTATCTATTCTATAATACGCAGCTGTGCAAGTTCAAAGTTGGAATAGAATCTATTTCTTGACATCATATCAGTCTGTCAGTCGGTCCTTACATCGAAGTCAGTACAACAACAACAAAAAGATATCAAGTTACTTACAAATGACAAACTACAACCTTTTTGAAAACCACATTTTCTTCTCAGAAATGATCCGCCCCCCTATGATTAGTTCAATCTCAAGAACCTCTTTTTTCTCTTTTTCCCAGTCATCCTTGGCTCAGCGAGCAGCATGCCCGGCCAATGGCCAAAACGCTTCGCACCGGTTTTCGAAATTGACCTTCATTTTTGCGTTGTATCCACGAAAGCTGAAGGGACCACGCGTGCACGGTCCCTCATAGGCTGCCGTCGGTCTGCACTGATTATCGGGTGTGGATTCGAATCCGAGCGGACACGGCTGAGAGTAGTCACGAGCAGCAAAGGTACACGGAAATTTGGCTTGACACTGTTGTTCGAAGCGCATCTTTGCCGCCAAGTCCATTTTTCCGAATGCGTAAGGCCCACCACGGCAAGGTCCTCGGTAAGCTGCGGTTGCAATGCAGGATGATCCCCTAGTAGTCTCACCAGAAGTAGAGGTAGCCGTAAAACCAGCTGGACAGGAATCGAAGTCCTTTGCACATGCTTTTACCACCGCTGAGACTTTAGACCCCGTGTGCGGACGCGGTGAATGCGTCATCCCCAATACCATTTCGCGCATGCCATCGTTGCGTTGGCGCTCGGGAGGCGGCATGGATACGCTGGTCATTGAGTCGACAAGCATCTCATCAGCGGATCGCAGGTAGCTAGCTCGAGCATTCGTCTCTCCTGCGCCAGGAGTCTGTTCGTTCATCAGATGAGCGCTCAAAGGACCGCGAACGTTGTTAGCGGAAGTAGCGCCCGCCAAAGTCCACAAGAATCTTGTTTTGAACGACATCTTCTTGTCTCTTGAGCCGCAAATGATTCGATGTGCGCACAAGCAGAGACACCAAGCTTTCAAGAAAAAAAACTACTACAGTTGTAGCTCAAGAGATGGGACGTAAAAAAAACAATAAATCGACAGAAGAGGGCACGACACTCGCAGTTCAAACGATGTTTCCGGCGACAACCACCGATCTGAATATCGCGAGGGAAGTATTATGCTTTGCACTCACACTCGTATCTCGTCCATTTGCAAAAGGCAGAAACCCGACATACGGCTAGACAAGGATAACGCATATCTCGCCTGCTTTGACATGATGGACCCACAGATACATAAGATCAACGAGAAGCTTTTTGAAAGTACGTACTTAGAAGTTGCAGAGCCACCTTGATATGCCAGACCGACGCGCAGAAAATGGTAATGCGTCATGAGCGCGAACTTATTGGGCGCCCGAACATCAAGGACCCGGCAGAACCCCAAACAACGCCACAGAAAACGGAGCCAAACAACCAAGAGCCGAACCAACCGGGCCTGCAAACACCAAGGACCCGACAGAACCCCAAACAACACCACAGCAAACGAAGCCAACCAACCAAGAGCCGAGCCAGCCAAACCCGCGAACATCAAGGACCCGGCAGAACCCCAAACAACACCACAGAAAACGAAGCCAAACAACCAAAAGCCGAACCAACCGAGGTCGCGAACATCAAAGACCCGGCAGAACCCCAAACAACACCACAAGAAACAGAACTACCCAACCAAGAGCCGAGCCAACCGAGCCCGCGAACACCAAGGACCCGGCAGAACCCCAAACAACACCACAAGAAACGAAGCCAAACAACCAAAAGCCGAGCCAGCCGAGCCCGCGAACATCAAGGACCCAGCAGAGCCCCAAACAACACCACAGAAAACGGGGCAAAACAACCAACAGCCGAAACAACCGCGGCTGCGAACACCAAGGACCCAGCAGGACCCCAAACAACGCCACAGAAAACGAGGCAAACCAACCAAGAGCCGAGCCAGCCGAGCCCGCGAACATCAAGGACCCGGCAGAACCCCAAACAACACCACAGAGACCGAAGCCAAACAACCAAGAGCCGAACCAACCGGGCCTGCGAACATCAAAGACCCAGCAGAACCCCAAACAACACCACAGCAAACGGAGCCAACCAACCAAGAGCCGAGCCAACCAAGCCCGCGAGCATCAAGGACCCGGCAGAACCCCAAACAACACCACAAGAAATGAAGCCAAACAACCAAAAGCCGAACCAACCGAGGCCGCAAGCATCAAAGACCCAGCAGAACCCCAAACAGCACCACAGGCTACAGAACTACCCGACCAAGAGCCGAGCCAACCGAGCCCGCGAACACCAAGGACCCGGCAGAACCCCAAACAGCACCACGGAAAACGCAGCCAACCAACCAAGAGCCGAGCCAGCCGGGCCTGCGAACATCAAGGACCCGGCAGAACCCCAGACAACACCACAGCAAACGAAACCAACCAACCAAGAGCCGAGCCAGCCGAGCCCGCGAACACCAAGGACCCGGCAGAACCCCAAACAACGCCACTAAGAACGAAGCCAAACAACCAAAAGCCGAACCAACCGAGGCTGCGAACATCAAAGACCCAGCAGAACCCCAAACAACACCACAGGAGACAGCACTACCCAACCAAGAGCCGAACCAAACGAGCCCGCGAACATCAAGGACCCGGTAGAACCCCAAACAACACCACAAGGAACGGAGCCAAACAGCCAAGAGCCGAACCAACCGGGCCCGCAAACATCAAAGACCCGGCAGAACCCCAAACAACACCACAGCGAACGAAACCAACCAACCAAGAGCCGAGCCAGCCGAGCCCGCGAACATCAAGGACCCAGCAGAACCCCAAACAGCACCACAGGAGACGGGGCCAAACAACCAAGAGCCGAAACAACCGGGCCTGCGAACACCAAGGACCCGGCAGAACCCCAAACAACACCACAGAAAACGGGACCAACCAACCAAGAGCCGGGCCATCCGAGCCCGCGAACACCAAGGACCCGGCAGAACCCCAAACAACACCACAGAGACCGAAGCCAAACAACCAAAAGCCGAACCAACGGGGCCTGCGAACATCAAAGACCCAGCAGAACCCCAAACAACACCAAAGCAAACGAAGCCAACCAACCAAGAGCCGAGCCAACCAAACCCGCGAACATCAAGGACCCGGCAGAACCCCAAACAACACCACAGGAAATGAAGCCAAACAACCAAGAGCCGAAACAACCGGGCCTGCGAACACCAAGGACCCGGCAGAACCCCACACAACACCACAGAAAACGAAGCCAACCAACCAAGAGCCACACCAACCAAGCCCGCGAACACCAAGGACCCGGCAGAACCCCAAACAACACCACAGCAAACGAAACCAACCAACCAAGAGCCGAGCCAGCCAAACCCGCGAACATCAAGGACCCGGCAGAACCCCAAACAACACCACAGCAAACGAAACCAACCAACCAAGAGCCGAGCCAGCCAAACCCGCGAACATCAAGGACCCGGCAGAACCCCAAACAACACCACAGGAAACGAAGCCAAACAACCAAAAGCCGAACCAACCGAGGTCGCAAACATCAAAGACCCAACAGAACCCCAAACAACACCACAGGGAACAAAACTACCCAACCAAGAGCCGACCCAACCGAGCCCGCGAACACCAAGGACCCGGCAGAACCCCACACAACACCACAGAAAACGAAACCAACCAACCAACCAAGCCAGCCGGGCCCGCGAACACCAAAGACCCGGCAGAACCCCAAACAACGCCACAGAAAACGAGGCCAACCAACCAAGAGCCGAGCCAGCCGAGCCCGCGAACATCAAAGACCCAGCAGAACCCCAGAGAACACCACAGCGAACGAAACCAACCAACTGAGAGCCGAGCCAGCCAAACCCGCGAACATCAAGGACCCGGCAGAACCCCAAACAACACCACAAGAAACGAAGCCAAACAACCAAAAGCAGAGCCAACCGAGGTCGCAAACACCAAAGACCCGGCAGGACCCCAAACAACGCCACAGAAAACGCGGCAAACCAGCCAAGAGCCGAGCCAGCCGAGGCCGCGAACACCAAGGACCCGGCAGAACCCCAAACAACACCACAGAGACCGAAGCCAAACAACCAAAAGCCGAACCAACGGGGCCTGCGAACATCAAAGACCCAGCAGAACCCCAAACAACACCAAAGCAAACGAAGCCAACCAACCAAGAGCCGAGCCAACCAAACCCGCGAACATCAAGGACCCGGCAGAACCCCAAACAACACCACAGGAAATGAAGCCAAACAACCAAGAGCCGAAACAACCGGGCCTGCGAACACCAAGGACCCGGCAGAACCCCACACAACACCACAGAAAACGAAGCCAACCAACCAAGAGCCACACCAACCAAGCCCGCGAACACCAAGGACCCGGCAGAACCCCAAACAACACCACAGCAAACGAAACCAACCAACCAAGAGCCGAGCCAGCCAAACCCGCGAACATCAAGGACCCGGCAGAACCCCAAACAACACCACAGCAAACGAAACCAACCAACCAAGAGCCGAACCAGCCAAACCCGCGAACACCAAGGACCCGGCAGAACCCCAAACAACACCACAGCAAACGAAACCAACCAACCAAGAGCCGAGCCAGCCAAACCCGCGAACATCAAGGACCCGGCAGAACCCCAAACAACACCACAGCAAACGAAACCAACCAACCAAGAGCCGAGCCAGCCAAACCCGCGAACATCAAGGACCCGGCAGAACCCCAAACAACACTACAGGAAACGAAGCCAAACAACCAAAAGCCGAACCAACCGAGGTCGCAAACATCAAAGACCCAACAGAACCCCAAACAACACCACAGGGAACAGAACTACCCAACCAAGAGCCGACCCAACCGAGCCCACGAACATCAAGGACACCGCAGAACCCCAAACAACACCACGGAAACCGGACCAAGAAAGCCCAGACAAGCAGATGCGCCCTTTGCGGCGCCTTTCGCAGACTCACAAGCCAACTAGCAGTGACAGACAGGCAGCGCAGAAACCGATATTCGTGACAGAAACTTTCCACCGTGCCCTTCTTTTTATAGGCCACTACCACATCAACAAACCCGAACTCCAACTAGTTGCAGCTATTTGAAGCTTTCATCTCTGGGAGAAGAGTGTACTCCATGCTGGGCCTTTACATCCGCGCTGAGCAGGATGATTGTAAAGCCATGATGAGATCACCTTCAATGTGCAATAGATAAGGACGTTTGAAACTACAAAACTATCGCAAATGAAAGGTTTGATCAACTATTTGATGATGTGCATTGGCATCTTTGATGCCTTTCTCCAAATCATGGTCAGAGATCCCTTGTTTGCTCTCCTCTTCAGAAAGAACCCTGCAAGATATCCGCATATCCAAGTCCCTCACATTCCCCTTGGCTTTGCACAAAGAAAACTTCCCACGTAGAGAACTTCCTGCGCCTCTGAGAGTCAGTTCGTTTCTCAACAGAAAAACGCACATCTTCCAATGTGTAAGAGGTGTGGCGGGAGACGTGTTCAGGACCTCTACATGAACTGATTTGTTGCTCTCAGAGGTCAAACGACTTCTTGTGAGCGATGATGGATCCTCAATTCTTCGCCTCTTCAACATTGTGCTTTTCTCACGACCTCCTTCGAGGTCGCTAAGCAAGTCAGAAGACTCATCGGATAAAACATCTTCAGACGAGTCACCACTGCTTCGCTTAATAATACCACGCGTTCTTGTATTGTTCTGACACCCGGATGGAGTTTTCTCACCTTTGAAGATGTATGTGTCCTTGTTTGATGTTGCACTCAAACTACATGTTGGTGACTCGTCAACACCTTCTACTCCATTAAGATGGCCATCTCCTTGGGGTCCCAAAGCAACATCCTCACCGTTCACCTGCAATCCATGATCCGTCGACGCACCGTGTAAAAACGCAGCTTCCACACACTCCCCCGCCCCAAAGACGCTCTGCGAAATGCCACAGGAAAAAGTAACACTGAACCAGGCACAGAAACTACTAACTTTCGCAAATTGATGCTGTTGTCGTTGTTGTTGTTGGTCTAGAGGTAGAGAAGAAGTTTGTTCTTCTGAATGTAGTTCATCCACTTCGACCGTAGAAGAAGAAGAAGCGTTCCCCTTATTATTAAGGGTAGAAGCACCTCGTCCACTTTTCTTCATCTTGTTCACCAATGGAAAGAGCTCAAACTCGGTTTCGAAATCCAGCTCCTCTGCAGAGATGGTGTTTAAATCGATATCTATGACGCGCACAGGTGTGGTAGAGAGTGAACTTCGGGTTACGTCGCACACGATGCCATCTTTGAGGACTAGTTCGCCAATAGCCGAAAAATCATACCGCGACCAAGAGGTTCGCTTCTCAGTCCAACGCAGTAATTTCTCCTCTCGTCTCGCGAAATCGTCGACTCCCGCTAGGTAGATAGCACAACGGTCAGGGAAGATTAAGCCGGCTTCTTGTTCTAGAACTTGTTCTTCTTTTGTTCGGTTTGCTTCAGAGCCACCTATCGTGGTTCGCTCTTCGTTTTGTTGTGGCGCTCCATCTGGAAATGTGACTCTCGTGGTCGTCGTGGGAGATGCAGCGTCCTCTTGTTGAGAAACTGCCGAAGGAGCATCACCCTTTGGCTCTGATGCTACGATCCGTTTCTTCAGGTAGTGGTCTCGACAATACAGAATCGTATCCGCCATGCCCTCATACAGCAGCAAATAGCCCATCCATTCTGATAGCAAGATATCCACCGAGTTCTTCTCAATCGGCAAGTCCTCTGCTCGACAGTTGAAGAACTGGATTCGGTCTTTGTAGCTCTTTGCGGTTTCATCAGAGCTTTCCGTTCTTGAGTTCAACTCCGCCACTTCCTTCGCCACGTCCATGATGTTCGAATATTCGCACGCGTAAACCTTCTTCGCACCTGCTTGGACTGCTAACAGGGACAAAATCCCCGTCCCAGATCCAATGTCCAAGACGATCTTGTCCTTGAAAAGGTGCCTGTTCTTCAAGATAGCCCGTCTATAGCCTTGGGTTCGCACCTCGTCTTCCAGCATGTCCTTGTGAATTCCGGGTCTACTATAGGACGTGAAGTAGTAGTCTGCATTGGACCGCGTCAGGGAGCTCGGGGTGATCAAAGTAGTTGTCGTCTTGGAGGAAGGGTCCTTTGCCGTTCGTGTCGAAGTCGAGCCACAACTCCTTCCACCGGCTTCACCCAGACTACTATCAAACCTGTGCAATGCTGTCCGTTTTTCCTCAAAATCCATCAAAGAGAGAGCCTCACTCGATGGATTCTCGGTAGAGGTACAGCGGGCCATCTCCCATGGCAAGGCACAGAAGTCCTCAAGGGACATCTTGCTGGAGAGAGACGTCTTGCTGGAAAGAGCCATTTTGCTGGAGAGAGACGTCTTGCTGGAGAGAGCCATCTTGCTGGAGAGAGACGTCTTGCTGGAGAGAGCCATCTTGCTGGAGAGAGCCATCTTGCTGGAGAGAGACGTCTTGCTGGAGAGAGCCATCTTGTCTGATGTTGACGTCATCTTGCTTTCGTTGGTCAGTGTCGCTTAAAGAAAGTACTGTAAATGATTAAACCACAAGACAGTTAACTTGCCAAGACACGAGGAGGAAGATGGTTCAAGTAGGTCGTATTTACGACGGACTTAGCAGAAGATCAGAGAACTTACAATGTCGTCATACTAGGAACGCGCCACTGGACTGTGATAGGCAAAGAAGATTTTACTTATTTCATACACATGAGAGATAGAACAAGGTAGGAACCACAAAAGGGGATCGTGTGGATCTTTCACGATACGGGAGACGCGCTCGTCTGTGACTTTGATCTATTTCTGTTCTTGTCCCAACATCACTTGACAACTGGTACCATCTAGGGCTGTAGTCTTCGACTACAAACTTTCGATTACAACAGCCAGCGTTTTTCCCGCAAGCAGGCGTATTTTTCTGCAGGCGAGGAGCCATGAATGGCTTGCTAAGGTATTCATGCATTTTTGCTGTCTGATCTGGTACAAAAAAACAGCAAGATATGTTGTTAGGATCAATGTCCAAAAAAAATGGACAAAAAAGCTGATCGCATTTTTCCAAAAAAAAAACTCAAAAACAATCTGTCGAGTGTCAGTCAACATGCTCTCATGTTCTATGGCTCTTATGTATGAATCATGCTTCGTCTGCTCTTCAAGATGCTGTTTTTAGTACATAGAAGATGATTTCCGCAAAAGAAGCTATCAAAATTATGTACAGGACGAAATTACCTCAAAGTCAACGAAGCCCAAAGAGCCTTGAGTCAAAAGCCATATACATACTGTAAAAAATTACTTATACTAAAAAAATGCACGGCGATTCGACTATTGCTTGTTAGTCTTTTCGCCCATAAACACCCCTCATAGTCTGTGGAGTGGTCGATCGGGATCGGCATTGTCTTTTCCACCCCACAACTGGTATTTGTTGTTCGTATAACCACACATTTTTTCAAGGTGTTTTTCGTTTTCCGACGTAAAAATAAATAATTCTACGTCAATCAATCTCGAGTAATCGCTTCAAACCAAATAGTACGCTGTAGCCACAGCACCAGCCTTGTCTGAGTATATTTGGGAAAAATAGGACACTATTGTCGGAACGACCTTGAAGGCTCTCTCATACCAAACACGATGATCATGATTAATTAAAAAGGAGTATGTGAGTCAATCACTGCACTTTGTGTATTAATCCCAAAATTGTAGGCGTAAATCCTAGAGTAGTTTCACTCATTCATTCATCCAATGGATTACTCGAACATTCTTTTTGATGTTACATTTTAAAATTTTTTTTGCGGATCTGCATTAAATCGCATTAGCATTCGCATTCCAGTTCCGAAGAACCTAAGTTCTGAAGGATATGTTGCAAAGAAGGGCAGCAACAAGGTCACACGAGAGGGAATATCCCATCTGCTTCCACGAGAGACCTCTGCTCCTCAACATAAAAGATGTAATATTTTTTTTGCAGCGTACGTGTTCTATAATGGTGCGACTACAAGAAAACAATAAGCGATTCAAATCTCGAATCTGTTGTTAGAAAATGAAAGAAACTATAACGGCCCTAGGACACGCATCCATGATGGGGCATAATGGTGTTGTAAAAAGAAAAAAAGACTACTAAGAGGAGGTTCCTCTTTCGTACTAGTAGCGGGCAACTACTTGAAAAAACTACTCATAACGACGACGAACTACTAATAACGGAAAGAATTACTACGGTAGAGTTATGAAAAAACCGTATCTTCAATCTCCATTTTAATTTCCCATAGTTCGACCAACACCGTTCAGCACCATTCACTTGGTCAGGTTTTGGTACACTTCTTTGATTCTCGCAACCATTAGAGCTCTCAACCTGATCCATCCTGAGATCCTAGGTGGATACTGTTAACCTCTCTGAAGATTTAAGATAGATCTTCGAGGAGAGAAGGAAACGCAAACGTCTTCGCTCTATTATAATAGATGGATCGCTAGGTCTCCAAGTAGATGCTTCGTTCTCTGAAGATTATCATAATACATTAAATAGATCAACACTTTTTTTAGGATAAAATATTTGTGATACAAGCCTTAACAACACGTACGGCGTGGTACCGCTAGCTTCACGAATCCGCACTAGCAGTTTCACTAGTTCAGTGCTCCGTTTCAGCGCATGCCTAGTCCTCGCTACAGCTGCCGAACAGCGGTCGCTGGTTGGTCCCTTCGTGATCTCGCCTAACAAGCGACAGCAGTACTCGGCAAATCGTTCGTCAGTATGAAAATTCTCCAGTTGGCCCACAATCCACTGAAGCTCTTCCAGAGACAAGGCTTGTTCATGCATCACATTGACATTGCTTTGATCGCATCCACTTCCGATCTCTGCATTCACCAAATTCGCCAAGGCCCAAGAGTATGACCGAAAAAAGTGTACTCATCCTCAAGAAAAGAGGCTTTTTCCTACTGAGAAAGTGCCGACTTTCTTGAGGACGAGTACACTTTTTCGTTTCATAAACAGACTGTCGTATTCAGAGTAACGTCTGCTGCATGCGCTCGCATTCCGGCAAAGAGAAGCGAGATAATGCCAGAATCTTGCTGGTCCTGTGATGTTTTGTAAAGTCAAGCATATTACTCCGCGGAAATGAAAGAACTTGCAGTTGCATCAAAAGATGAACTACATCACATGGAATCTGATCTTCTTGTTCTAGATTCATGGTAAATAGGATAACTATGCAGAAAAGGAAGAAACCGATGATCATCATCTACAGATTCCTTCGTCCTGCTATACATAGAGTCACAATTCATGATTCAAAAAAACCAGTCCAATTCTTATAAAAAGTACTCCTCTCACGTTGCCGATCCCCCTGCCTGCCAATTCCAAAAATTTCCTCTGGTTCTCCCTACAATTCTCCGTCACTGTCGCGATGCATCTGCAAGCGTTTCCCACCACTGGGGAATGGTCTGGATGGATCAACAGGGATTGCCTTATCAAAGAGAAGAGAGCATCTGGCAAATGCAGCTTCTGCGAACGATGGCAACTATTAGACTCTATCGATTCATAGAGCTCCAAGCAGTTTGTATGGTTCTGGTATTTGGTAAACGCAGTTATTTATATGGTTCTGGTATTTGGTAACCTGGTGAATTTGATCTTCATAAGGGTTCTCTTCTTGTTCTCCCTCAAACAGTTCTCATTTCTTACCTACAATCCAAAGAAGGGAATAGAAGAAAATGACCTGGCTGTGAAAACGAATTAAGTATATTGAGCCGTAAAACTATGCGCGACTGCAATGCAAACGTTGGAGACGATGGCTGCGTAGTCGATGCCACGCTCAAAGAGGGAGACCTGATGGGTTGTCAGTGATTCAGGAGAGTTCTATTTTGCTGATGAAGAGATGATCAAGAGCATGTTGACATTTGAAGAAAGTCAAAGTGATGATCGTGCTGAACTACCAATATCTCGACTCCGCCCATCTTGAAAAATTCTTTTTGATTCTCTGGACACGTCTCCACCACACTCGCAACGCAACCTGATAGATACGCTCCTGCGTTGCGCGTTTCTGCGTGCGAAGGGCTAGAACTAGAACTTTGATCACCTGGCGCCAATGAAGGTTCTATCTGTGGTAGTCTCTGCGTGATCAAACGTAGGATAAGCGTTATGCCCCCACTCTTTCGGAACAATGCTTGATTGTCTCCATGTTTGTTGCACAAGTTCATCAAGGCCCAACAACCGTGGACGACTAGGTCGTTGGCGTGTCCCACGTTAGGTGCACTACTGGCATTTGATTGTTGCAGTTGATGATGACCCACAACTTCTGCAGCATCTTCAGCAGCTGGCCTGATCATTGCATCTACTATCTTCGCAATCGCGCCTGCTCGCCCAATCTCACTCTGATGCCCAGGATGTCTTTGTCCTAGGACTGCTAATAGCCTAGAGCACGCGACGCAGACTTGACAGTAGTTAGTGTTCTGCGTCACAGGAAGACTTGGCTCGCCTTGTTGATCTTGATCTGATGGTCCTGGTCCGCCATTCTGCAGTTGCGCAACGCCACTAGTGCTACTACTGCCATCTCCTCCAAAAAGACCTCTTCTATCCAACATCGGCAAAATACTTCTTTCCACTTCTGGCAGAATCAATTGCTTAGCCCCAGCCTCCGCAAACTGAGATGCGATTTCTGATAATAGCAATGCTCCATCTCGTTGAATCCTCGGAACTAGAGGAAAGCACCGCAAAGACCGCACCGTAGTCGCCACCACCGAGGCTACCATGGTCTTCTGCTGTGCGAGCGATTGATCCTTACCGGCAAGGGCTAGAGAAGCTTGGAGTTGCGACTGCTGTCCTGAAGAAGATGATAACGAAGGGGCAAAACCTCCAGCACTAGCATTGGGATTCGTCTTCACATCTCCGTTTAACGCAGCGACCGTTTCGTAGCTAGTTCTTCCGCCAGGGTACTCAGCGAAGAAAAATTCTCCACTTTTCCTCCGATGTTGATGAAGTAATTCTGCACAGGCACTGCCTCCATTTGCAGTAGTTGCCCCATCAACTCCAGTCCCACCACTAGCCATATCTTGTTCGCTTTTTGTCTTTATGCCGAGCCCTCCCCCACTAGAAGACGCATTTCCGTGTTTGTTGGACACGAATTTCAGCAATGTCCTTAGTCCTTGTACTTGCACAGCTTCGCTCCCTGAAGATGTTTGCATAGTCTGAAGCACGTCTTCGTAGGAGGAAGGAGCGGCGCCGCTCCCACTACTAATATAGTGTCCAGCATTGCTTCCTTGTCCATTCTGCAGCTTCATCTTCCCTGAAGAGGACAGATTACCTGATGCTGTCGCTCCAGTCGTGCCCAACGACGAACTCGTGACCAAGTCTTCGCCTGCCGAGTCTGTTTTCGAGGTTTTCGATGAGCTCCCTTCCGATGTCGAACTACCTGGTTCTGGAACAAGATGAGCATAATCCTTAGTATTGTCAGAAGAATGTAGTTGACGTGCGCGTCCGCCTACTAGTACATTTCCTCCAGTCGACAGTTGTTTCGCCAGTCTTTCGTTCTCCCTAGTCAGCCTATCGCATTCAGCTCGCCACCTCTCGCATCGCTTTCTTTCGTCCTCCAAGTCCGCTTCTAGCCTGTAAATCCTACTAGTCAAATCCGTCTTCATACTCTCGCACTTGTCGGATAAGTGCGTCTTGATCTGCCGATGCTCCTCGACCATGCCCTGAAGACAGATATTCTTCCTCTCGAGAGAATCGATTAGCAACCTATCTTCACTCCGTTCCTTCTCCAAAAACTCGCGTATTTAGAGCAACCGCGTAAGCATCTTCCCTGAGAGCCACATCCCTGGACGCTTCTTTTTCCCCTTGAATTATAATAAGATCGATCCCAAGGTCTGAGGATTTCCCAGTATCATGTTCTGAGGATGCATCTGCGGTAGCCTTAATGTTTCTTACGCAGATGCTCCGTTTCGTCCACCTGTCTGTCTAGAAGTTCTTGCGTGATCATCTGCTGTTGTCCTGCTAGTCCTGGAGCCGTTGCGCTACTGCTTGTGGTCATCGTGCCATTGATGTTCACCAACTTTCGTATTAGACCTTGCCCAAATCTACCATCCCGCCCAGCATCTCGGCCCTTCAAAATGAATGGGGCCAAGACGCTCCGAAAGATGGATCAATTTTTTCAAGCCTTAATCGTATCCTCTTCCGTCTCTGAATCTTCTTACATCTCTGCGCCATCTGAAGACTGGTCTTGGAAGCCTGGTAAGTGGCGCGGTCCGGATGAATGCAGAAAACCATGGTGACGCCGCAGTCTTCGCGGAGGAGGGATGAAAGTGGGAAGGGATCATGTAGTCGGTGAGTATATGAAGAAGTAGACAATAACTAGTTTTGAGTTCCTATACGATAGTGTAAATCAACGCGCTTCCCCTTCCTCTACACTCGTAAACAACAAGAACAACAGCCATTAGCTTTCCATAAACTATCGAACAGTATCATGTTCAGAGTAACAAAACTCATTCGAACTCTTTCCATAAACTATCGAACAGTATCATGTTCAGCGTCGACTGCCTCCTATCGCTGTCGTCCAACTGGTTATACTGCATTTTGACTAGCAATCTATTCAAATGCGTCAACGACACGTTGATCCCATTCGCTTCCGTCTGTCCATTCTTGGTCGGGTTCTCATGTTCCTTCTCGCTACCAGCTAAATCGACCAAAGTAAGTGTGCCACAGGTCACTTCAGCGGAGGGTAAGAAAGACTTCACGTGGAAACGGAAGTGGTTAGAAGTGGGAGGACGAAAGGATGTACTCTGACGCTAGCTTTTTATCTTCAAACTGATAGAGGGGAAGTACTGGGGTAAACCTCTGACTTGGTTCTATTTCAGCCTCAAGTAGAGACGTGTTTTTAAAAATATCGAGAGCTTTAGAATTCAAGAGACGCTCATTTTATTAACAAGAACACTTTCTAGCGATCTGATAATAACAAGAACATTTGCTTCTAGCCATAATCACCATGTGACTTCTGGAAGATTCCGAGTTTAAACTGCTACTCCCTACTTCGCGACTGTCGATGGCGTATCGCAAGTGCTGTATGGCTTCTTCATACGACCAGATAGTTTTTTTCGAGAAATAGCAAACTTTACCCTTGACCGGTACCCGATCGTAATCGAGGACGTTGCGGGGGGCTGAGGTGGGAGTGCAAGAAGCGGAGTGGTCACGACGAGATATTTATCATCAGATTAGTGTCTACTTTTCACAGGTAGGAACGTACTTAGTACTAGCTGGTCTTTAATATTGTTGGGCAATGGTCATTACTGGCTCAAGATCCAATGAATGAACCTGATATCAATGCCAAATGACTGCCCTCACTCGTCACCTTGATCATGATCAATGCCGTTCCTTGTCTTGAACTCATGTTAGTTCCTCGTATGATCATCATACATTTGAACTCAATGAGTTCCAACATGAATTAGCAGCAAGATCTCCCAGATCTTTAACTGCACTATGACCCTTAATGATATCCCAATGACATTGAACCCATTTTGATACCATTTCAGGGCCTTAAACAGTCAGTGATCATTCGGCACGTCCGTTCTGATCGTCTTTCTGTTACATTGCAACGATAATCATTCCATTTGCTCTCAAGAGCCTCATAGTGCGCTTGGACGTGTTCGGGTGTTCCAACACTGTTTCAAGCCCTTGAGCCTTTCTTACCTTATTAAAGAAATAGCTAGTCAATTCTTTGTAGAAGTAAAGGAAACAAAGTCGCACTACTTGCGCCACAAAATGCCCGATATGAGTCTCGGAGAGATTTCACCCAAACTGGGGCAGAAATCTGACTGGCGTGACTGGCTTCGAGCGGTAACGCAAGAAGCAGACCGCCTGGACCTAGTCCAATACCTCAACAACGTGCTGAACGGCAATGCGACAGGGGTTCCGAACCAACCCAACAACAACGACCGCAAGCTCCAGCAGAATTGGCGAGATTTGAAGAGTGTGATCATCAAGTCGCTCAAAGGTGCAGCCGAAGCACATATGAAGGATCAGGATACCACTGCAATGAATGCTGGCGAAATGGTAACGAACCTCCGTGACGCTGGTTTCAGTCAAAATGACCGCACAGGGCAACGAATCTCTGCTAAAGCGTTGGAAGGGATGCACTTCACGAACCCTGATTCTCCTCCAGACGTTCCAACATTCCTGGCGAAGGTCAGAGATGTCATGAACCAATCTCCGACCGTATACCCGCCGGAAGTTGGTGTGGCTGTTGCTGATCAACAAAACGGCGCAATCCTCGACATTCTGCCAAAAATGTTTTCCAAAGCATTTCGACAGACAATCGAGAGGATGCAAGAAGAAGAACGTCTAACGTTCGTCCAAATCGGTGAAAGACTCACGAAACGCCTTCAAAGTTTGATTGACTCTGGTGAGTACAAGATCGAGAGTCCATCTTTCGGCAAAGCTTCTCCAGCTGTCGAAGATTCGGATGATGAAAACCAGAACAATACCAAAACCAAGAAGCGCAAGCGTCAAGATGAGAGTGATGACGATGGTAATGCGTTTGCCGCTCTCAAGAAAACAACGATCAAACGACTTCGCAAGAAGATTCGCAAAGAAATCAAGAATGAGGCCTACGCAACAAAAGGAAGTGGAAAGAGTAGTAGTAGTAGTTCTAGTAGTAAGAAAAACAAAGGAAATGGCAAAGGTAAAGGTGCTAAGAACTCTAATCCTATTGAGGGTATCCAGTGCAACTATTGTCACAAGTATGGACATAAGGCGCACAAATGCTGGCTAAACCCGATGAGTCAAAGCTACCAACCTAACAAAGCCATGGGCAGCAACTTCTTCAACAACTCACGCAACTGCTGGCCGCAAGGTAACGCTATCCCTCCGCGGCACCAGAACAGCTATCCACCGCAACAAAGTGGAGGAAAAGGATTCGACAACAGTAACCCACAGCAGCAATGGGGTGGACAACAACCACAACGCTGAGTCGAAACCAGTCCGGAATGGAATGGATATGGGAAACGAGATGGACAGTCCCAAGATGAAGAGGAATCTGAAGAAGATTTCGAAGATGGAAATGGAAGATGTTCGCTGAACTTTGAAGAAAACCTTGAGAATAAAGAATATAGAAGTGAACTGTTTAGGGGTGAAAGCTATACGATTGATAATCACTCAGGTTGCTATCTAAGTGCAAATAACAGGGAAAATAGCAAAACAGTTTCACTTGTTGACAGTTGTGCAAGTAAGTATTTGTCTCGCCATCGTTCCGATTTCAAGAAGATTAGCTACCGGCTCTATCATATTAGTGGCACTGCTGGAAAGCGAAGTGGGAACTTAGGTAGACTGAAAGAAAACAAATTAGGATTAAAATATGGCGCACACTTTGAACATTTACCAAAAGCCATAGATCGCATCATACCATGGCTAGGCGAAGGGAACTGTCATGAGAAGGGTTGGCAAATGAATTTCACAGAAAGTGGCGGAACGTTGTACAATACCCGCTCCGGCCGCTCTCTACCCATAACAAATTGCCCCCAGATGCAGCTACCTACTCTAGGTTGTGACATGTTTAGCAAAGAAGAAAATGAAAATGAGGAGGATATAGTATGCACTAGTATAGAAGAAGCTAGACTTCATTCACAAGCTTCAAGATTAGACATACATCGTAGACTTGGCCACTTTCACGCTGATGGCCTTCGTGTATCTTGTCCAGAATGTGATCGAACCAAAGGTCAAAGACGCTCTCATGCAAAAGCGAGGCCCGCTGGGCATATACCTTCGCCATTGAAAACACTTGCAATTGATTTCGCAGTTGGTATAATTGGGCCAGTATCTATAAGAAGCAAAAGACGCGCTTTAGTCATTATTTGTGATTCGATTAAAATGCGTCTCGTTCGTCCTCTTTGCCTCAAGTCGGACTGCGTAGAGGTGATTGAAGAAGTAATAAAAGGCATTCGCCAGGACTACTCATTGTCACTCGACGACAAGGCGGCATGGTTCATCCGTAGAGATAGCGAACCCGTCCTAAGTAGTGACCATATGACCGAAGTCATGCAATCGCTACTGGTTTCGGAAATTCCTGGAGTTCCTTACAGCCCAGAAATGAACGGAACTTGCGGACGTTTCACGCGGACCATTTTCGGCGCTGTGCGTACCATGTTGGTCAAAGTCGACCGACGTCTTTGGTGTTACTGCCTACAGTATGCCGGAGATTGTTGGAATCGCTTACCGCATCGTTACGCAAAAATGCCAGAACATGACGGAATGAGTCCCGTCGAGATACTAGAAAAGAGGATAGGAAAGAAGTCCTCGAAAAGTGGTCTAGGTATGCTAAGAAGGTTTGGCTGTTTGGTGTACTTTCGTGAACAGGTCGTAGACACCACCAACAAGAAAGAAGCAGAGCTCGCGCCACCTTATCGGCGTGGTGTGTTTCTCGGTCTGTGTCCAGTTTCGTCTGGTTGGCTAGTAGGTACATATCACAACGATGGGAGAACGAAAGCTGGCTTCAAGTGGAGTGAGTATTCCACACTAGATGTGAAATTTCGAGAGTCGATATTAGTCAAGAACATTGCTTGTCTACTGCCTACGTCGAAGGGCATTTATGTTGATTATGACCCGCTGGAAAACCTGCAGTCTGGCACGCCGTCGCTGGGTCCCGTCCTGCACAGACATGCGCTGCAACGTATGGCCTGTCAGCCGCGCCTCTCTGGCACGGAGTACAGCTCAGGCGATCCAACCGGCATGGAAATGATATTAGATAACAATGACACTGATGAGTTTTTCTGTGAATCTTTGGACAAAGAGGAAGATCCAAAGACCGGGGATGATTCCAACTCTGACGCGCAACGCGTTGAGGAGGGGAATAGCTCATCGGAGCGTGTGTCGCCTGACTCTAATCCTGAAGCAAGGGATCCGAGGCCCTTACCCATTCCACCATCTCAACCAGGCAAAGTTGAGGAGGGGAAGAAAGGCCGAGGAAGACCTAAAGGGAGCAAGGATAAGAATCCAGGACAACGCAAAAGAAGAACAAAAGCCGAGCTAGAAGCATTAAGAAAAGACATGCATAAATTTGCCATGCTAGCAGGCGGGCATGAGCTGGAAGAAGGGGAGACCTTTCTCGAAGCACATGTCATGCTGTCAGTTTCCCAAGCCTTGAAAAGCCCTGACGCCGAGAAATGGCGTGCAGCTATCACCAAGGAGGAAGCTAGACTACTTGCCTTTGAGACTTGGGCGCCAGCTACTGACGAGGAGCTGCGAACCTCTTCTCAGGTAATGCCTATAGCAATCGTTCTCACGGTAAAACGTGATGGAACTTTCAAAGCTCGTGCTTGTGTGCTCGGGAATCTTGATCGTTCGGGGAATATCGACACCTACGCCCCTGTAGTGTCACATGCTGCGAATAGACTTTTACTCGTTTCAGCAGCGACGGACTCTGACTTCGTCATCCCATTCGACCTTGATTCTGCGTTCCTTAATGCTGAACTCGATCGTGACGTCTTCTGCCGTCTTCCACCAGTGTGGGCGGAGAAGCATGGAGCGGATATCGTCAAGCTTAAGAAAGCTCTCTATGGGCTCAAGGACGCTCCACGAGCCTGGTTCAAGAAGTATTGCGTGCTATTGTCCGAACTCGGATGGGAGCCGTGTCCTTCTGCTCCAGGATTGTGGCGGAAAAAGAGCAAAACGCACCCAGGAAAGTATATGAAGATGTCAGTCTATGTTGATGATAACTTAGCTACTGGACCTGACTATCACGAGTTACGGTCTGAGCTCGACCGGATCTTTAGTCGCGCCCCTGGCCGACCTATTGAGATGGCAAAGCGAGTCGATTCTCTTACGGGTTTCGAATGGCTAGAGTTCGACTTTCTTGGTGCGATTGTGCACTATTGTCGGGAAGCACGTTCAGTGAAAATCCTGATGAATGTGTACATAGAGAAGACTTTACAGAAGTATAAAATAACATTAGGTAAGCCGGTGTGGTCTCCAAATTTCGACGAGTCTGCTTTGCTTGAGGAGGGGCTTAAGCTAGCAGCCGGGTTTCCATTGCGTGAGATTGTTGGCGCACTGCTTTGGATATCGACAACCGCAAGGCCAGATATTTGCGTCCCTGTGGCGACATTGGCTCGGTATGTCAGTAAGCCCGTTACAGAAAGAATTGCAAAAGCCTGTAGAAAAGTATTAAAGTATCTAGCTACGACAAAAGACCAAGGACTCTATTATTCTCCAGAAAGTGAGGAAGAATTCAACGGAATTTACAAGAAGCTCCTACCAGAAGGAAGAGAGCTACCGTATACTAACTGGTTCTCAGATGCAGGATTCGCAAACTGCATAAAGAGCATGCGCTCGACCAGTGGTTCGATTATGTACTATCGGGGTTTTCCAATCTGTTGGAAACGCAATACCCAAACCGTGCGCGCATATTCAACTGCAGAGTCAGAGTATATAGCCGCGTCGGACACTATTGTCATGAGCGAGCTGCATGATTTTACAGATTTCTTCAATCCCTTACCCACTCAACTAGTGGAAACGCGGTTTGGTATATCGCCATCCCTCGATGATGCCATATTGTGGATAGACAACCAGTCTGCAATCTCGACAGCAAAGAGTGAAGATACGAAGCCTAAGAGTAGACACGACGCGCTACGTTGTTTAAGAGTTAGGGACGCAGCTGAGAAAGTCGCTTTCTGTCCTACTCACCTGATGAAAGCTGATGGACTAACGAAACTTTCATGCTCATCCACTAAACGCAGATTATTATTACATCACATAGAGAATCCAGTAATTAGCCGTAACCATGTCGAAGATGATAGTGACTCGGAAGAGGAAGATGATGAGTCTGGTTCAAGTTCTGCTTCTTTGGCGGTGCTTACCTATTCTATCTTCTTAGGGTGTTAGGTCGTTGGTCAAAGGTGACGTCAGTGGCTATACAACGAATAGTGATGGTTCTGGGTCAGAGCAGGTAACGCCAGACCGTTTGTGACTTTTGTCATTTCCTCACCTAGCGATTGAGGAGGGGCGTTGGTCAATGGTCATTACTGGCTCAAGATCCAACGAATGGGCCTGATATCAATGCCAAATGACTGCTCTCACTCGTCACCTTGATCATGATCAATGCCGTCCCTTGTCTTGAACTCATGTTAGTTCCTCGCATGATCATCATTTGAACTCAATGAATTCCAACATGAATTAGCAGCAAGACCTCCCAGGTCTTTAGCTGCACTATGGCCCTTAATGATATCCCAATGACATCGAACCCATTTTGATACCATTTCAGGGCCTTAAACAGTCAGTGATCATTCGGCACGTCCGTTCTGGTCGTCTTTCTGTTACATTGCAACGATAACCATTTCGTTTGCTCTCAAGAGCCTCATAGTGCGCTTGGACGTGTTCGGGTGTTCCAACAAATATTGATTAAGAAGTAATATCTGATCCGAGTGCGAGTCTAGCTACTAGTTGTACATTGTCGCATGATAGAAAACAACGACATCAAGACTTGTTCTCGAGTACTTTTCCCCACCGCTCCTCCTGCACCATTCGCCACTGCTCCATTAGCAGCATTGGCAGTATTTCCATTCCCTGGCACCCCTACTCCCGCTCCATTCGCAGATGGTGGCTCTAACAGGTCCACTACTGCTCCATCCTTCACTTCGCAAGCCGTCAATTGCACTGTCCGTCGTCTCCCATCTGCTTTGCCGAACTGCGCAAGTTTCTGGAACATCGCTCTTCCACAACGTGGCAAAATTCCTGGATCCGTCGGTTGGCCCAGAATCGTGTAGGACTTCCCGGAACCAGTTTGACCATAAGCAAAGATGGTCTCTTGAAACCCCTGAATGGTACTAGCCACAGCATCATCGAGTTTCAATTGTCGGAAAATCTCGTCGTTGCGGTCCTGTTGGTCCAGGACGTGATCGAAAATAGCTTCCTCGCAAAGAGGGGAGACACCGAATGGGTCGATACGCCAAGCGCCGTATGAAAGAGGGAGGTGGTCGAGAAGGAGGTGGAGGTGGGAACTAAAGAAGCTGATGATGATGATGATGATGATGATGATGATGATGTGCTCGAGGGGACTGCAGTTTGTGAATTGATCTGCTCGAGGGGACTGCAGTTAATACAGCTAGTTGAGCAGTTTCTCCTCACAAAACATACAGATTTACAGTATCATGTAGCAGGATTTTAAGATCACATAAACAAGAATGCCCCTACTATCAAAATGTGAATATGTTTTGCCATAACAACGACTTCAAGTCTTTCTGTGCGAAAAAGCAGCAATCTTCTTCCGACAATGATGGCGGTCTAATCCGCACAACCACTTTCACATCCGTACTTGTGCTCGGGGCAGCTGCGTTCCCGGATGACGTTCCTGCCCCTTGACCAGCTTGCTGATCGTGCTGAAGATTATTGACATGCTGGTGTTGTATCATGGACGAGTGATTGCTGCCGCTGTTCTGTTGATGGTGTATCTGTGAAGACCTACTTTGTTGCTGTGAAGCACCACCATTAGATGAAGAGGTCTCAGCAGTAGATGTACGTGGTAGTGGCCGATAACTCGGCAAGGTCAGGCCCGCTGGAAACGAGCCCTCCATAATGATGTTAATCGAAAAATCGATGATGGTCTAACTAAATAAATATCATTGCTGGTTCTTGTACAGTTAAACTACTAAGTTACACTTGTCCTCGAGAAAAAAATGAAAAAAGGTTGCAATATATACATGTCTCATTCAGGAGAATAAGACGACTCCAAACGATTATGATACAGTTCACACCTATTTTGAAGAAGAGAGGAGATTCATTTGAGATTCATTTTGATGCTGATCATGATCATGGGGTACCCGGTGCGCCGAAGACGCGTAAAAGCGGCGATTAATCATTGTTGTTGCTTGCAGGCTTCCTCAACAATACTTGCCGATGATGGGACGCACACAGCGCTCATCAAGGAAAACTTTGATTACAGGTTGATCTCTCGCTTCTTGGTCGGCTCTTTGAAACAAAAATGTGTGGCGCTCTAGAAAAAACGGAAATCCTGCGAGGAACTCTATTCTCACTTCACTCCTCAGTCTGCCACCAGTGTCAACCTGCTGGATGTGTCTATCTCTGCATCTGACAACTTCGTAAAAACAACGGGTGAGTGTCTGTCTGTACCACTGCAAAAAAAACGATCTATCTTCAACACTATTTGCTTTGTAGTCCAGGACAACATCTTTGCAGATTTGCAATCGTATTTGGGAGTTCATATGACGCGCTTTTCCCCCAGGCTTTGATTTGCTCTTTCATTTTCCCTTAGGGTCGAGCCGTTCTCTTAGGGTTGGTGACATTTCATGCACATGCAGAAGTAGTTTTTTCCCACTGTAATGCCGTTTTGTTTTTGGGGGAGGGATTCCAGTAGAGGTTCAACACTTAGACGTTAGTAAGTTACACACACGAAAGAGAGGATACAAGGGTTCGTAGGATTTAGTAAACAGAATAAAACGACGACGAGGAACAATAAGCAACAGGATTAACATTTGAGACAAGGAAGGAACTGTTGTAAACATAAGAGCTGTAAACATTGTTATGCATAAACAGATACAGAGTGAAAAGAAAGTGAAAACAGAATATTATGGGACAACTACCTAGTAAGTAACTAACGACATGGATCAGCAACGGAGCAGAATCCACTCGTTTTTATCAAACGAAGATACAAGGATGTACTAAACAGAAGAAGTAGATGAATAGATCCACTAAAGAAGTAGAAAGAAAGCGAGAGAGAATAAGCATTAGCAAGAAGGAGAGTGTACAGAACGAAGAATTTCATAGTAGTACATATTAGATGAGAATAGATAACAAGGACGTTGTAAACAGGACGATTAAGAGAGAGAAAAACATGTTGAACAATTTAAACAAGAAGAAGAATTAGTAGCATTAGGCCTAGTTTTTCACGATGCTGACGCACGCAGAGTCCCGGCGATTCACCCTAGATTTGAGGGCGGGCTTTTCACCTAAGCCACTCCACGTGCGTAGCATAGTGAAAAAGTAGTAAAAAGGACGATGAGAACAATAAACGATGAAAATATAAGCGATGAGCATAAACGCTGAAAAAGATGAGACAAAAGTTTGAACGGAAAAACAACGCAAAACGAAACAAAATATTGAAACACGATGACACAAGAAAATGACACGAAGTAGATGGATTTGGTGGGACTCCGAGTCCTACTTCTAGTGTCCTCCCACTTCCATCATGAACAATGATGTAACTACTACACGACACTGTAATTAATAACTTCAGCTCTAGTCTATGCCCAGTAGCAAAGCACCATCCCTAACTAACTAGAGATACTAGCCCCCCAACCGCAACCACGTCGTGGGCGGTAAGCCTACTACGACGATGTAGTGCGAAGTACAATACAAACACGACGAATATTCAGTGCATTAGCAACATACATAAACTAAACAACGACATGCAGTTTCATGCAATGAAAACAAGGAAGAAATACACACACGATGACGATGACAAGGATAAGCATAAGGATTCAGAGATGACCACTGGTTAGTCTAAGCTAAATTTGAGAGATGACTATGACGACGAGTCAGTGAGACGAGAGACTATTTATTCAGCGTAATAAACAAGACAAAATACGAAGGACAACAAGGATTCAGAGATTACAGTGAAGACACCCTGGGAGGCTAATGTCCCACTGTTTGTTTTCTATGATTGTACGTGTACGTAAGTTAATTTCACTAATCATATGCGTCGAGCGAGATTCAGCGGTGAGAAAAATTTCACTAGCGAACTTTCTAATACAAAGATTAGGATTCAATATACGATTCGGGGAAGATCGGACAACTATCTATTACACGCACCTTACTATTATCTAGTATTATTATCGTCTTTAAGTTGTATTCTTTACAAGGGTAGGGCGGCGGCGGTTACAACTTCTGAATGCGCTACTTGAAATCAACACCCCACCTGCAAAAGCACTGTTGGTTCAGCGTAAGCCTAAATGGATGCCTTGGTCTTCTACTATCCGTAAGACCGTCGATCTTGTAATATCCGTATGAATGAGCACCATGATACAATGTTCCTAGGCACCGTACTTCCGGAGCCCATTCTGCAACAAAGCCAACGTGCGCATTACTTCTTCGTCATTGGTTTGCTTTGGAACATCGTTCAGCATGGTTGTCAAGTATGGCGCATTTCGCACGAAGTCGCACATGTCCTTTTGAAAAAATTCCACGAGATCGCTCAATAGCGCACAAGCGAGTCTCAAAACCTCCAGAGACACGATTTGATGCCCTAACTGCTGCGTTCGGCCGAAGTCTTCGATCACCACTGTGTGTGGTTGATAGTGGTTGGTAGTGGTAGCTTGAGAAAGATTTCTAAAGGACGGCAGTCCAGAAAATAGACATGTTGAAGGTTTCGAGGATGGTAGAGAGAGATAGACGATGATAGTGTTGGTACTGGACATGAGTATGCTATAGTCTAGATGTTGAGAATCGTCTAAGAACGACTACAAAAATAAAAATTATTAAAGTACTTCCTATGAGCGTTGTCGCTTGGTTGACGTGTCCCTTGAATTTGTCGAGGACCTGGCCTTCTTGCAGCCCAAAGGCTATACTCACGTACGCCTCAAGGACATTTTCCCTCAATTTGTTGACGTATTCCAGCCACTCAACGTTATCTGCGTCCTCGTCTGAGACACGGATCTCCCCAGCATGCCCTAAAACCTGGATGACGGACGGCAAAGCAGGCACAAAGCTCCCACCTAAAGCCATTGCGACGTCACCCAAAGTGCAGATGCAGGAAAGCTTGATCTGTTTGGAGTGGATGTTTCTCTGAAATGATACATTGATGGATGACGTGTGTGGTGTGACTTTGATTGTGGGGTGTGTACTTGTGATTTTGACACTGAAGAATCATCATCAACATGGTGTCCCATTTAGTACTCCAAGCGGGACAAAATAGTTCCAGAAGTCAGTGTGTCTCAAAAAGACGCGGATGCATAAATTCTTACAGTTACAGTAATAGTTACAATTTAATTATTGTCAAGTTATGTAATTCCCACAGAGCAAACAGAATCGTGATGGTTTGCAAACGCAAAGGAACTCCAGTAGAACAAGTTGTACCTTCTTATCCACATCCTTTTTGACGTTTTCGATGATAGGTGCGATCAGGACTTCCGAGAATGGCATAAACTTCAGCTTCAAATGATGCGCCAAGGGGTTACCCACTAGAGAAGTGCACATATTACAGGTCTGCACGTCGTCTGAGTTCCGTAAAGCCGTTTCAAAGTACTTCAAGCAAGGTTGAACATAAGGCTCAAAACCCTGCTCCATCTTCTTGATAAGCATAGAAACTGCCATCAACGTGTCAGGGAGGACTGAATCCTCATTCAAGGAAGCGTAGAGTTCGAAACACTCGATGTACCTGCAGTGGGGAGCAGTGAGAGAGGTTTAAGAGTGCTGAGAGCTGGGAGAGGAAGTTGCATGGAGGTGGAAGATCAAGTTATTGGAATGTCAGATGAAGATTGATGTAGATGCTTTTTTGGAAATGTACGATTTCATCATCGCGTGCGGTAACGCTGGAAGCGCTAAAACTTGTTCCCTTGGAAACTTGTCGACCAATTCTGACAAGCATACGCACAAGTTCCCGTGTAGTTCGCACTGTGGGTCGCTTCTCTTATTCTGTATTGCGAATTGCAATCTATTAGTGACTTCTTCCGTCAGTTTCTCCAAGATGTTGCCCAGTTTCGCTGGCTCCCTAACTTTCTTCACTACTATCGCTAAAGCGTTGTACGCACTTGATTGTAGCCTTTGCTCCTTTGCTGCGGGAGACTCATCCTGCGTCTTCATCAGCAATACAGAAGCCACTCTCTGAAACAAGACTGGTTCCAGTTGATAGTCCTGTTCGGCGATGACGTGGAAAGCATAGCAGATATGTCTGCACACACGCGGCACATCGTTCTCCATCTGGAAGCAGAGCTTTCCGACTAAGTCGTTGACATTGCAGATAGTAATGTGATGCTTCAGGATCGTGGCTGTTTTATTTGTAGGAAAGTCTTGTGGAGATTGAGGATGTCGATGTCGATGTTTCACATCAATTGCATAGGGAAAGGATACATATTTCCGGAAGGAGTAGCATTTACAGATGTGAAGTAAAATACATAGTTAGTGGAAGATGATCTTTCCAAATGTGATCTTATAATAGATCTAAGAACTTCTGTCTAGGAAAAATTATTCGACCATACCTATGGTCCTCTAGGAAAAATTATTCGACAATACCTATGGTCCACGCTGTCGTGTCCCTAACTGCGACTACGCGATGCCCAAGAGTGTTCTCGTCGCACAGGTAGTCAAAACACCCTCCGAGGATGCTGGACATCTTAGCTCCACTAGTAGGGCCATCCATGATACTGCCTAAGGCTAGGATAGCGGCTTCCTTTTCTCGCCAGTCTGCAGATTGGAGATACTGGGTCAGAAACGTCCGCAATGGTGCTATTATGTCGTCTCCGAGGATTTGGGCGCAGAATTCTGTTAATATGTTGGGATGAATTGAGAGATGTTCTTCTTTTTGTCAAGTTCGGTGTAATAAGACGACCTTTACATTGATTTCCAAATCAAAAATCAAAATCATCGAAATCCAAAGTCATCGAAAAAGGCATCTTTTTTTTAATTCAATTATAATAGGTACTGAGCGATATCTGCGACGCCATTTTCAACGTGTACTCGTCACTGTCGTAATCCTCCTCTTGCGCGGGGTCTATCAACTTCTTAGTCAATACCGGCACCAAACTTGGGTATGCGTCGTTGATGATGTTCAAACTTCGCCGTATTTCTCTGCCTGGGTTAGAGCTACAACCGCTTTCGCATCTTCCACGAGAGTCAAACCCTTGGGGGCCTTCTTTTTCTACTCGAAAAAGAAGAACCTCCAACAAGGAACATTATGATACATACTATTTAAGGAGTCAACAAGGCAGTTCAAGGTTCAATGGTCCGCGAACTTGTGGCCAAGCCACGTTGCCGGAACGAGTCAGGCTCGAGTAGACCCATGGATCATTATGATACATACTAAGGAGACATGCTTTAGTAGCGATCAGTCGTTTTCTATTTGCGAATGAGGCCAATTATGTTTTCGTTCGATTGAGAAGAGGAGTTAGCAGTATCCACTTGCGCAACAGTAAAATACTCCAACCGAAGGAATCGGAAGTGCAATTAGATAAACTGTTCTTTTCATTCATTCATTCATTTACCTGTTCTGGAGGTATCTTTTGACGCTATGGCGACTATGAACTTAAAAAGTATAAGAAGACATGCTTGACATGCTTTAGCCATAACTGCGTAAGCGTTTTCCTCCTTGATCTCCAGTTCCTCCTCTGCAATTTGGGTCCATACCATCATTGCTCGAATATCTATCTCCTCTCCACCTGCTTCGATCAGTTGCAGCATCGTTCTGCCGATCACTTCCATGTACTGCGCCATGTGATCGTAGTACCGCTCAAAAATCTTCTTAGAGGTTGAGTAGAGTTGGCATCTGTTGCAGCTCGTATATCTATGGCTTTCCTATAGGTACTTGAAGAAGCCATAGAGATGCGCATCTTAGATAGATGATAGGTCAACTTTCAATGCTTAATCTTCGTCAGGATTTCCAGACTGTTTTTCTGGTTCTCCTTCATCAAATGGTCTTGCTGCGGATTTCCGGCTGGCGGTTGTTGCAGACAGGCTTTGAGGATGATTTCCATGAGCCAGGTTCTGTGAGGCTCGTTTCGAAAAACGTCTTCTGCTAGAAGGATGGTGAAAAACATAGCCTTCGTGCTCTCCACTTTGATCAACCAGTTGTTGTTTACCATACCTGAAAAATTTATGGTAGAAAAGTCAGGAGTTGTTGTTTTTAGGATATTAAGTCAGAAGAAGGTTGCTTTTAGGATATTAGAGATTGAGTGTTGTCGTGTCCTGTGGCGGGCAAAAAGACCGATCTGCAATCCGAGAGCGTCCGCTACTTGTCAAGAACTTACTGAAAAGGAAGACACATGATGTTTTTGACCACGACAAAATCTATTCAACACCAGGTACCTTGCGTAATCGCCGCGAAGATGTTCGAGGTATCCGACTCATCCATTTTGAAGAGACCCTCATCCGATAATACGGCCAGCTCTTCTGCTATGTAACCCAAAGCCTGTAAACAAGCCACTCTGGTCTGGTCTGTGTATTCCCCACTCTCGTTCAATATTCTATCCAACAGACAGCGCAAAAGCGGTGGCCAGTCCTTCGGCCACGCGTTGTGTGGTATATCCAATGCGGCCAGTTTGCCAAACACCAAAGCCGCATACTTTCGACCGACGTCTTCTCTGGATTGCAAAGCCTTCAAAAGCCTGTCGCGCACCAGGTTTTTGCACTGATCGCCACATTGTCGCAGCCAACGCTCGACTGCAACGTGGTTACTCACTTTCGTTTTTCCGTAGAGTGCATTCTTCAACTGCAAGCCTGCCAATTGTCTGGCTTCTGGCGGTTTGGAGTCGTCGGCTAGTTCTTCTGCTAAGAGCTTGAAATACTCTTCCGTATGGTTCTGCAGAGCACTTTGCAGTTTGCCTTCGGCTTCACGTCGTGCCAGCGGCTCAGGCCTGGTACAGGCGAGAAGAACCTCAGTGAGCTGCATCTTGCACGTTCTGCCTCGGAGGAGGTGGTCGCTTGATTTTTCAGAGTGGAAGTAGTCGCTTGTAGTTCAGAGGTCAGCACTTAACGTGGGAGTGCGCTGTGGTCGGAGGCGGTCGCTGGAAGTTGGTCTATCTAGTACTGCAGTAGATGTTGTTGTACCTCTTTTCTTTACAATTCTCGTCAAAACTCAAATAGGCTCCCTTTCTTCTTAGCGCGATACTCGGGAATCAATGCAGATGCAGGTACTTCTTACGTGGAAGTGAAACAAGTCGCTTGTGCTCTAGCGTTTGAAAAAAGTCGCTTGTGCTTCAGTCGCGTTTTGAGGGTGAGAAATTCACGCGCAAGTAGGGGGGTCGCAGGAGCCACGACAAGACGTCTTTCGTCGGCCAGGGGATAACGCAGTCATCTTCAATTAACTATTTCAACTCACTTCGGCGCATGTACATGTCGACACAAATTCCAATATGTATTTAATTATAACCCACCTGCTGCGCAAAAAAGAATGGGGTCCTGTGGTTTTTTTAGTTTGGGAGATGAAATTGAGTAGGCTTACGACGAAGGAAAAGTCTACTCTTACAGGGATGCAAGTTTCCGTTAGTCAGATTGAAAATTCTTGCCTTCTTCTCAGATCGTCCACAGATGATTACAGATTCTGATTCACTTCCTTTGAAATAGAGTATCGGACGAATGCGAGTAGATTGGCATTCTTTCACTGTTGTGCAGGATATATTCTTCGTTCGCAGATTGACTTGAAGGTTGTTCAGATTGGGTTTTGGGGATCGATCTCACAAAAATTGATGAACTGGAGGTATCTTTCCTGTGAACTGGGACAAGCTTCTTGCCTGAACACATCATACAGCGATCCTGACTGTCGTTCACAGAGTAAGTGCAAATTTGATGACATCGGAAAAAACTCTCGACTTTTTGAACTATGATAGGTTGAATCAAGTCAAAGTCTTTCCATGAAAGTTGCGCGTTCACATGAAATTCAAACTTGTTGATGTTTTTGTTTTCATATTTCTTCGAGGTAAGAACCCTTGACTGGCATAGAATTGATTCTGATTCATTTTACTTTTATCCCGAGGTATTGAATATTCGATTCCTTTCCCGTCATGATCTTCTTGTATCCCTGAAGAAATAGCGTAGTTTTCTCCGCCGTGCACAGTAGTTCTACTTCCTGCCTTCCCGATTTCCAAGAAATTTGTTGTTCCTACGACCGGATCAGCTGGAGAACCTCCGTCTGCTGTTCCCGTTGTAGTTGGCTTTGCTCCTTCTTCTGCGTTTGCGGCAAAAGCAGCTGGCGCCGGAGCCACCTGACTACTACTCCGACTAGTTCCTGTAGCAAATTGACCCGCCGCACTAGGGACCTCGCGCATGGACTTGATAAAATAGCAGACCAATTCCTGACTTCCATCCGCAAAGCGGATCCCGTCGTGAGGAAAAGATGAAGGCATGGTGCTTGATGTCTAGCACGTCGTCGTCGTGTAATGCTAGCCAAGCATGATGCTGTTGTTATGGTCGTGCTCTTTGTACTACATGTGGTCACGCAAGAAGTAGTACTATCGTTTGCATTCAAGGGATCATCTGGCAGGTACATTACAGCGCTTCAGTTTTGTTTGACAAGGGTCCACGATACGAACGACGCCGCCGAGCGTGCGCTGGTCTTTCGAGTCGAGGTTGTTCTGATGCGCAGTTTTTCTCAGCGACGTCGCATCACCGTAGCAAGACTTCGAAAGGGGACCAAGCCTGGCAGGCAGCCGAAACCGAATTCAAGTCACATTGAACAACGATCGGCCCATCTGAATATGCCGAAAAGAACGAACAAGGACTATCTGAATATGCCGCGAAAGTCTATCATTTCTCCCGGGTTCCGAAGACGAAGAAATCCAAAATCTACATCTTCCAAAGAAATGAGTTACAACTCGTCTCTCCTTGAAGAAGATCTTCCCCTGAGTTCCCTTTCAGGCAATAAAGCATCTCGATGACTGATTTCCCGATCCATCGAGACCAACAATTGTTCGAACTGTTTTGCTATCGCGGATAAAGAAAATCGGTCTACCATAGTTTTCTTAGATGAGGTTTCAAAATGTGCACATTCTTCAGACACAGAGGGTCACCTTTGACGTATATTTATATTTTTCCTTTTAGGCTAAAAATAAAAAAGTCAAAGGCGCAAGTGCAAAATGCAATGTGGAGGATTGAAGCCCTTAATTTTACGAGCGTTACTGCCGATGGCTTCTGCTTCCTCGCGATGGTTTAGAACCCAGCGCAGTTGCTGCCGTAAGTGCGATACGGAAGGTTCAGCCCAACGACCCTCACGACCAGTCTCCTTGGCTAAGGTGGGGGATTAGATTGAGACTACCACTATCCTATCGTTGCTCCTTTAACTCTCTCTCATTTTCCTGTAGTTATTTGTAAGACACTGGAATCCATGCTGCCATACTAGTTCAGCGCCAAACTGTTCCCTTCCCGCATGTATTCTGTGGGGCCACTAAAATTCGTTGCAATCACTGGTCTCCCAGTCGACATTGCCTCCACGTGACATCTGCCCCAGCCTTCTCCCCGACTTGGAAACACTACTGCAGTGGCTTCTCGGTATAACTGTACTAGTTCCACAGTGCTCAGAGGCATGTCTTCCACGATTACATGTTGATATCTTTCCAAATTCAAATCGTAGCTCGACCCAAAGGCTTCACGGAGGATCTGTTGCTTGGTGTTGTGGAAGAGTGAAGTTTTAATCAGCAAATAAATCCCTGCTTCGGTCTTGAACTCCTCTTGGAAGGCCTTGATGAGCACATCGAACCCCTTGCGCTTTTCCCATTTGCCGACAGCTAGAAAAAAGCGCGGCTGAGGAAGCGTATCCTCAGAATTGTCGTTGTCGGAACCGTCGGTGGTGCATAGTTTAGAGAAGATGAGACTCAACACTATAAATGATCAAACCACGTAGAAGCTATAAGCTTACCAAGAAACCTAACATCAAGATTCGTCTTCTACTTCAGCCTAACAAATGGTCAGGCTGTAGAAACACCAAAGCAAGCTTCCATAACCTCTCCACTCACATGCACATCGTGCTCCATATCGCCTGCATAGTCATCATCGAAGTATCGCCTGTGCTGCAATTTTCTCTGTTCATGCTCATGCAAGTGGCCCTTACCGGCTTTCGTTCTATGATATCTCGCTGGCGCCTTTTTCTTCTTAAAGGCTACCGAGTTACTACGTTCTTCAGACAGCATCCTTGGCCTATTTTATTTTCCCTTGAATAAACATAAAGGCCAAGGATGTTGTTAGTGAATGATGTAGTAATGTCGAAACCCTTAATCTTCACGGTTTGTGCCATGCGTCCTGTGCGCGGGTCGAGTTTCGCCGTAGTACCACCTTCACTTTGCGCCAGCCTACCAACATAATTGCCCAACAGACGATGCTGTCGGCGGTGCCTGAGTTGCGGAACTTGTGGAGTCGCCGTCGGAGAGAAAAATTCCGTATCCACTGCTTCGTGGAGGACTTTCAAGAGATTAGAAGCAAGTCAAACCATCTCATGTCTTATGTCGAAACTAGCATCCTCTCATTCACTGCACAACTATTTACAGCAGTCACAAGTCATGAATTTTCGAAAAACTGAAATAAGCGAGTAACTACTGAAATTTTAAGCGAAATACTGAACAAGGAAGAGTAGCCCTGTCCAAGCTACCTCCCTTCTTTCAGTCAGTAACTCGGTTATTTTCAGTAACTAAGAAGAGAGCAACAGTCAAGTCATAAACTTATGTTCTTTTATCTTCCTCTTCCAGATATCGTAGTGCCATTTCGACGGCACTAGGATGTAGTCCATCCTATTCAACCTTGGTACCCAGGAATTCGGCAACGTATCTGTCTCGTACATGGTTCGGCCAATCCGAATTTTCGCAGTTGGTGGAGGACACCGTGTTTGCAAGCCTCCCCAGCCAAATGCGCCATCTTCCCACCACACGTCTGGCGTACTATGACAAACGACTGCGAGACCACTACCTCTGTAGGGGATATCCTCGAGTTGCATCTCAACTTCATCGCCTGTTACTGCTGTAGTGGTACTAGTAGCACCATCCTCTTCAGTTGCTGCACCACTTGAAGAGGTGGAAGCTAGCTTTTGCACACCTTGTTGTTCAGCCGTTCCTCCTCCACCACTTGATGTCCCACTGGGCAACCGTTTCTGACTCAGTGCGCGTAAAGTTCTCCTCAGGTCCGGAGGTAAGTAGTGCTTAGTCCATTCCTCATTTTCGGGTTCAGCGAATTGGCGGATAGCCACCTCTAGTCTCTTCTGCGGAACCAGATACTTCTGAAAAGCCTGCAAGTAGCTAATGGCCTCAGAGCCATAGCCAGAATTGCTCAGGAACGGAGCGTACCAACCGAGACCAAGAGTCATTTTTTGTTACTTGTGTATTTGGATGAGTGAATGTGATTGTGAATATCTTCGTCGAGGTCAATCGATGTTGCGAAAGATTTTTTTATCAGAATAAGAGAAAGAATGAACAACTAGCAAAATCTCAAGCGTAGTAGAACCAGTATGAATAGACTAGAAATGACAAACGGCTAAGTAACTTCTTACGATTTATCCCATTGTGAAGTCCTGTGTTGAAGAATAAAAGAGCTGATTTCAGATTTCAGCTGTTGCTGTAATGAACATCATATACAACGACTCAAGCTCGGTCATTCCGTGCTGACGTGACTTTCCAGAAACACTCTCGCAGAGCTCATTCCTCAGGCGCCTCGAAAAAATCTCTTCTCTCTTTGCTTTCTCTCTGCTTTTTGAAACAAAAACCCTTGTTGGGAATGAACTCAGACGAGCAGTTTAGTCCGCCCTTGTGTGGTCCGTCGTCCACTACAGGTCGCAGTTACTGATTTCTTGAATAGTTGTTACAACTTTCTTTGCTTTCTGTTCATGTTACATACAGTAACATCTATTTCAAGTTGGGTGCGACTATCTGTATAAGGAGGCGATGAATCCAAAACGTAAAGGCAGAAAAGAAGAGATTAGTAGACACACGCATGCCTTCATCTGTACTTCGGTCACGATTACCAGCACATCAGAATACATAAAGTTAATTCATGTCATGTGTAAACGCACGCGCGGTGCGCCTACACATGATTGGTACATTTAGTAGATAGAGCTGCGTGTCCTCGAAGTGCCTAGTCCCTTCTTTCTGCCTGAACGAAGCTCCGCAACGAACTTTACCTTGATTTTTGTCCTTGTTACAACAACCTTAACAATGCAATATCACAACATTGGGACAACCTTAACAATGCAATCTGTATTCTCTAGTTAGGCGACCAGCTATTAGTTTTCTATCTCGCATCTTGGGAACTCTGTATCTCGTAGTATGCATCTATTCTAAATCGTGATATTTGGGTGAACAGGAGTAACCTTCCTCCTTTTCTTCCTTGTTCTCCGTGATCTTGTTACAACAACCTTAACAACCTTAATCTTAGAGTTCAAATGGATACTTAATCTCATCGATAATTTCAGCGTCTTTTCGTTCTCGTGCTCATCTAGTATCTGAGTGGCATCTATTCTAAATGTGACCTCTGTAGTTCTGTGACTTCTACATCTTTGCTATTCTAAATGTGATATCTACATCAACTGCGGGTTGACTTTGCATCTCTATTCCATAAGAATCTAGAAACTCTACTAATAGAAGGAGTGCAATTTATCGCGTGTCGAATGCAGCTAAGTCTTCTCATATCTAAGCAGAGCTAAGCAGAGACCTAGATATTGAAAAACTAGCCTCACACGATACAGAATCTGTATGTACATCTTCCCATTCTGTACAGCAGTTAATCCATCTTCCTTGCAAGGGGGTAGTTTCAAAATTGGAATTGAATTCATCAGCGTCCTTTTGGGGTAAAGGGCAATTAAGTACACACCTCTCCGTGTCCACTAGATGTAGATGTAGCAGGTTCGCCTGTACGCACACCTCCTCGTCTTGTTCTACAACATGTAAGCGGCTCTCACCACTTAGATGTACGAGCGTCGTTCTCCTAGCCTTCTACATCAAGAACCACATCTTGTTCTACTTGTTCTTCTGCCTCCAGTGCAACTACACCTATCTTGCTCTCGCGCCAGTACAACAACTACACCTAAATAAAATTGTGCTCCAGCTTCTCCCCCGTCGCGAATTCCTACTACATGTAAGGATTTTGATGTGTGATGATCTTGTCCCGGAAGTGATACCAGTACGTGTTGAACTGATCATCCCGAAACGCTACATAGGGTCCTCCCTCTGCGGTAAGCCGTGCTCGGTCTAAATGCGCCTGGCCCTCCTCTGGGGGTAAGACATCCCCTTGCCTGATGAGCTGCCCTTCGTCATTTATCTGCAGCGACACGTGGTGGAGTCGCTTGCCCTGCATGATTGGTGTTGCATGGGAGGTCGTAGTCTTGGTGGTGCTGCTGCTGGGATTCATTTTTGATCATTCAATTGTAGAAGGTGTTACTTAAGTTGAAAGAAAAGTTATAGAAGAAGATACCAGTTGTAAGTGGTTACACCCAAAGAAAAATCTTCTCAAAAAGACAGCTATCAGTTGTACCTTCCTATGCAATTCCACGAAGCACTCGTAGCAGAACAAGTCGCAACAATCTTCGCATAATATCGAGGCACTGTGTTTCCGCTTCACTTGTCTATTGCCAAATTTCGCATCATCCTCTGGATCATCATTGTTGCTCTCTCCTGTGTCATTTATGTCCTGCGCGTCGAAGTTGCTGCCGCACTGGGAACAGGGGAGACCCTGGTTTGGAATGTTGTGAGTATCATTATCAAACATGATGGATATAGATTAGGATTCTATGTTGTGCGACCAGGAGGAAACAAAATCATCCACCTGGAACAGCAACAGACCGTCTAAAAAATCGATCAAAGCTACATTAACCCTAAGGCACAGATCTAAATCATCTTCATCTTCATCCCGTCAAAGGAGCACTCTTGCTTGTACAAAGGAGGTAATATGTTTCCACTAGTACTACAAAGAGTAAGTACCTTTATAACCCGCATCCTATGTCCCGCCATGTCTCTTCGCTTTTTCTGGTAGCAGTTGTCGCAGAACCGCTGATGATTCTCCAAGGACAGTGTGACTGCCTGTACTTTATCGCACAGATCGCAAACAATCTGTTCCACATTCTGTGTCTTATGGCTCTTTCGTTTTCCGGTTGCATGCGTCATCTGGAAGCAATCCATGCAGAAGAAATCCTTACATGAGTCGCACTTCAATTTGGCACTTCTTTCCTCGCATTCTTGGCACATCAGGACTGGATCTTCCTTCTGCAAGACGCAACGCGTGATAATGTCTTTTCGCATGTTCTTCAGGAAGCCCTGTGCGTTGTGGTGCGGAAGGAATTGGAATGATAAGATGAGCCTAGGACTTTCTAAGATCAGTATTTCGGAGGAGTAAGAGTGTAGAAAGGACATCAGTCTATTGAGAATCTTTAAAAATCAGTCTATTGAGAATCTCCATTTTCCTCACCCTAATAATGATTGATCACCCTAAGGAAATATTGGAACATGAACTTTGATATCGATCACACACTCATGGTACCAGAAATTTAGAAAACCAAAACATCCAATTGTAGTACCATAGGGTCCACTAAGTCCCTTGTTACGAGCGTCAAATTATATTGCGTTTCGACGTATGCTTCTAGTGCCATTCGTATTTGTAAGGCTATGCCATACTCTTTCTCTGTCGGGACACAGAAATAGAGCGCTACTGATTCCACTATTTCCGGCGTTACTGGGGGAAGACCTGTAAAGTTTGGGGTTGATCCTGTTGTGTTCAGAAGGGGTATGGATTGATGGATGAAAGTGGAAGGCGTGACGGATGTGTGAAAAAAGGAACTGAGACACAGTCAAAAACATCGAGCAATATTCAGACACAGTCACACGCGCCAAGAACAAGGACATCCCAAAATATTATAGGTGACCTCCAGTACCTTTGTTATATCTGTTCATCACACCGTCCAAAACCACACCCAGTTTTGCCGCTAATTGATCTGTGCTCATAGTCGCTATGACGGCGTCGTGGTGTGTGGCGAAGTCTCTTTGTTGTTCTATGAAAGTCTCAAATTTGTCCAATACTGGATGTGTTTTTGACAAGCACTTCGTTCCCGGGTGATAGTACCTTTTGTAGGAGGGTGTGAAGCAGTAGAGATGGGTTGGGTTGAGGAAGGGCACAATAGTCTTTCATAATGTAAAAGAAACAAATGAATGACCAATATGGAAATCAAAACAACATATCGACAGGAAAATAATAGAACAAGATTACGCCGTCTCCCCATCCTCTGTCTGAAATTCTCTCCATTCTGCCGGAAGCTCCGCTTGCGCCGCAAATTCCGCAATCCACCTGGAAAAAGAGTTGCAAGATGAACAAGATCATTCAGGGATTTTCTTTTCTACTGAGGATGCTGATACACAACGTCGTTTTTACATCTCTTATCAAAAAATGTGTGTCAAGCATTTCGTATCATGATCTACTAACTGCGCTAAAGGAACACATTCTAGTATCTGAAAATACCACATGTGCCTTTCCGTTTCGATATCAATCCCAATACGCTTTGCTGCCGCCAAAACTTGTGCTTCCCTTTTTCTGACCTCCAATGGGTCCTCCATTCTATGTCTAACTGGCGCCATGATGGGCTAGTTGTCTGGAGGTAGTCTCCTTGTTCGTAGAAGATGAAGATGTCCCCGTAGGTGTTGAAGATGAAGTTGTACAACGAAGAGGGCCGTGCTAGTTCCTCTAGGTCGTTGTGAGTCGTGCGACTAAAAGTTACGGTGAACAACAAGGCAAGTCGTGTTGTTTCGTGATATTGTACCGCAGGCTGTCGGGAGCCTTCAAAATGATGATCAGAAGTGGGCACTCTCCGTGGCTTCGCTGGGGCTATTTCTGGTACTTGGGATGTGAAAATAAATTTTCTATGAAGATTCAGGGTCTTCACTGCGTATTTCTTTTTCCTGATGTCAAAATCGTCCTCTTCTTCTAACAAATAAGTGCTTCTCGTTATATTTTCTCACGATGGTCCTACTAGTCTATTTCTTTCAGGACCCTGATACGCGGAGTAGCTACCTTTTCTGATAAGCAGCTACCTTTTCAGGACCCTGATACGCGGAGTAGCCGCGTCAGCGAGCGCCGTCAGAAGTGTCATTTCTTTTACAAAGCTGGTCTATCTCGCGGCCCTTCCAGGAAGACGAGACTCTACAATACTCTCAGGCTCTTCTAGTGCCTCCTACGATTAATTTCGTCCCTACAGTACACAAGGTTTTTGAGAGCGGCATGCACATGAATGAATTCCGAGTAATTTCGAATTCGCTACCTGGTCTCGAGGTATTCTGTACCTTGTTTTCTACAACACTATATTGTCTCCCACCGACCCGGTCCTGCAGATAATATTTATGAAGGAGATACCATAGTCAACAAAAAATTGATTCCGGTTTTCTCGATGTGTCAATCGAATACTTAGTACTAGTTTTACTCGGGCTGTCCTCAAAGCTTGCTCCTCTTACTCTCTAAATCGAGACCACTCAAGAATACAATCATCGCGAGAGTCGCACTCGAACACTCGAAAACAATTTTCCCGTCTCTCTCTCTAACTCTGCAGCACGAATAAACATCAGAGACGCGAACGACTCATCTCGTTTTTGGTTGTTGTTGTCAATCACTTCTTGAATACTCAGTGTGGATTCTCTGTCATTTCCTGAGTCAATTCTTTCACAAAAGCAGAAAACTCAGGATACGTGACAGTGCCACTCTTGGTCGTATCGAGTCTTTTCATGGTCTTGTCCACCTCTCCTGCATCGCCTCCAAGCAGACTCAGTAGTTCTGTTCGATCGATAGCTCCATTTCCATCAAGATCGAAAAATTCGAACGCACTCCTTACTGTTTTTTCCTGCTCTAACAGACTTTTTTCAAAGACTGACGCGACCCACTCTGTGTAGCTGATATTGCCTGTCTTGCCGCTATCCATACTGTCGAATAGCCGAGTGAACTCGGCGTCGGTCATGGCTGAGCGCTCTTCTCCCTTTGTTATGGATGCACCTAGTTCTTTCCATCTAAGTCGACAGACAATCCTGGGGCTAGGAGGTACTTAGTTTTACCCCTTTTAAAAAAATGTTCCCAGCAGGATGGTCGTTTTAGGAATGGAAGAGCAAACTTCATCCATAATATCGCCCTTTCCACCACTACTAGTACTAGGCTTCGCATTGTTATAACAATGTCCTTCAAATATCGCACGAACCTCCTCTCGACTGAGTTCGCCGCTCCGATCGACATCTGCAGCTAGAAAAGCTTTCTGAATCTCCTCTAGGTCTTTGGAAGCAGCCTGATGAGCCGCGATGAGCAGAAATATCTTTGCAAATTTCTCCTGTCGATAAAATGATCGCGCGTTAGCCGCCCAGCGAGCTACCGTGCCTTGCGTAAGGATTAGCGAAGATGACTAATGGTGCTATGTGCTCGACCCGATACTAGTACCTTCTAAATACCTAAATGTGAAAAAGGGATAAGAATGAACGCGGAGCCTGCCAGAGACACCCGCATGGACAGGCTACCCGCGCGCCGTCGTCGTCGTCCAGCCCTTTTGCGAGCCAGGCGCGCTGACCCACCCTTCGTCCTGAACTGTCTGTCAGAGATAAAACCCCTTTCAAATTTGATTCAGATGATTCATCCTTAAGAAACTATCTCTCTTGCTTTTCCTCGAGATATTATTTTCGTCTGCTCCTCCCTCGGAAGATTCGTCGGACGACAAGGGAGCCCCCCCATCGAGACTGCTTCTTTGCAAACGGATACCACTCCCCTCGCCTCCTACGGCCTTGAAGTATGGATGCAGCAGGCAAAGCTTCGCATTAGGTCGTTGTCTCGCATCCTTATGCAACAATCTCGACACGAGGTCCCGCGCATCGCCTGACAACTGCTTCAACGGTTTTTGATGTGGACACTCACTGCAGATACGCTTCCAAATTAGAGGAGCTCTTCATTTAATATACATAATAGAAGCAGAGTATTTTTGAACACTCACTCCATGGTTTGACTCTTGGTTTTACCTTGAGCCAATCCATCGTGAATATTGATTGCATCCATCGTGTCATTATGCTGTCCCATGTAGTACTGCGGGCCTCACGAGGGGACAAAACTAACAAGAGGAACCTCCCTACTTGCTTCCTCTACTTGCTTCTCCCTTCTACTTCCTTCTAACAGAACTAACAAGAGATGAAACCTCCCTACTTGCTTCTTCTACTTGCTTCTCCCCTTGTTTTCCCTTATGATCAAATTCAGGTTACCAAATACCAGAACCATTCCAGAAAAAGCCTGGCAGCCCCCCTACATCTCTCCGAGTCTTCATCATTCCCCTTAGAAACTACTTGAAGAACAGAGGTCAAAAAAATTAACACTACAAAAAGCCTTAAGAAAAGCCGCTGCTGGCCTATGCGTCCGGGTGCACCGCAGTCGCGTGTGAAAAAAGGATGGTGCCCAGTTAGCAACACGTAAAATATGACTCCGCATGCCCATAAATCCACGCCACTCCCATAGTTCCTCTTCTCATCTATCACCTCTGGTGCTAGGGAGGCTTAGAAAAGTAGCTTGAAGTATTAGAGCTCACCCTAATCCATCTTGACATGCATCTTGCGACCGTTTCCTCCTTGCAAATGTCTGTAAGATGCTTCCGGAGATGGATAAGGGGAAGCCTTAAAAGTAAGTAGCTTATCCTTTAGGCCACAGGAGACCATGAAATGTACTAGGTTTTATTGTTTATAACTACGATACTAATCATCTCTCATCTGCGCGTCTCTCTACTTCGTAATAGGGATTTTCGAGGATACTAAGAACAGCCTATCTATCTTTCTAGCATACGTTTCTTTCTAGATTATACGTTTCTTTCTGTATCTAGAAGATACGTTTCTTTCTAGCATAAAAAAACGGAGTCCCGAGTTTCTGTTTCAGCTTCGCATCTTGCAACCTCGTCACCGCACACAGACCGAAGTCTATGATCTTCACTAGGCTTTCTGAGTCGCGTGACTACGCATTAGAAGCTGAATGCTGCTAGGAAAGAGAACAAAGTAGCTCACTGTCACTGTGTATGATTGACTACCAAATGCCGAGAGAACCAAACTAGGACCTGCAGTATTAGGTCAAGAGATTACAGATATTTTCCAGTTTGCACTACGTACGAGATCAGGAGACCGTCGTTTTCACGTTTGAGTATATCAAGCCATAATCAGGAGGCAGTTCTCCAACTTCAAGTCTCGGTGAATAACGTTAAGTTCGTGACAGTAAGCGACCGCTGCGAAGATCTGGAAGGTTCCTCATTTGATAGGGAAGAAGAACATGGATTATCTTACGGATTTTATGTAATAGCCAAGTTGAAGTTGGTAAGAACCATAAAAAGAATACCACAAATATAATTAATTCTTAGAAGCATGATATTGAACCAAGCAAGCAAGAAAGGACAAGTATCTACCTGACTCATCACATCCGCGATCGCCGGCTTCTCCCTTTTATCTGTAGCATTGAGGAAATCGACCAACTCACCCCCTTCGCACAATTCGAACACGATAAAGAGTCCGTTCTCCTCTTGAAACCAGTCGTGGCACTTCACCACATTCGGATGGTCGAGACGTAGTAACACGCCCAATTCCTTGGCCAAAAACTCGAGATCTTCGGGATCCATGTTTGGCTGCATCTTAATCTTCTTCACTTAGAGGTTACGGAATTTTTACACTCTTCAGCACATAATTCATCCTGGCAACTTGTTTTCTACTAGGAAAAGAGTCAGGGATAGTAGTGAGGAATGCAATTCGGAAACCCTTAATTCACGACTCTTTTTGTGCCCGTACTTCTATGCCTGACACGCCACACCTCGCCGAAAGCGCCAGCACCCAGACGCCGTTCTGGCGCATGGTAAACTTCCGTCAATTTCCGCATCGGATTTTGGCCAAGGAGTAGGTTTTCGATAGTTAAGGAAGCTCAGATTAGAGGGTGTGCTCAGTGAAGAAGTAACTCGTTCGTAACGTAAAAATAGAGGAGTCCTTGTTTAGCTTTACTAGCCTAGTAAACAACGAGTCCTTCATAAATTTGACGTATCCTCGTTCGATGGAGAGGTGTTGACGCGTCGCAACTCCGCAATTTCGTCGACCACTGCATCTCTAAAACTCCCGCGACCAGCCAATTTTCTCGTTGAACTGGACGAAGAGCAGCTACCACCCCTAAAGTTAGAAGAACAATCTCATAGGCCTTAGAAGAAACCCCTGTTCTCTCATACGAATACAGTTGAGTATTCGTATAAGAAGAAGCCCCTCCTCTCTCCTGTAAATTTCAAGCGTCTTGCTCCTAGGTAGTGGCTCCACAAATACGATTTCCATTCCATTCCATGAAGTCTATCACTGGCTAGCATACCAGCACCTAGACTATGCGATGCCCTGTGCCCTCAGACAAGAAGACAGCAGACACAACGTGAGAAGCTCTCCGTCGTTACTTAAGATCCTCACCATAACAGAGGTTCCACCGCAAATGCTTTCACACAGAGAACCAAAACAAGTGGTCGTCATGTTGGTCCTTCTTACATATACAAGCCTACAACTTCAACTCCAAGAGGATACCTCCGTCGTACTCTGAGTGGGAATTTCAACTCTAAGAGGATATCTTCGTAGTACTCTGAGTGGGAATTCGTCCTCGACCATATTTTCAGGACGCTTAAATTATGATATTCTCGAAGATCCTCTCGTTCGTCACGCAACTCTTCTTACTTCTGTCGAGTCTTACAAAAGTGATGAAATCCTACTTCCACTGATCATCGTAATCTTAAAACCTGAAGACAGCATCTATCCGCAAGAACCCGATCGAGAGTGCCGAACTGTTGTCGAACTGTTGCCGAGCCAGAAAATGCAACATGGAAGAGGCAGACCTCGTCCTAAAAATTGTCCTCACAAGCAACAATATGTCATGCTATGATGCCTCATTTTACGTCCTGACTAACGTCCTTGAGGCCTTTCAACCTCCCTGTGCCTACTGTTCAGAAGAATCATGATCACAAACAAACAAGTCTTGCATATCAATCTGACAGATCTCGAAAGAAAACGACGACAAGAAGATGAGACTCTTCTACTTACAAGTGTACAATTCGAATTCTTCGTATTCGAAAAACTGAAATAAGCAAGTAGCTACTTAAACTAAGCGAGATACTGAATCAAGAAGAGCAACGTAGTGACTCTGTTGTTTCAGTCAATAACTCGGTTATGTTGTCCAGTTTTCGATGATAGGATAGGGTAGGGCGCATCCACCTGGACTTCTTAGGTCCGATATCGAGAAGACTCTGCTTACAATTCTCCTTGTAAAGATGTCGCGCCACCTCTTTTGTAGATGTTTCTGAGATGCATGCTTTCTGTGGATTCTCCTACTTCCAAGTGTACAATTCTTCTTACAGGATAGGATAGGCTGCATCCGCCTCGACTTCTTAGGGTGCATCCGCCTCGACTTCTTAGGGTGCATCCGCCTCGACTTCTTAGGGTGCATCCGCCTCGACTCCGTAAAGATACTGGTGGAAGCACAAGTGATGTAGAACTTCCCCAAGGTCTGAAGGCGGACATGAAACGACTACTTCATCAGTTCTCATGTTGGCTTACCGCAAGTATTCACTTCTCTTTCCGGAGGTGGTATTGGTTTAGTACAAGGTAGTTAAACTTCTCAGTATTTAGACCTGCTCTCTTTCTAGTAGTAGTATTGGCTTACAATGAATGTGTACCGCATCAATTCTACTTCTGATAATTAGTGGCGAGTAATCTCTTTTTACTGCTAGTGGTATCTAAATGAGATCTACCAAACCGTTATCATCTTCACACAACTTCTAGAGAGAGAAGGATAATAATCCTTCTTGATTTCATCATTTTCGAACAACAAAAAGTAGTGACTTTATCACCATGCTGGTGTAGTACGGAAGAGAGATTATACTTCTTAGTGATTCCATCATCATTACCTTGTTGTAACAAGAGAGAGAGGGAATACTAGACAGCTACTAGTTTCTTGGTTTTTCATAGCCCAACTAGTTTCTTGGATTTTCAAAATAGAGGAGCATCGCTCCAACATCAACCAAGCTACAGACTGTCCTCTCTGGGACACAACGTCGAAAGCAGGGATACATGATCTATCCTGATAAGTAGCTGGGCGTGTGAAAATCAGCTCAGCTGACACATAGCAACATCGTGATTAGTATTGATGACGATTCGGGTGTACGCATGTTGAGGGGTCATCTGATGACCGCTTTATCGTTATTCAAAGACAACCATTTCTTTTATTGTAGTTACTCAGAGCCATGTCTGTCTCTCAGATTTAGATTTAGATTTAGCTCTGTGTACATGAAGGATCCTACATTTTTCTATCGTTCATTGATAACATGCACGCGTCTCAGTTTCGCGTACCGCGCTTTATGAGAAACCATAATGATGATGATGTCCTTTTTGTCTTACTACTGCACGTCAAGCATCTATAGTACTTCTAGATAGATAGATAGATGTACCCACTCGTGGGGTGTAAGATCTTTTTAATTAGAGGCTGCATCTCCACCACTTTTTCACTTCGTCGCCTTTTTGCATCTATTTTCGTGATTCCTCATCATGTCGACCCGCTTAGATCTCTGCAGTAGGGTGGTGCTGTTTTCTTCAAATTCCAACTTCCACTTTTTGCATTTACGGCAGCAGATGTGGGTGTTAGTGCCGTTGAGCCATTGCTCGTCATCAACCCAAATTCTCTGTAGTCGAGCGGAGGGACCATAGCCGTACTTTTTTGTTTTTGCGTTGAAGTAGTGCTGCTCTGGCCTGAAGATGTTCCGCAGTGCTCCTACTCCTGGGCTGTCGCGCCCAATCTGGGACCCAACTAGTACTCTCGCAATTTTGACTAGACCACTTTGCTGATGCATTTTCGCATGCTCTTTCATGGATCCTAGTGAGGTGGAAAAAATGACACTGCATATGAGGCACTTGTAACGTTCTTGGTGCTTGTTCCTTGTGCTCCGCTTTGGTCCAACGTCGAATACTCTACGAAAGGTGGCCCCGGGCTCTTTGCCAACTTCCTGCCTGGCTAATGCATACTGCTGGCTTTGTTCCTCTTTTGCTAGTGCTGTCATGGCACACATTACTGCGGGGGCCACCGGAGGACAATACGTGTGCTCTTGCTGAGCATGGTCATCAATCTGTCGATTAATTTCCTCACGAGTGCCAACTGTCCACTCATCTATCGCTCGGACTTTCCACTTGCAAGCTATACAGCTACCATAAGCCTGTGGTCGCTTCTCTCGCCATACTTCCTCGGCTTTGGAATTGGAGTCAGCGCTGACTATTAAGGTTGCTCTATCTTCGTTGCTGCTTAACATTACCACATCAACGCCGGGGAGTAGTAGCTTCTTAACTACTTCGCAGGCCTGACGTGTCGCTGGGTCAACAACATAAGCACTTTCTGCACGTGTCCAACCTTCCCCTTTCGACCATGCCAATAGACGTTGGCCTCTGTTCCTTACTTGGTATAGCCAAGTGGGACGCGTCACCTTCATCCTGATCATGTCCTTGTCAGTGCTCATCGTGAACTTGAGGATAGCAGCCTTACCTCCAGCAAAAGTAGCAGCGTCATATTCCATTCCACCAGCCGATATGTTGATCTCAATTCCATTTCCAAGAGGTACTAGGCACGCACTTGCATTCGCTGTTACTTCAAATTCTAGTAGCATTGATTTTTCAGAGGAGTCTGCATCATAATACTCAAGTTGCTGCTTGGTGATAGTTGAGCCTTTCCATCTGTTGCTAGACAGCCTTCTGCTGGTGGACTGATCCTTTGCCAGCATGGCAGCATATAGCGCAGCGTGTTCGCCTTCTTCTTCTTTTTTTGGGGCCCAGAACTCCACCGTGCGCCTGATGTAATCTGCCCTGATGGTGGCGTGAAACATCCCCTTTCTGTGTACGTATTCTTCTTCCTCGTGCTTCAGCGCCTTTCCTTCCTGCCCCGACGTCCTTAGGGGAGCTAGCACATCCCGAAGTAAACCAAGAGTCATTCCGCACTTGGTTGTTAAGTGCATGACAAATTGCTGCATTAGTGATTCTACTTGCCTTTCTCTAGGTGGTAATGCTTTGTTGTGTTTTACGGACTTGATGTACTCTTGTCTCCCTTCCGTTTCCTCCTCCATGTTCTGCATGGCTTGCGCTTTGAGAACTGTCTTTACAAGCGACTCGCCATCCTTCGTCCTCATCTCGTGCGCGATGTGCCTTGCCCTGATGAAGTCTATGAACACCCCAAGAGGGGGGACTGCTGCCATATGATAGACAGCGTGCTTGGACACCTCGCCCTTCCAAATTCTCCAGAGTGGCACACCCAAGGTAAGCGCGAGCATTTCCACCTCTGCACCTGCTAAGCGCTGCAACTCATCTCGCGGGAGCGGCCTCGCCTGTAGTCCATACGCTAGCGAAGCTCTAGACACAGCACGAACTGTTTGTCCTTTGGCCTCCCTTGAAACTCCTCCCAAGCCGCTGAGCCTCTTTTTCATAGCGAACGTGGCACCCCATGCTCGCTTTATCTTCTCAGACTCGTCCTGGGTTGCTGACGTATTCATTCCTAAGTTGCGCTGCTTGAGCCTGGTCACATCGCCTACAACTCGCTTTGTGGGATTTTCTCCCGTGCCTGCGTCCTCTATCGTCTGTAGCAAGAGCTGCGTGACCTCAGTTGTTGGCGGCGCAATCCCTGCCGTCATAGCAGACTCAGCTTCAGCATGCAGTTGATCTACTTGATGAGAGGGCAGCACTTCAAATACGGTTGTGTCGTCAGCAAAAAGAACCAGCCCCACTCTGTCGAACCTAGTGCTCTCTTCATCGTATAATGCCCGCTGTACTCTCATGGTTCTGTCTTCTAGCCAGCCTTCTGCAGAACCGACAAAGGGAACGCCGTGCGCGATTCCCCTACTTCGTGCCCTTTCTTTGAAAACCCTCACTAGCATGGAGTAGGTGAGCACGAACAAGGTTGGCGAAGTTGGACAGCCTTCTTTCATGCCGTGCTCAACCCAGAAGGTTTCACCACCAAAGCTGTGTGCTGCGCTTCTATGTGTTGCTTCAAGGACATTCCATATGGGTGTCTGCAGCAGTCCTAGGTTTCTAAAGACCCTCCGCACGAACCGCCAGTCAAGGCTAGGAAAGGCCTTGCGCAAGTCTAGCATTGACATCAAAGTCTTGTTAAGTCCGGACTCCTTGGTATGTTCCATGTCCTCCTTTATTTTCGAAAAAATCGTTAACGCGCCTAGCGTTCCTCTTGCGGTGCGGAACCCGAACTGCTCTAGGGGAAGGAGCTTTTGGTCTTCGCAAAAACGTAACAACCTCGAACCAAAAATGCGTGAGATCAGCTTCATGATGACCGGCGCCAGGACTAGAAACCGGTAGTTATCAGCATTATCAATCTCTCCTTTGCCCTTGTATAAGGGTACGTCCTTGCACAAATGGAATTCTTCGCCCATTGCCCCTAGGATTCCGGACTCCTTTACCGCCTCACTGATGGTTTTCGCCAACCACCTGATAGCCTCTTCGTCGAAGTAGTCAAATACTCTACAGCATAACCCATCTACGTCGCGTGCGCCAGCAAGTTGCATTTTAGATAGATTGAATCTTATCTCTTCTGCTGTGACGGGGCGATTGAGCTCTTTTGTCAATTTTTCGTCTGCACGGTTCATGACCTTGTCCAAATCGTCGAAAATGGGGAGAGACTCAAGACCGGGGCGCTTTGGATTATTTCCTACAGAGTAGTACTTCGCTTTTGCCTGTTCACCGGTGATGCCAGGCTTAATGGTGCCTGCACTACTCCTTGCTTGCCTGTAGTAGTCCCATACCTCTGCTAGCTTCCTTCTCGATCCTACAAGTGTGTCTGCTGCTGCTTCCGGAGGTCCCGTCCCAGCAGGCACTAGGAATGCGTCACCCATTGATTTTAAGTATTTTCGCAGCCTTTCTAGTGGATGGTCGAACGCGTCTTGCGCTCCGTCACCTATGACTACCTGCTTCAGTCTAGTATTAAAGGCGGCCAGCTGTTCCTTTGATGGATTGGTGTCAAACTCCCACCTTGCGACCTGCCGCTCACGGCCCTCCTTGATCAGTTCAGGCCTTGTCTTGAATCCAGTTCTCATGGCCAGCAATCTATGGTCGAACCTAGATGGCGCCGTGCTACGTTTGATCGTTACAGCTCTGATGTCCTTGATCCTGTGCTTCATGTTGCCACTGACCCATATGTGATCTATTTCCGAGACAAATCGCCCACCGGGAATGTAAGTCTCCCTCCTTCCTTGTGCGTCAAGCGCGTCCTTAACTGAGTTAACTAGATGCATGTTATGAGCTGCCATTAACTCGACCAGCCTCACTGCGCCTTCTGTGGTAATTTCTTTCCCGTAGGGTCCGAGAGCCGCAGAGTGCCCTCGCGACTCAAGGCTACCTACTTGCGCATTGGCGTCGCCAGCAAATATCCTGGACTTCCACTTGTCGTCTCTTCTACATCGTGCGTCCTGTAAAGCAGCCTCAAGATTGCGTAGAAACGCTCGCTTGAGGTCAGCACTTCGGGCTGCGGTTGGTGCGTAGAACGCGTGCATAGAGATTTCATCCATAAATATGGAAACTACCCGATTCCTTGCACGTATGAAATCAGTGCCGCTTCTCCTGCGCCTTGATATCTGTCGCCTCAGTTCCGCGTTAAGGACTAAAATGCCTGCACCTCTGGTAGATATCAGCGTGAAAGTCTCGCCCTCTACTATTATAGGCTTCAAGTGGAACGTGCCATCTACTGTGTCCTTGCTGGGCTCCCAACATCTAGGGATGTTTTCACATTCGTCGTAGCAATGCACTACTGGCTCACTCCTAGCCTTTCTGTATTCGAACTCAGAGAGCATGACTGCCGCAAGCCTTTCCTTTGCGGCAAACTTCATGATCACAGCAAGCCTTTCGCAGTGAGCCTCTGAGGATCGCATGTTGATGGTGGCGAACGAGAGATGGCCTGTTTCCTGCTCTCTTATTTTTGTAAGAGTGTGCTCATGATGTTCTTCACTTTCTTCAGATTCTTTATTAGCATCCCCTTCTTCTTCTTCTTCAGCTTCTCCTTCATCCTCTTTATTGGAAGCTTCCTCGTTATGACTCCAAGGAGAATCGTCAAAGTTTACTTCCATACTTTCCTCAGGTAGTATGGAGCTGAACTGTGAGACCTCGCTACGCTCGGCTCTGATTGAACGCCCAACGCCACTGCGCTTGATAGAGTGTTCTTTAGGTGACTTCAACGCAGTGGCTTTTCTGACTTCACATTTAGACTGCTTGAGTACTTTCTGAATTGCAAATGTCTTCGCTTGTTGTCGTGCTTCTTGTGGCACTCTTCTTTCATCACCACCTACGCACGATCTTTCTTGCGTGTGTAGTTGATGCGAGTAGCTTTCGCTTTTTTTCTTCTTATTTTTGATGCATTTCATTTTGAGGCGCTTGCGTTTCATTCTAGTTGATGCACGTAGTGATGGGTATTGCTGTACGAGGAATTTGCTCCGACTCCTTGTAGAGTTGTGACGTCCTTTTTGCACTTTGATGGGAAGCTTCTTCACGATTTCTGGGGGTAGTGCTCCTTGGATGCAACGTCCTTTTTTATCTTGTCTAGTGTTATTTCGTCTCTTTAGCGGGGAAAACATTCTCAAACCGTAGTAGTTTCTTCTAACGTCAATGCTTTTTTTGCCTTGTCCTGCTTTAATGCCGCTTTTTAGCCACTTGGTAAATCTCTTGTTTGCGATCATTTTCTTGCTTTCAACTACTTGAGATGGCGTTGGTGCTTGTTCATCTATAGCTTTGATCTTGTTGATTTTCATCTGACTGCAACCCCCACTTCTTTTTTTACTTTTACTTTTCTTCAACATCGTCGAACTTCCTCTGCTGTCGATTTTCGTTTTGCTTTTTGTCGTCCTTCCCGTGACGCATAAACTCGCATAGTCCTCCTGCAAGTTCCGGCCAGTTACAAGCCGCTGGCACCTGGATTGCGAGTGGTGATCATTTTTGTGAACAGTAGATGAGGAAGTAGAAGTTGAGTCAGTTGCTCTTTCTCCTTTGACGGAGATGGTGGCATGCTGATGATGGAGTTCCGTGGAAGCGGAGCTGATTTGGTCGTTGTCGTCTTCATTCGAGCAATCCTGTACTTCTAGACAAGTAAATCGATTAACTTCATGTGGATTCAGCTTGCTTCTATTCCCTCTAGTCAGCTCTTCTATGTTGGGGGCAGGGAGCCGCTTACATCTTTCTACATAGGAGCATTGGCGACCATATGGTCTGAACTTCTTCCTCCCTCTGGGAGTCTGCCAAGGGCTGCAGAGCTTAGGACGTGTTGTTGTCGCGTCTGATTTTTTAGTATCTGAGTTCTATCGATGAAACCAATGTTTTCAACAACTATGATAGTAAGTCCATGCTGAATATCACTGCATTCTCAACAACTGTATAGTAGTAGTGGTATTGTACCCAAGAATCAGGACGGGGTATATAGGCTTGTGAACCTTAGATAGTCAAAAAAAACATATTCTACTTGAGATGAAAAAAAGTAATTAGTAAGTACATGCTGAGTATCACTGTCAGGTTGAAACTACTCTTGATGTCAGAGTCAAAAAATAGCTACAACCGTTGATACCAGAAGACACTGATTCTAGTTCTACCTTCAGTATGACCTAATTTCTAGGTCTACCGAACAAGAAAGACAAGCAAGGGAAGAAATGAATCAGTAGTAGTGCTGGTAGTAGTAGTAGCAGTAGTAGTGTGCCCAATCTTGGGGTATAAGTCGCTACTTTTTCTAACATGGCGCCGTCGAAGCCAACGTTTCAATTACGCGCCGTCGACGTCGTTGCTGCGGAAGATATTAAGTAGACACGGTTCTAGTGGAGACGATAAACGCTGCTCAGAAAAATAAAAGACACTACGCAGTGGTGATAAACACGACGGGCATGATTTTTGCTGAATATCAATATTCACTGGACAACCAGAGACCTATAGCGACGGCCTATCTGATGATTAGAAACCTACAGGGAAGGCAAGCCATTGCGCAAGTATATTCAATCAGAAGTGCGTATAACTTTAATTTCGACAAAAGACCTGAAATGGATCGAGTTCCCTCGTCTGTTATTGAAAGCCTACTGTCGTCTGTCACTTTTTCCTTTTTCCTATCGTCGTCTTTACCGCCTCTCTTAGTAACTACCACGCTACTCTCAAAGTATTTTCCCAAATGATCATGGACAAGCTGTACTCTAACATTATCTATCGGACGATCACCCCCGTCCTCCAAGCGATGACTTCTCCGACGACTAAGCACATCTTATACCCAAAGACGCACCTGACAGCCAACCCCAAGAAGGCCATAGATACCTCCACCTTTACATACTAGTAGCCAAAAACACTTCCACCACCTCTAAAAAGTAGGGTGGTAGTAGGGTACCCAGTCTACGGGTATAGAAGAGAAACATTCTTCTAGGCATGCGTCTTGTCTCTTCCTCTTGCACTTGAGGACCACCTTCTTTGCATCATGACGACCACCTTCTTCTTATATAGTCTAGAATCTTCCACCCTCATAGTAGTAGCAGGGTACCCAGTCTAGGGGTATAAAAGAAGGCTATCTACTTATGCTCATGACGTTCAGCACCTTCGCGTTCATCTGCCAGCATCTTCATGTCCACGAAAACTACTATACATTTCTAGATGTCGCTGCTGAAGATAGGCATTTCTAGATGTACCAGCTTCCTTGTGCTGTCTGGATGTAGCAGAGGAAGACGCAGGAGCACTGTATGATGTAGAGGTGGCAGAACCAGAATAGTTGTTGCAGAAAGAGTTGCTCTCCCCCGCGTGGAGGTTGTTTTTCATCCTGGAAGCTGGATCAACACAATACAAGCGGGGGGCGGTTCCTTCGTCGAATCTTCGACGAGACGAACAACAATATTGATCATGATCATCTGATCTCTCAGCAAGTGGAGGGACCGCACGTTTAACTTTGGCATTTTCAAAATCCTGCTGGTACAACTGGTAATCACTTCTAGCAGGCACACTTGTTGTAATATCACCACAAAGTAGATATTCTTTTTGAAGAGAAGATGGTGAAGCATTCTGCTGTTGCGGACAACTGCTTCTCGTAGTGCGACCACTCGTTTCCACCTTTCTGGTTCCAGCGTTGTGGCCCTCGCAGAAGCTGTCGGTTCTTGTCACCTTGTAGCTCTTGTCGCTCGATTGATCCCTCTGCTGCTCTACTTCCAGCGTGCTACTTTTATGGTGCATCGTAGTCAAGAAAGCTTCCATCACATGGGGTCGCATTTCAAACAGCACTGCTAGACTCTCCAATAGCAAGCTTCTCTTCTCTCCAACATTTTGATGTTCTGGGTATTAGAGCTAGCTTCGCGATGCCATCCCTGAGTGCATCGTTGGCCCCTTTTTCAAGTGGAAAAAGGGCCACGGATGACGCCGAGGATGCTTGAGCGGAAGCCCTTAAGGGTAGGAGTCACACTGCTCAACAAGGTGCTCAACATTCGAACGCAAGCGTTGCACTACCTCGCCCGACGAGCTGCCAGTATGAATATTCTTTATGTTTGATGAATCACTATAGGCTTGTTGTACATGTACATCATTGTTGTAAGAGCACGACGACTTGCTCTTGTTATTGTCATAGTTGTAGGCTTCACAGGAAGAATAATAGTCTTCTTGAACCTCGTTCGTGTAGGAATAGCCTTGACCTTGTTGAGAATTGTAGTTGTTACGGTTGTTGCGGTCTTGATTCGTGTCCGCTTCGTGATGACCGTTGTTGTGAGTAAAACTATAGTTGATGTGGTTGTTCGTGTAAGAAGAGCGCTCGTTGTTGTAAGAAGAGCGCTCGTTGTTGTAAGAAGAGCGCTCGTTGATCGTGTAAGAAGAGCGCTCGTTGTTCGTGTAAGAAGAGCGCTCGTTATTCGTGTAAGAAGAGCGCTCGTTGTTGTAAGAAGAGCGTTCGTTGTTGTAGGACGAATAGGTGACCTCGTTCATCTTGTATGACAGCACGCTATTTTTATATGTTGCGCCTTCCTCCCGCGTAGCATCCAGCAGCCGACGTCGTAATAATCTTTCTAGATCTCCTGTAGACTCGTCAAGACTATCCCTAGGAACGTGATGATCGGGAGAACCACGCGTGTCTTCTTCATCACTATATTGACGAGCATGATGAAGATGACTCATGCTTTGAGGATCGTGACCACGAGGACGAGCAGGAGGACCATGAAGATGATGAAAGGTTGTACTAATAGGGACAGGCAGCGTTCTCGGAAGATTATTGTAACCTTCCAGACCTGGAGGAGGACCAGTAACCCTGGTGGACGACGAGGCTCTACCAGTGCGACGAGTTTCGGTACGACGAGTTCCATTGCTACGACGAGTTCCATTGCTACGACGAGTTCCGTTGCTACGACGAGTTCCGTTGCTACGACGAGTTCCGTTGCTACGACTTACATCACCTGTTCGAGCTACTTCTTGTTCGACAAAATTATTGATGTCTCGTCCTCGTCTTCCAGCACTTTCTCTACTTGGTCCTACAAAGTCGCTGTCTTCTTCCCATGATGTTTTATGATGTTTTAGTGGAGCATTTTGTTGGTCTTGTTCCACCCAACTGTGACCACGTAGTAGTAGTTCTGCTTCTGTCTGGTTAACAAGGTGTTGTGCCCGTCCACAACCTCGAGAGCTCAGGTCATCCGCACTGGTAAATGCTCCCCCCATAGTGGCATTGGTTGTGTCTTCTGCTTCTCCGCCTCCTCTTACTTAGACGAGAGCGCTTGAATTCATCTGCTCGGAGTTTCTCGTATTATCTCGATAGATAGCATATTTCTCCGTAAAAATAAGTGTCTATATATTGCAAGGGAAAAAAAAGTTACCAAGATTTTCTGAATCTCAACAGGACGCTTCCCCGTATCTCTATTGCAAGGAAAGATAAAGCTACCAAAAAAATGAAAAAGAGATGAATAAAAGCTGATCAACATAAGTTGTGGTGCTACTAGTGCTAGAGGCCTTCGATGTGGGTGTAGAGTCAATTGCTGCTTCAATGACCATCGCAGTACTAGATGTGCTGCAAGCCTCGTGAGAAGACGACGCCATGGAACAGCCAATGTCAGAATGGTAAAGATCGTCTACTTCTTGATGCTGATCTTAAACGAACAGGGGCAACCCATCTTTTAGAACATCTCTCAGCACTCTCCAACTAGACACTGGCTAAAAGATGCTCTGTGAGAGATGGGTTGACGGTAGTACGTACCCTTAATGAAGATTGCGACCTCTAGTACGAGTGACAGCAGTAATATTGGAAGTCATGCGAGGACAAGGAGATGTTCTTGATTCTTGTTCAACTAGAAGATTATAGTCGTTATTGTGGTAAGAAAAGTCCTGAACCACAGCAGAGCCAGAAGTTCTCCTTTCATCTCGCTCACCTCTGTGCTCCCCACCTTTAGGTCGTTCGCTTCTGCCAAGTTCGCCTCTGATGTGGGAGTCCTCGTAGTGTAATTGATGCATGCCATCTCGATCATTAAAGGTCAGCAGTCATTGGTCACTGACTCTGAACGGGAAGGGCCCCACACCTCTCCACTTCCTTTTCCCATGTTCTCTAAAGGGTTCGCCTCTTCGATCTCAGCGACCAACATCAGTGACCAATGAAAGTTGAGCCTTAAGATAATCCTTTCCAGCACCACTGAGGACTCGTGCTCGTACAGATTTGTATTCTGGTCGGTTTTTTCGAAACTCGCATTCCCAGTCGGAGAGTTCGCTTCGCGTTCTCTTCTCCCTCCAGAGCGCTACACAAGCAGCTACCCGGGATCAGAATTAGAACAAGCAACGCCCTCCCATGACAGATTAAGATTAACTTCTTAGCTCCTAGGGTAGAATGTTGTGAATTAGATGGTCGTGTCTTATCCTCGTAATGATTCTGATTGATCGGAACTCAGATAAAATTGTGACGCAGCTAAAAAGATGAACTGCATCAAAACTCTAAATCTAGTAGCCCTGCAGGCTCAACGAGTGGCTAGAAGCAGAACGTGCGTGCTATATCTCAAGGATACTGATTCAGACGTCGATCATCTCTAAGTATAGAACTTAACTACTAAATCTACTTCCCAGTAGCAATAAAAATCACAAGCTTCTAGTACTACAAATTCTTAACTCAAGCAGCAATACGAGGAGGACAAGATTGTCGCACAAGCCTCCAGTGAGTATCCGGTTGTCTTCAGAATATGCTCCACTTCTCGCACGGTTATCATTTTTTAGAATGAGAATGAGAATGAGTTCCTGTTCCATCATCTTTATACTAATATCATCTTTATAGTATACTAGTACTTAAGCATCTCAGTCTATTCGCTTTCCCTTCTAAAACGGAACTCGCCTCAGTTCCCAAGTTTTGAAAAGTCGTACTCGTGCCACATTTTCCAACTCTCCTAGGAAAAATGGACTCAGTCATTTACCTGTTCTGGAGGTATCTTTTGACGCCTTAAATTCTCTTACTTTCAGGTTCACAGATATCCATATCTCTAGGGTCGTCGAGCCAGAGAGTGGCCAGTCGTCGCGAAGGATGAGCCGACGATGTGTGCACTCTGACATCCTCGACTGAAGAAGAAGTTAGAGATGTAGTAGGGATGCGGCAGTTTCTTCTTACATTTATCATTTTTTTACTCGTAAAAATAAAAGATCACAAGTTCGTTGTTGCGGCTACACTGTATTCAAAGCATAAACACGGTCCCAATCCAATTACCGCACGGCGGGTGCTCCATGGAGTGAATTGGGCTCCTTGCATCAAATACGTCCATCGTTCCAGCAATCCCCTCGAGCGCATACACGCAAATGCGAAGCCGATACTGCATGCCTGACGTGGCGTTTCGCGCCAAATCGGTCGCAGGGTAAACGAATGCACCAATCGCTTGACTAGTGGATGCAGGGAGAGGCCCAAAGCAGCACTCGGTATAGGGTTCAGCGGAACCAGAAACGCCCACGCTGAACTGCAGATAAGCCCGGGAACGTAGGCGCAAGACTGAGGGTCGAACCAATCCTTCGTGCTTCTGACTGTGATTTTTCGGAGATTAGAAGTGGTTCCATCAGACATGGCTCATGATGGTAGCATTGTGAGGCAGTTTTTCATTGTTGCATGGATTCTTGAGGGTTTAGACTGACTCAAAACGTTGATGTTGTCTGAAGGACGTTTACAACATCAAGGGTCACAATTTACCACACCACTTCAATTCACCGGTAATAGTTGTGGTGGAGCAGACCTGAGTAGAAAAAAGAGAAAGATTCACCGATGTCAGTCATGATTTCTTCTTCATGAGCGACAATTGCACAAAAATTGGCTTAATGTTATCTTCGTGCAGTTGCCCGACCGCAGCGTCCGAACTCGTTTCTTCTCGCAAAACAGCCTCCCGCAAATTCAACTCCCATTCTCGACATTCGGCCAAAAACTGATAAAAGAGTTCTGACGAAGCTAGACTATCATCTTTAGTTTCAAGACCAGGCACTGATGATGAAACTCCTAGCGTCGATGCCGCTTCCTCCTTGCTGAAGAGCAGTCTCAGGATTTCTCGGTCATGCAATATCGTGTCATTAGCGAAAAGAACATTGGCTGCACAGATAGGCGAGTGGCGAGAGGGCACGTTGCGAATGAAAACGCTCTTGCTATCAGGGTTAGCATCCATCGGCACTGCGCGCACCATTTCCTGAAAACGTTGAGAGCAGGACTCCCCCATCTGGGGAGACTCCGTTGGGTATCTTTGGGAAGAGGATTCACCCCTCTGGGAATGGGAACCCTCCATTACTACTTGATGATGTTGTTGTTCTGCATATCTGCTCTGACAGGACTCGCCCATTGGTCCTGAGTATCGTTGAGAGGATTCGCCCATTCCTCCGAGTCCGTGGTGGGACGACTCGCCCATTGGTCCGAGCCCATGACGGGACGAGTCGCCCATTGGTCCGAGTCCGTGGTGGGAGGAGTCGCCCACTGGTCCTGAGTATCGTTGAGAGGATTCGCCCATTCCTCCGAGCCCATGACGGGACGACTCGCCCATTCCTCCTGGTCCGTGCTGGAACTCCATCGGTAGAAGTCGATGTAGAAACTGTTGCTATGATCTTTTGTACTGCATGCACTAGAATAAAACTGTGATCTTCTTACACACTGAGATGTTGTCGCAGAGGAAGCCTACTAGGATGTTGTCACGAGGATGTTGTCACAACAGTCAGAGAAGCGAACTGCTACCTTTGAAGGTCAGCAGTCATTGGTCACTGACTCTGAATGGAAGGGACCCCACATCTCTCTACTTGTTTTCCCTCACTTTTCCCCGGTTCACTCACGGGGCCCGCTTCGATTTCAGTGGCCAACCTCTATGACCAATGAAAGTTGAGCCTTAATACCTTCAGAAAGCTCTTCTTCAGAAAGCTCTTCTTCAGAAAGCTCTTCTTCAGAAAGCTCTTCATCAGAAAGCTCTTCTGCAATTTCAAAGCTTTTTCTCTATTATGATCGGAATGAAAGCGTCTTATTCAATTCAAGTCTTCTCGTGTTCTTTTTCATCAGGATGTTGCCGTCGTCTGAGCGACGGAGGGAATCGTCTAACCGAGAAACGGAAAACTCTTGCTGCAAACGGAGAAAAGCGCCGGATGAGTTCTGTTGTACTTCTTCTTGAAACAGGAAGTGAAAAGACACGCCGCAGAGAGAGTACTACTGGAGAGATCTATAACTAGCCGATAAATGATGTGCGGGAAGATCGATGTACAACTTCATTCATTCATTCATGTTCGCGGTTCGAGTTCGGCAATTCAGCTCAGATAAAACCCCTTCATACAACTAGTGGATATCCTTCATACTTCCTATGCTGATCATCTAGTTGTATTTGTTGTGCTTATAATTTCACATTCACGACAGGAACCCTAGAACTTACTACGAAAAAAGTGTAAGAAAGAACTTAATTAGCCACGACTGCAATATGAGAAGAAACTTCCAATGTTCCTCTTGGTTCACTAGACCCTAAAAGATTTTGCAAAGACCTAATATGATCTTCTCTATGGAGATTTTCTACAAGAACGAAGAAAGTTAGTCAGTCAACCTAGTCAGTGCGTTAATAACCATATACGGTGAAGATAGGTATCTAGATACTAAATTTATTGATTAGCTCCGCTACTTCTGATCACCTATCTTAGCTACTTTGTGTTCAGTTCATATGAAAGCAGCACTATGGCCTCCTTGAGCTTGCTGTGAACAGACTTACTCTACGGGGTTACACAGACCGAGAAATGGGCTAGTAGTTGCCGTGTCAACGAGAAGACTATATCCCAACAAATGAACTTCATTGCTAAGCCGTCTTTTACGTAAAATTGAAATTTAAGTACTCAGTTTTGCCCTTGACATGAAACTCAAAATGTTACCCACTCAGAGAGAAAATTAATTGTAGGAGCTTAGTATGACAACTAGTGCATCACTCACCGTCTCGAAAATGTCACTTGTTACGTTACTTTGTACTAGTTATTTTTTTGTGTTTGTGTTGTACAAGTAGAACCACTATGAAAATTGTAAGTATTCTGATCTTTTTCTACGTAGAAGAACTATCGATCGAGTAGCAGCCTCTGTGGGGGCCTTCGAGATAGTTACTCTACAATTTTTCCACTCCCTCGAATCTACATTATATAAATAGTATAGGATGACGCGGAAAGAACCCAGCTCTTCGTTCCTTTTTACTAGTACGATGGTCTTCTTAAGGCAGTCGTCAAGACCATAGTTCGGAGTTTTTCTGCATCTGAAACAGTATCTTTCAACTGCCAGGTTGGTCTGTAGCAACGGCCGTCTGTAAGATAGTGACTAGTGATCAGTTACAGTGTGAAATTCGAGCTACTGAATGAGGCTCCTTCGAAACCAAATGTAGCTTGAACTTGAAGCACACGACGAAAGAATATTGCAAAAACTGGTATGATCATAGCTACCATGTGGTAGTGTCATCGGAATGGATAATCACACAACGACTATGGTATGATAGACAATGATAGGTACCAGGTAGTTTCATAGACAGAGATAGGTATCAGGTAGTGTCATACACCGAGAGACAGTTGCGTCTGTTCAAAAAGAGAGAAAGTCAAAGAAACCGAAACTCAGACTGAGCTAAACAATGACAAACTCTCTCGAACTCTATAATTAGTATCGAACTCTACTAGTATTAGAGAAGAGAACTCGACTGGTATTAGTAGAGAAGAAATTCACATTCTATGGCCATTCATCGACTCCTTAATAAGAACATTAAAAAAAAGGATACTCATTTACCACTTCATCCTCGAACTGATAGTCCAGTACACCAAGTTAAAAAAACGTGATTGAGAAGTAAGTAACCTAATCCTAGTGGACCAGTAAATATAACTGAAGATTCACAATACAACTGAGGTACTCAGATTAAGTACGTAGTAAAAAAAAGTATGTACACACAACAACGCCTTTTATCGTTCTAATCCAGTTCCTTATCCACCAATTAGCAATAGCCTTCGTACAAATAACCAGCGACTTTGATTCGAAAGACAGAGTCCACGACTTCTTAGTCCCGACAAATCTTTCCTGCGATGGGTTGGGGTAGGAAGGAAGCTTGATGCGTCTGTAGTGTGAAGTTGCTGACAAAAATCAATGCACTATCAAGAAATCAAAGTCAGAACTTGAAAAACAGAAAAAACAATGAACTTTGCTCACAACGACAAAAGTTCTTCATTCCTTACTAAGATGTTTGCTTTCAAAAACACTTCATCTCTTCACGAACAACCTTTACAACAAAAACGCATTGGAAAATCGATCACACACCGGTGAGAATGAAAAACACACCAAAAAAAGTTTCCACCAAGACACAAAAAATTTCCACCACTCAAATATAATTGACTCAGTCAAAGAAATATCCACACACACACACAAACACAGACACACACACTGCTCCGACGCTGCTCCTTCATTCGCACACACACACACAGCGACGCTGCTCCGACGCTGCTCCTTCATTCGCACACCGACGCTGCTCCTTCATTCGGCCGCTGAATTTTGAAAACCTAAACCTGATGATGATCCCACTTACGACAGCAGCCAGTTCACAAGGTGATTTTGGATTAGGATTCAAAAAACCATATCCTTCTTTCTTTCATGACTGCTTCGCTTGACTGTGCAAAGAACAAAGACTCTCTGTATCAGAGCGATTGACGCCGACACATGCTGACAAAAAAGCGATCGACATATTAACCACATGGATAGTGGGCGTATGCTGAAAAAAAAATCTCAATTGGGTCAGGAGGACTCATTTGATTTCAACGTCGTGGTGTCATCGATGATGGAGAATAGATTCCGGTGGTCAACATGGGAGAGGTTCAACATATGGGGTGAGAGTATTCATCATTTGTGGGGGAAAGAGACTCACTTCTGGGAAAATATCTGTATTCGAACATTCCGGTGTCTACTTCATCGAAGCTGCGATAGGAAATCATAGTATTGATAATGATCTTCTTTGAATGTGTGAGGTAACTTCATCTTAGCCTTCCTCACTGGACGAGAGCACATCTTCATCTACATTTCCATCAGGGTGCTCCCGATTTTTTGAGGAAGTGTTTTTCGAGGATCTACTTCCTTCCGGAGCAGAGAGTGCTGGATTAAACACCCTTTGAGGCTTCATTTTCTTTACCACTCCTTGTGCTTGAGCTGCTTGTGACTTGTTTTCGTCTTCTCTATCTCCATTTCGATCATCATCTGCATCCCTTCCATCTTCATCCTTAGCATTTCGTTGCCTTTGGTGTCCACCTTTAGGTTGCCATCCTCCTCCAGGCCCAACCCAATCTGTCATAGTGGCTCCTCCATTTCTACTACTGGGAGGACCTCTGTTGTCCTTGCCTCCGCGAACAGTGTTTCTTCCTCGAGAATCATTTCTACTTGGGGCGCCCCTATAATTTTCCCGTGGACCTCTAGAAGAAGTAGTATTCGCATTGTTATTGTACCTACTATTTGTCGTCGTCGTCGTCGTGGTCCTCGCATTTCTCTCTCTAGAATGAGGCCTAGTAGTTCCTCGAGGACCATAGTGGTCACCATTGTTGTTGTTGTTGGCATATCTTGAAGATGTTGAGAAAGCATTATTCATGCTGCTGCCACCACCACCTTTTGCTCCTTGTTTCCCGCCCACGCCTGAGCGCGTCGAATAATGCTCATCATTGAAACGGCTAGTGCCACCTCCTCCTCCTTTTGATGTCCCCTTATGTGGACCTGGCCTAGTATGTTGTTCTGTAGGTTTGGAGAGTTCTCTCGGTCGAGACAGGTCTCTACTAGGTCTAGAGAGTTCCCTGTCTCTGGTAGGATAAGAGGTTCGTCCGGTTGTATTCGTATTCCTCGCTCCTGTAGGTCTTGGTGGTGACCTCCTTGTAGCAGTTGTATCGTTTCTCCTGAAAGCGTCTGGCTCATCTGCATCCTTCTTCTTCGACCGTCCTCCCTTACTCCTCGAACTAGACGACTCGATACGACGGCCATAGTAGTTGCTGTCGGAGTCATCCTCTGACGATGAGGATTCTTGCTCACTTCTACGACCACGTGCGCCATTCTTAGCCGCTCCTGCAGTAGTACTGTTGTTGTTAAGCTTTAGAGTAGAAGACTTGATCATTTGACTCTCTTCATCTGCGATTTCGTTAGACGTCGCTGTAGCCTTCCTGTGGGGTGAAACACTGCCTCTCGGTGCATTGCTTTCAGACGGGACTGATCCGGAACGAGTTCTGTTCATCCTAGAAGTACCATCATCACGTTGTTCTTTCTCTTCTGCTCTTGTTGCGGCTCTTCCTGCTGCTGGTACTCCTGCTGTTCCTCCAGTGGAATGTTGACCCTGGTGATGTTGTTCCACCTGGTGATGTTGATTCTCAGGACCTTTCCTCGACGTAAGAACAACTCCTGGCGCTGCGATTGTGCTGTGGTCTGCTTCCTTTTTAGAAGCACGGCTACTCTTCTTCGCTCTCTTTGTCAAAGGTGGACCATCTACCGAAGAGGACTGTTGGTCTTCTTGTTCGGAGGAGGAGGAGGATGGCTTGTTCTCTGACTGAGAATCTTCGTCTTCTTCCGACGAAGATGAGGTATCTGGGGAAACAATTAGAGTCTAGTAGGTTTTTGGTGTTCGTTTACCCCGTTCGTGATCAGCCTTTCCCCCTTCAGAAAGGCAAAACGAACGCTAAAAAAACGTTCGTGATCTGCCTTTCGGTATAACTGTTCTCAGGAAGGCAAAACGAACGGTAAAAACAAGAACACCTTTAACCTACCCTTAAAATAATCGGACCTCGTGTCCCTGCTCGTGTTCCTACTCGAGCTGGTTTCCTCTCGCTGCTGCAAAAGTTTCTCTTGCTCTTTTTGCTACAACCTGGAGGCTCATTGCCTCCTGGAGTGGAATAACTACTAGAAGGCGAGGCAGAAGGAGAAGCACTAGCTGGCGTACTACTGCTACTTGGATCTGGGACATATCTCCGCTTCTTAGCAGCTGTTGTACCTTGATCATGATCACGATCTTGTCTCCTAGTAGGATCGTTAGAAGTGTCACGGTCGCCTGCGTCTCTGCTAGAAGGAAGAGTTCGCTTGTTATTGTAAACTCTAGCTGCCCCTCCATTCTTCTTCTCCGCGCTATCATCATTTTTCGTAGTTGCGTTCTCCACCACCACATTTTTAAAATCACCACCACGACTTGCTTCAGTATTGTGAAAACGCTTCTTCTTTTTGTTTTCAACAACGACATTGGAGGTCTTGGCGTTGTTCTCACGACTGCTCTGGTTCTGCTTAGCACGCTTGTCCTCGTCAAAGCGAGACACCTGAGGCCTCCTTCTAGCTACTGGGGATGAATCTGGACTCGCGGACATGCGATGTTTCGGACTGAGACTGCCTTTGTCCCTACCACGGTGCTGGGAAGGTGAACTCTCTACGAGGACAACTGGACTCCTATTGTGATTGACTTGGACCACTTGATGATTACTTGGAGGCCTCTTGTTATTATTTTTCTTCTGGTTCTGCTGCTGTCCACGAGGAGCATCGTCATGAAAGCGCTTAGCGGGAAGTAGGTTCACGCGTACTTCACCTTTTCGTCCACCGGGTCCGTCTGCAGGAAGTAGGTTGAGGAGGCATGCTTTGGTGAGCAGAAGTGAAGAATACATACTTGATATAGTAGGGTTAGGGAGCATCGGATTTAAGCATAAGATGAGTTGGTTACCAGAAGTGAAGAATACGTACTCTCCTGGTAGACAGAAGTCCTAGACAAGAAGATGAGAAGAAAAATAGTAAATAAGTTCCATGTAAATGCTAAACTTTTTCATTTAGACGCAAAAGGAAACAAAGCTTAGCTATCAGTTCAGTACCGCCACCAGGTCGTGCACGAGGCATTCTGTCAATCGGGTTCCGGACATCATGATCGCGCCTGTATTATCATGGAAACAAACAGCATGATGAGGATACAGAGCATGAAATGGATCCAGGGGAAGGTTTCTGAGATAGAAGCATGTTGGAAGTCTCATGAATGGCTCGAAACATAGAGCTTTACCTACATACTAGAGCTTGTTTACCTACATAGAGTAGTACACAGAGCTTTACCTATAAAGTCGGTCCAAATCCAAAATACACTAGACAAAATCGACTAACAAGTACCGGTCTCCACCCCGCAAATCCAAAAAACTTTGTTCATTCAAGATGCGTCTGTTCACTGCTGCCCTGCTCACCAGCTTGACCTTATTTTCGCCACCCGCGTTACTCGACGCTGGACGTAGGTCTACCATTTTTATGCTTACTCGATGGATGTAGATGATTTCGTTGTGGTAGATGATGGATCTCTTGATGTAGATAGTCGATGAGTTGTCCCGCCACCTATATCTTATCATAAAGGTAGCAACTTTGTTCTTCGTCCCGCACAAGAAGATGGTATGCTAAAGCAGGAAATCGTATGCTCGTTTTACTTCTTTATCCTCAAAATTACCAGCAGCAAGAATAACACATGCACCGTTACATTAGACTATCTATTCACAACAACGTCCTCCTGGAGGGGGCTAATCAAAATATAACCTTCATGGGTGGCTGCTATGTGTGCTGAAGAGGGTAGATGTTGTTCACGCAGATCGTTCAGCATGTTCCTGAAAAGAAGATCGCCTTGCTAGTATACGCAAACTTTTCCGTGCACCGTGCAGCGAGTTGTGTTCATACACTTCTTTTTAAATGCTGAAGTTGAAGTAGATGATTGTGATTCTACCCTACTCTCGAAAAGGATAGTAGGCATAGCTGTCGTTCTTCTTGTTGATGATGTAGGCTAATTCGCCTATTACGTCTACACTACTGCAAGGAGATGAAGCAGGCAGAAGAAGGTGTCCATCTTGAACATAGAAGCACTTCTTATTTACATTTTCCCCCGAGCACGACTCGCGAAGGCGACCTGATCATTCAAGGATCGTACACAAGCGATTACGTTGTTGAAGTGGATCGATTCGGCTATCTGCGGACCACCACTAGGACACGAACAAGACGACTACGGCAACACTTCGAACTTCTGATCACAGTCATTTCTACTCCCTGCGTTGCTAGTGGCCTCGAAGAGGGCAAGCCGACCGCGAGCTTCAGGCATCAAGAGCAAACATGTCCCACACCAGAAGAGCTTACCTTCTGAAAAGCAGGTCGGACAAGTCATACGATGATGCGATGAGAGGAGAGAATTGGGGTTGTTGTAGTAGAACTGCAGCAGGTGCAGATGTTGGAATATGGTAGTGTATTGTGAGTATCGATGAAACTAGATGAATGTACTTCTTCTTCTTTTGTCTCTAGTCCGGAATAAACCAGAAACAGCACACAAGAGGAAGTCCTCCGTCTTTACCTCGTCACTCACCTAGCAAGCTCGCCAATTTTGTTCGCAACTCTGCAGATCGTTGACAGCTGGGTGTTGCCATCACTAAAGGCTGCAAAATTTGGCGCAACTTCTTGCTGAATGCTGGTCGCAAAACACTGTCACGGAGTGCAGTCGGATACCTTTCAAAAAGATGACACGCAGTCTCTAGAGTCGTTACCGTCTTCGTTTCTTTCTGCTGATCATGTGTTTTAATAAAACTCCGCAGTACGAAGCTAACCACGCTATAGCTGTCCTCTGATATATGAAAAGCGCGAAACCACCCTGCCGCAACAGTCAAGACGCATATCAGCAAAGTAGAAAGAGGAGGTGGTGGTGGTGAAGGAGATGAATTCGTGCTCTCATATTCCTCCACTTGCCGCTTATACCCGTCGCTTTGCAAGAAGTGCTCTGCTCGGCGTAGAAACCTTACAATCAGCGTCTCAATTACTTCAGCCCACAACTTTTGCTGCTCCTCAGCGGAGTGAGCCGTTGCGTCGTACACTTCTCGTAAAAAGCTGATGATACCCAAGAAAGCGGCTTCTCCTCGTTCGTTTTGCATAGAACGAGGTGAACTTCTAGAGGAAGTTGTAGTTGTTGACATTGTTCCTATCATAGCAGCAACACAAGGGTTCCAACAGCGCAAGAAATAGTGCTCCAAATTCGGCCACACTACTTTATGAAACACCGGCAGCAAAACCTCGCTTGCTGATGGCGTGTCTAGCTCCCGTGCGAAGCCTAAAAAAGCTTGGTACCAGGGTAAATCTTGGACTCTTGTTGTACTTGATGGACTTGAAGATGGTGTAGGTTGAGCAGATGGACCCACTTCTACGCCAGTAAAGCTGCCACTTGACGGCTCTCCCAACAACTTGAGAGGGTCCCAATCCAACATCTCCACTCGAACACTCAGCGACAATGCCTCCACGAGGTGTTTTTTCAGGTGCACTCTATAGAGGTGCGGCGCAGTATCTCGGACTAGGTGAAATTGCTGGAAAACTTCAGCAGCGGTAGGAATTTGACCAGAAAACTGCTTCTCACAGGCACGCTTAAACTTCAAACGGTCTCTCTGGAAGGTTGAGTGGAATTTCTGGATTCGAGAAGACCTAGTAGAACTTCTTGACTCGTCATCCTCCCCTTTGCCAAAGAATACATCTGCTTCCTCGTCTAAACTAGATGCAGGATGTTCACCACGTTTTAAAACTGAAGGCGCAGCAGGTGCAGAAGCTGAGGTCTGAGGCTCTGCTTTACCGTTTGCACTTTCCTTCTTAGAACCGTCCTTATCGTCATCCTCTGTCGTTCCATCACCTTTACGACCCTTTGTTGCGTCTTTTCTTTCCTCCTCCTCGTCCAACGGCTTTTCGCTTCCCTGACAATATGCAGCTTCCATACTCCTTTTCATTTGTTCCGCTTCCGCTACACCTACGGTCTTCGCCTCCAAGGCGTGCGAAAGCTTTTTCGTGAAGGAATCGAATTCCTCCAGGATGAGCTGCGTACTGAGCGAGACTTTCAATCTCCGCTGCAGCCCCTTGAGCTCCTCTGCAGTTGCTTCTACCTCGTTGCGCTCTTGCTTTCGCTTGTCGGACTGCGCACGTGCGGTCACGCGTACTTGGGACAACAAAAGTCGTGCCCGACTACGTCCGTCCCTGGCCGTCCCTAGTTCGGTCAGAGTGTCACTAGTGCTAGGAAGGGGGGCCGCGGGGTTGCTTCGAGCCACCACACCATTGATGATCTTCGCTCCAAATGGTCTTTGCGGATCGTTCTCCATGTGACGTCTACCAAAACCCTCTCCGCCAAACACCATCTCATCGTCAACGCCTGCGGTGTTGATGCCAGTTCTGCCGAAGGTTTCTAGACCCGCAAACTTCATAGCTCGCCGTGCAGCTTTCGCTTCGGCTATCTTATCCTTCATACTCTTGTCGTGGTCCTCATGACCGTCATCTTCACCATCCCTGGTGCTACCACCTCCATACAACTTCCTGTTAATCTTAATAGACGAACCTGCTCCATTTCGTGTATCTACAACAACTGGGCCATCGTCATCTCGATGGAACCCAGAGGTGCCAACTACAACAGGAGCATCCTCAGGGTCAGCACTGTCATCGTCGTCAGAAGAAGAAGATGAACTAGAGGTTCCGGGTGATGCTTTTTTTGATCTTGACGAGGGACGTTTTGACTGTCTTGTCTTCGAAGATGGTCTCATATCGTCTTTTCGCCTCTCTCTTCGGCTAGATGGTCTAGCATTTCTATCGTCATCAGAGTCGTCGCTTCTCCTCCGAGGGGACGATGAACTTCGCCTTCGCCGGGTGTGGTCCTTCTTACTCTTAGATGGAGCATGTGTTGAAGGGCGAGGGTCTTTCCCAGCTCCACGAGGGTCTCTATTCTGGCTCTTCCTTCTACCACTAGTAGATGAAGTTCTCCTAGGAGATTTCAGTTTCCGTTTATCGACGTCTTCACCAACTACGACATCTTCCTCTTCACCATCTACGTCTTTCCCACCTGCTTCTACCCCTCCTGGCTTATCAAACATCCTAGGACTCGTAGCCCACAGGTTGGCTGCCAAATCTGCCTCATCCTCCTCGTGGAGAAAACCAGCACTGTTTTGATCCTTGTCTGCCGTAGACGTAGCGACAAACTCCAACTTGTCGAACTGGAAGTCTAAAGATGGTAAAGCGAAAGTCGCGGAAGTAGTCTCCCCGGGGGGAGGTATTGACGTAGCAGTACTAGACGATCCATTTCTCGTCAGGTTGTTGAAAGAAACAGAAGTGCCTGTCGTGGTCTTGCTCTTCGTCACTCCTAAAGTCGCCTTACTGTTCTTCGCCGTCGTTCTAGAAGTTGGTCTTCTACCATCACTATCGGAGCTAGTGTTCTCATCACCCGAAGAGTCGCGGGACACGGCAACTTTGGCCTTGGCCTTCGCTTTTCCGGCGCCACGCTTCTTGAACATCTTTTCTAATCATAGAAGAGTGTCTGCTGAAAGAAGAAAATTATTTACCCACAGAAAATAGAAGACAAGCTGCCGAAAAACTCTTCTGGCGCTACAGGTCGACTACATCACCTCCTCGTCTTCTCATGCTATGTTATCTAAGCACGCGACCAACATCATCTAAATACTATTTCTTGACTAGTGAAAAGTAGCGTGCCCCTGCTTGGTTGCATACGTGATTTAAAAGGTTGTAACAAAATTAGAACTGCACTTCTCAAAGCAAGAAGACGATAGTTCTGAGATAGTCGTGTATCACACATTCGCAAATGACTATGACCCACACATGAACTCGTGTCACAACATTCAGAATTTTCGCATGCCTCATACCGGTGGCCACATCCACAGGTCACCGCACCATCAACCGCACCACCAAAGGGCTCACTTCATCCATGATCACCATCCAAGACCAGAATTTTTCATGACCACCAAAGGACTCACTTCATCCAAGACAAGAAAGATTCGTCACAAGTAACGCAGCAGCACGTCTTTCCGATATCAGTTTTGGTTTGCATTCTATTCAGTGGCACACTCGCATTTTTTTATTGCTTCACATTATTGATTCTCATCGTATGGGAAAAAACAAGAAACATCCACTGAAAAGCACGAGGACGAAGAAATGCTACACATCAGATGGGCGATCCGTCCTCTACATCATATACAACAATTCCAGTTCTTCGCTGTCCTTCAACTGGTAGAAATTTGCGGTGCGCGACGCTTCGTCGCAAAGCACCCCGACATCCCCAGCTTTTGCGATTTTCCCTGCCGCGTTGCAACATCTATCACCGAGCAATGCCGGGTCACACCAGTTGCCCCTGAAAGTAAGGAAGTACAAGTAGTAGTTCTTGGATGAACTTTTATGGTACTAGCCAATCGGAAATAGAAGAGATCATCTTCCCACACTTATAGAGAAATATTAAATCTCTTACATCAGATACCTCAAAATCGTCCTTCCATCCCGCACAAGCCTGAGATCCGGCAGTCCGATGGGCAAGGCTTGCACCAAATCAGCCGAGTCAGCGTCACGTATTTTCTCCACCGCTTGCTCGATAATCGAGGAGATCTTCAAATTGGCTTTGAAAATTAGAGGAGCAGACAACAAAGACGAAACGCAAGTGCAAGCTGGTCTGTTGTAGTTACACCGACTAGAATCTTGATAGATGAAGCCCCGTCATAACAGTGGAATGGTATACTCCTTGCCACCGAATCGGATCTTCAAGGCCTGACACGTTGATGCGAGAAACAGGCATGGCCACAGCGAAAGACGTCGCCGCATCTTGGTGTCGGTCAGATTACGCTGACGCCGTTAGTCGCTTGCGCCCTGCAGAAAATGCGTCTTGCTCACGCTTACTCATCTACCTCATCTTCTTGTGAATGATAAATACTACGAAAATGATAGTAATGATATACCTTTCAGATGGTCTCTAAATGTTTTTTGACGATGGAAGATATAATTTCCACTTCTTGTCGAGTCCTAGCGCCGTTTTGACTGTTCCCTTCTCATTTTCTCCAACTGGAAAATCTGAAGACGCTACGAGTAGAGTGTAAGTAATCATAAACATCGAACTCTAGAAGTCACTGCATGCGAGGAAGAGTTGTGTCGGCGTGTGGTCTCATCCACACCAAGCATTGATCAGAGGAGTTTGCTGCCGCGCAGCAGCAAGATCTATTGAAGAGGCAAGAGAGGTCCCGACACGTCGTAAAATATATCCCCTTGAATTTTTTCATCTGCTTTATGATCTCTTGTCCTGATACCTTTCCAAAGTCACTATCTCCCCCGGCAAAAACTCTGTCGCACATTCTCGCAAAAGCCTCCCTTTCGTCAGGACTTGGTTCAGTTGACTTTCGGTAGCGAAGCTCACAACTACCACATGCGGCTTCCTTCTAGGAATGTGGACGTCAGAAACGCGTATGCTCGAAAAATGTTGATACAACCACTGCCGTAGACGTCGACGTTGCTCGAAAAGCACAGGAGTGTAAGGAGCTTTTGCTTTTGCAGGAGGTCTCTTTATAGAAGCAGGCTCAGCACCTTCAGCGGCCTCTGCAATTTCCTCCTTTTCTCGGTGTATGTCGTCTGTGTTCTCGCCGTGGTCCTCTAGGGCTGCCAATAACGAGCTTCGTTCCTCCTGCCTTTCCTGCTTACTCCCCTTCGCCTTTTTACTCCCCCCCAAAGCCAACAGTGTATCATCTGCAGCTAGCACACGACGGGTTTTTCGTTCAAGTTCCTTTCGCCTCATAGCGGGAGCTACGAAACGGCCTTTCTTGTCGCCTTTGGCATCTTGAACTTTCGCCTTTTCACCTCTTCTTGCCATAATATCACACTCATCTAATTCAGATGACCCAAACACTTCATCCAATTCAGACTCCAGTTCCGGATCCGGAGACTTCTTCACATAACCAGAACTTGACGAGGCAGTAGCACAATCGTGACTCTCCTTCAATAACCCAGACTCTCCAGTATCAAAATTCCGAGTGAGACGCAGGAAAAGGCGGTATTTCGTTGGCCGTACCTCGGACCCATTGGCGTTTCGAAACATCTTTGCGTTACTCGTAGTTGTTGCACCAGAAGGCCCATCTGGAGTTACGAGATCAACATCGAAAGACCCCTTCTTGAGAGCTACATGATGATCACCACTGCTTGTTCCAACATCCCCACCTAGAAACGGCGACAAAGACGCGCGTTCGTCATCCTCGTCTTCACCAAACAAGGTGGACTCATTGGCAATGGGCATGGTTCGGTCCGAGTCTCCGCCACGGAAAGCTTGTTGTTTGATTCCGCGGTCGTAGTCAAAATCCTTTTGCGTGGCCAGGGTGTTCTTCCCAAAATCGAACGCGCTTTTTGATGAAGCAACTTCCTTATTCGGCACCAACCCCGCCTGTTGAGACCCTGTACTAGACGATCCTTCGATAAGACCACGCCCTTTCTCCAAGCGTCGACGCCGATGTAATTTGGCTTGTTCTGCTAGTCTCACCTCGCGGCCTGCAGCCGCGATAGGGAGGGCGGCCAGGCTCTCTCGCCCGCGTCCGTACGCGAATAAACTACAGCGTGGAGCGGCCATGTTTGTGAACTGTTTTTGTTCTGCGGAAACTTTGATGAAGTCGAAAATCAGACGCAACTCCACGACTCATCAAGTATTTCAATGTTGGCTCCTAAAAGAAAAACAGGCTCTCAATCTTCCAAAAATGTACCTTTTTGCGTCTCAGTCAATGTAGAACCATGGCTAACAACACACCATCGCGGGGAACGAAGACGGAGAAGACGAACACGACAGACACATCCCCAATACTTTGAGGTAGCACAGGGACCGGACGTGCGTGAGTCATAACATCAGAATCAATCTTCTTATATATAGGAGTCCGGGTCTTGGTGCAAAAAGCAAGATCTTGGTAGTTGCAACTAATGGATAGCTAATATAGATGTTTCGATGTTCATTTTCTCTATGTACAGGCTCAAGTTCTATACATACAGATACAGATTCGAATAGGAATAGCTAGGACTCTTCACAAGAAGTAGATCCAATGCTTTACAACTGATAATACTTCCTAATTACCACAATCTACTTTGCTGTGATGAAGAGTTGCTATAAACGATTGGTAAATTTTGTTGTGCTTTTTCGCATACTAATACTGTGAATTCTTGGAAATCGCGGACAACAATGTGTCTCAAGCTCTTCAAGGTGTTCCTATTGGTTAATTTCTTATCTTCAGTAACTCTAACTGTGAACTGCTCGTGGTAGATCTAGATAATATGCACGGTTGCTGTTGAACAGTTCTTCTTGTGTGTATTTGCTCGTTTTTAAGAAGATAATGGATGCTTCGTGTGTACTCTATAACTTCATTTCACTAGTCTGTTCATTGAGTAATATTTTTCATGCTGCGCCTGTAGCATTATCATTGCTACAGATTCCTCTGCTTTGTAACTTGGGATTGATCTTTTCATTTCGATTTCACGCTTTCAAACCGCTACTTGTTCAATGGCTTAGGCATTGGCTTGTTCACCTATCACTTTGTGCTTTGGAATTGTTCTGTTAATTCTTCTGTTCCCGCTTTGTGAGTCACAATATTCAATTTTCTAGGTTCAAATGCTGTAGGTGTTCAAATGATTTAGCTGTTTTTTTTTGTTCAATAATTGTTCAATGTCAACAAATGTTAGTTCAATGTTCAGCACAGTCACCTCCCCCCAGCCTGTCACTGAAGTTAATTTTTGTATCATGCAAGACAGTAAAACGATCGAATTTGGATGAAATGGAAAGCATACGGCCTAAAATTTACCCCTCCCCAGCAAATAAGAAGAACGCGTGCTTTACAAAACAAGTATGCACCTAATTAAATGCTTCGCCTCCATGCTATAATCGCGTTGATCTTACACTACGTGTAGCAGGACAACAAGTACGTTATGAAGATATTTTCTTTCATTCATTCATGCATTTACCTAGCATGAGGCACTAGTTCAAGACTTAATTAGGATGCAAAGGAAAGAAAGAACGACCGTCTTCATCTTGTCCCTATGATGTAGTAGAAGTTCACCTTGTATAGCTTGGCTCTTCCTTTAGACGCCCCCTCCTTTGTACTATAGGATGATCACCGCCACCACCGTACGCCATCACCACCCGTAGAGATATTCTCCAGCATCACTATCACCCCGCCCACTACCCATCTTCCACCAGCCACCTCTCCTACCATCAGCACCTCCACTATCCATCTTACATACTACAAAATCCCCTCCACGACTACAAGTCTCCTCTACTGCAAAATCAAAATCACCTCCACTACAAAATCACCTCCACTTATCGTCCCCATCAGTTACCTCCCACTAGCCACTGCTACTAAACCCCCCACTTATCGTCCTCCACCAGGCTCTTATCGTCCACCACCATTATGGTACCCACTAACCCCCCACTTATCGTCCTCCACCAGGCTCTTATCGTTCTCCACCAGTCCTCCACCAGACTCTTATCGTCCACCTTTGGTGTAGACCGAAGCTGGGTAGACGGGTAGATCCTTGAAAATGTGAGCTGTAGCAGCCAGGTTCGACCCAAGGATACTGCGTCTGTTGATTAGAGCTATAATACCTTCTTTCAACCACCTCTGACCAAACGTATTATTGATTCACATTATTGACGTACTGTTTTATTGCTTCACAATTACTTACAGATATATTCCGAGTGAGTAGAGTGTCCATGATAATCTGTCTGCTCCTTCTTCTGGGAGCGGGTACTCTAACAAAATCCTCTTTCACGACTTTCAAAGTTTTCTACTCCAACTTTAACGGAATTCATTACTTCATTTTCACGTTGGAGTCACTGTCAGTTCATCTATTGAGAAGCCTTAAGATGAGTTGCGGCGCAATGTACCCAATCTCGCACTCCGAAACATCGACATACACATCAACTCCTCCGTGCATCTGCGCAAACGTAGAGGCCGTGGAGCCTGGGTTCGAGACGCTTTGCGTTGTTTGACTCTTGATGGAAGGTTGCTTAGAAGAGAGCTCCTAGGAGGAGGGTGCGAGTTTGATTCTTGATGGAAGGTGGATTAGTAGTTCGTTTCGCAGTGGAGGAAAGGAAATATTATCAGTTACTTGAACGGCGTTGAACGGAACTAAGGTTCAATATGAACACAAGAAGTTGCACTAACAGGGTCGTTCACTATCGAGCTTAACTTTTTTCTTGTTGCGTCGTCGCTGCTTTTTCTTTCCCTCGTCCAGAAAAGACTCGCCACTTTCTCCGTCACCAGTAGTTTCTTCACAGCTTAGAAACACTCTTTCGTGGTAAAAAGATACTCCTTCAAAAGGTAAACATGAGGTCGTTCTTTAGTGGAGAACGCCTATGGTAAAAACTCTAAAAACTTTTTTTTTTATTAACTCATAAGTTTTCGTTGTCTTCGTCCCGTTCATTTTCCTCTTCCTCTTCTTCTCCTACTTCATCTGCTTCTAAAAAAGCCGACTCAGGTGGATCACCATTCGGTTCCGGAAACGCTGGGCGACCGACTTTGTCGTTATAGAAGCAGATGCCTGTAGGTCCTCCATGAGAGACCAATGCATCGGCCACTAGTTCTCGTTCGTCGCCAAGCTCATCCAGACCTTGCAGATCGAAATCTCCTTAGAGTCAGAATCTCATCTCAAAATAGAAGAGCTAGCTTGCCTTCGATCTGTCTTGGTCCTACCCCTTGGTGAGAAGAAAATAGACCTATCTTGGTCCTACATCATCTCACAGTTGTAGCTCTATCTTGGTCCTCTCATCTCAATAGTGCCTTTTCCCTTGTAGGAGAGGATCCGATGGGACGATAGGATGGACTTTTTAGATAAAGTGTCCTTGTATCTTAGATGAAGGGACTAACCTAAGGTATATGAGGGAAAACTAACCGGTTGTATTCTTGTAGTTCTATGGGATGAAGAAAAGGGTAGTAGCGAAGACCCCTTCTCTCTTGTCTTCTTTTATGGGATGAAAAAAAGGGTAGTAGCGAAGAGATGCCTTGCATTTCATTGGAAAAGGGGAGCGATATATTCGTGAAGGGAGAAGGTTTAAAATACTAACTTTGCCATAATGCCCATTCTGTTTCAGCTGGATTGTCTTTTCGGTAGCGATCTTCGTGCCCTCGACCCACCTCTTGACATCCGCAATGTACTCCTTGCTCCAGAAATCTGGATCCATCAAGTGCTAAATTAGAAGAGGGGGGAGAGAAATGAGAAATCCTCTTCAGCCCTCCTTTTCAAGCGGATAGAACCTCAGTGAACGACAATGAAGAGAGCCTGGGTAGTATGCTCAAAACCAAAAAAATCTGCTGCAAGTGCAACCCAATACTAACAAACACAAAAGATGCCCCAAGGTCAATAGTTCTCATCCCCCCTTCCCACAGTAACCTAACTTTGGACTGTACCCCTTGAAGGGGTTAACTACTACTGTAATACTACTACTAGAGACTACAATCAACATACTAGCTTGGGTAGTAGTAGTAGGAGTAGTAGTAGTAGTAGTGTGCCCATTCTGTGTGGGGTATAGAAGAAGTTAATTAGGAAGTGTAAGAGTGAACAGTGTAAGAATGAACATGAAAAGAGACTAGGATGGGAATAACTCACACAGGATAGGACTGGGTCCACCTGCCACAGTAGAAGCCAGTTTCTTCCGATGGTTATGTCAATGCGTATATATTTTCTACAACTTGAAGATGAAACAAAGAAGCAGCAAGCCATTTTCGTTGGTTTTTTTTTCGTGCCACGCTTATCCAGAAAAGAAGAGCTTGTAACGCACTAAGCATTTTCTTTTTCAGTGCTTTTCTAAACATCCCGAAGCAAGTGTCTTCCACCTGGATAGTGTGAAAGTGAAACTAGAAGAAGTCCAGGATCTTATATTAGTCAAGGAGGCAACCAACGAGTGTTCCATGTTATAGCGGAGGATGTATATGTTTATGTAATATGGTGACTCTTAACTCGCGCACTTTGGTCCCGTCGTTCTGTGCCATGCGCTTTTGAAGTGCTTGCACTGCTGATTTTTTGATTAGAGGAAGCAGGTGCCTTCTACTAAAACACCTTCATTATTCTACGACCCCTAGTGACTCATCTTGATGCATTACAATTTTAGCAGTTGCACAACTATCCTTCCTTCTCATCACAAAACTATAGCTGCAGCAAAGCGAACACATATTACACTAAAAAAGTTGTCTAAAAGGACAGCATAAATCAATCCGTTAGGATAGGATAGGATAGGATAGGATGCCTCGGCTGCGCCGTCACATCTCTCGCAACTTCCCACACGAAGAAACAACTCTACTTCATTCAAATCGAATTCTTCAATTCTCAAATCCAGTAGTAGTAGATGACTATACGAAAAAGAGACCATGCGCTTCATAAAAGTGTAGATCCGCCCTTTCTGGCATATGCGGACGTCGCAACGTTTGCGACGAGTTTTGAGTAGGTCCCCGCCGGTTTCATCAGGCTCATAAAGTGCCACGGACTGTACGCGCCTAGGAAAATGCCGCGTGGAACTACGTTAGTTAGAGAGATGCGCGCATTAATTAGTCACTTGTACAGATTAGAGTTAGTTAGTTAGTTAGGTGGGTAGTTAGTTAGGTGGGTGGGTGGGTAGTTAGTTCGTTAGTTCGTTAGTTAGTTAGTTAACATTCCCTCTAACGTTTAGTACCGAGATGTATCCCTCTAACTAACTTCCCTGCAGGACATTCCTGCTGACGTGAAGGGACACAACAGTTCTACCGTTGCATTCTTCTTGAGAATTTGAAAGAAATTTTCCCTGAAGAAGTTGCAGTCTTCTTGAACGTTTTGCTTCCTTGAATATAGTTTTGCTTCCTTCCGACAGGATACAAAAACCACGACCGGTCTTCGCCTTAATTGAGGAAAGTAGGAAAACCACACGCCAAGTATACTAGCGAAAACGTCTGGGTATCGAGGAACAATCCCGAACGCGGAAAACAAGTTGCGGATCGTAGTGCCAGAACGACCAGTTCCCTGAGCCAAGTCCTTTTCGCCTTCAAAGAAATCCGCCATGTAGGTAGCCTGAAGATATAGGGTAGCATGGGATAGGATGGGGTGGGGTGGGGTGGGACAGGATAGGACAGGACTTGGCTCGCCGTCCGCAGGGAGAACCTATATACTCATATATCAAGATGATCAAGTAGATCATTATGACATATTACCATCAATTATCTCGTAAGCCTTAGTAGATGAACTTAAGAAACGACTCTTTTCTTCTAAACAAATTCTTTATCAACCTACAACTGGACTTTGCATGTATATTAAGTAGTCACAAATATTAGCCTCTTGTCCAAGCTATGAACTTCTTCTTCTTGTTTAGGTACTAAAAACTACTTAAAAACACTTACCCATAGTACATAGAAGACACTTAGTAGTACCTCAGACCACCAGAAATTGAATCGGAAGGGGTTCCCGAAGAACAGCTGCTTCGGATTGAAGGCGTACAAAACCGCATTCGTTGCACCAGCCACTACCATGAAACAATACAATACCACACAATGCACTACAATAAACCTCGGACAAAATACAGTGCAGACTGCCCCCGTAAGGGCGTCGTAGTTGTTACCCTTTTCATTCTACTTGAGATTACGTAGTTGTGCGATTACCGTTATCTTCACCCTTTTCATTCTACTTGAGAATAAACTTAAAAACTCAATGATAAGAAACTTTGGCTCCATAACAACGTCCACAATTCGAAGCACCTTCTTTGAATCGAGAAATACGCCAGGTCCTGCTGCGAAATTAGAGAGTCAGCTCTTATTCATCCAGCATCTGCTTGGTTCTACTCATCATCGATCTCCATAGTAGTAAGTGCCTTGTTTTCCCTTGTTTTAGCTTGTATGGGAGCAAAACCAAGAGGGCACCCCCTTTCCTTCCTTGTATTCTTCTATTCTTCTATGGGAACAACTCCAAAATGGTAGACTTAGTATATTCCCTTGTTTTAGCGTGTATTCTTCTATGGGAACCACAAAGAAAAGGGTACCTAGTACTTCCTTGTATTCTTCTATGGGAACCACAAAGAAAAGGGTACTTAGTACTTCCTTCTATTCTTCTATGGGAACTAAAAAGAAGGGGCACTTTTTAGTACGAAAGCGATCAGGCTCGGTTGATTGATTGACATCCCGAGCAGTTCTCCTAGTCTGCCGGCGGGACGAAACACTTCCAACGGTGTGTCCCGAAGGACGGCCGTGGAAGTTTGTAACCTAATGAGGGGGCGTGGGTAATCAATCTGAACTCAGATGGATAAAAGCTGATCCATTCATTCACTCATTCATGATTCAGGGGACCCATAAAATAATTTCTTATTTGTTACCTGGGTCTACAATTCTCGCATATCCTTCCCCGCGAGAAGCCTGAAGGAGAAAATTATCAGAATCTTCCTCATCCACCAGGCCAACAAATTATCAGAACCTTCAGACCCAGGCTTACGAGGAAGCCGAGACTTAGCATCCTCTGCTAGTAACTAGTTCATCCAATGGGCCCATAAAATAATCTTTTTCCCCCAGATGTGGAATGCCTCTCTCCTCCAAGTTTAGCAAGTACTGCTTCTCCCTGCTTTCCAAGTCCTCTCCAGCTTGCTTCGACATTAGAAGGGCACAAAATTATACCTCCGATGAATAATGCTCACTTTCTCATAAGAGATGAACTCCGATGATCAGACGGAAGAATCTACTATCCTAGTACAAGACGGGTAGTAAGTACTATCCTACGAAGGCGGGTGTTGTAATCAAAGAGTGTGTAGTTGTGTCTCCCTAGAGGCGTGTAAAAAATTTCATCATAACAGAAATGCTCGATCCTTGTAGTTGGTACCGTATGGCTTTCCCCATAGCGCATATACTTCCTGCTTCAACAAAGCAAAAAACATGTTCCTTGGTGGTGCGGCGCAAAACCACGGTAACGGATGATGCACAACTTAGAGACGAGGAGCTTGCGTAATCCCAATCTTCTCCAGAGCTGCTCTCTAGATAAAGTGCGAGATGACACTGTTCTGTAGGGTGAATAATGGATGATGCACGATTCATTGATTAATCTTGAGCGTCATCTACTTCCTTTGCGAACCTACGTAAGCATCTAAGCCAAAGATGCTCTTGGGACATGCTCAAATACAAATGCCTGCTTGAATGATAGAGATAGGACCCCTGCTGAAATCCAAGTGCCTTCATGCATTCACTTACCCCAACAGGAAATGTTGAGGCATTTACAACTGTTTGAAGGGATAAGCCTAGGGATAGAGATGAAAACTAACCGGTTGCTTTACTTTAGTGCTTTGAGCGTCGCTGGACCTAAACCCTCAACCTTATAAAAAGGAAGGAGCCAGTCAAGATTTGCAGCGCGCCTCTAACTCAAAGGAGGAATTACCAACTTCCTGCTATGGGAGGAGGTTCAAATAAAGAATTTACCCTAACAAGTGATCGGTCTTCTGCTTGAGGGCATGATACTGTTGAAAGAAGGAATTTACTTTTTAACAAGTGATCGGTCTTCTGCTTGAGGGCATGATACTGTTGAAAGAAGGAATTTGCCTTAAGTGATAGGTCTCCTGCTTGAGGGCATGATTTCTGGGTGCATGAACGCGGTCCCCGTACTCGTTCCAGCAGCGCCTTCCGGAACTTTGATCTTCTTTAGGTCTTGCGGCGCCAGATTCGTGATCAAGGAATCGACCTTGCTTGCCCAAACGGTAAACGCATCAATCCAAATTCCTCCGAAGCGCTCCAATAAGGCAACACGAATCATCTCCTTTCGTCGCATCAGGTTCCGACATTAGAGAAGGGGATAGAATAAACTGGGATAGAACAAAATGGGTAGTTCTTGTCCTTCTATTTTTATTAGGTTATGGATCCTGCCCAGTGAGACCATCATCGGACACAGCGAGGATGTTGGGTGACCTGTGTAAAGCCATAGAGATAAACAAGAAGCACGACTAGTGCGTCTTCTTGGTCTATTCTACTTGGAAGAGTCAACAAGAACTCTTCACTAAACGATCACATAAACACTCTCTCATATAAAGAGAGAGAGAGAGAACTCTTAGTAGCAGTAGCACTATTAGCCGTAGAAGTAGTACTTGGAACCAGTTGTAGTACTCTTACCGAGGTAGCAGTAGTAGCAGTAGAAGTACCACTCTTACCGAGTTCCCTTGTTGTAGCGAGCAAAATCCTTGTTCTTTTGTTAACGTCGAAGTGGAAGCAGTGCTTAGACTTACTTGAACTATGTATCCCTAGTAGTCCTGTTACCAGTCAACATGTACTATCCCTAGTAGTAGTAGTAGTGTACCCATGATTCATGAGGTAGTTCTAGTTGTGTCAAGTAATTTAATTAGTCTACTTTGTCTTCTTTTCATAAACTTTAAATTCTTCTGCACCTCCCTCTTTCACGTCAGCCTGGTCCTGGCCGAAAAAGGTAGTGTAATACTCCGGATACGGCATATTGGCATTTTCCGCACTTCCTCGAAAGTCCACCTCCCATGCCATCAGGAAACTTTTTCTTAGATCAGCGCTAAGGCATTCATTCATTCATTTTTTTTTTCCATAGGACTACATGCTGCCTCCCATTCAACTACTTAAATAACCCACTTACTTGTAGCAATTACAAGGCATAGTACTTCTTCTACTTATAACAGGAACATTCTCACCTCCTCAAACCATCTGAGATAGTTCTTCCACTTGTTGTATCATCTCGGTGCCTTAAGTCAACATTTCCATTCGTGCCATCTCGCAACGTGTTTACGCGCCAGCCTTCTGATTCAGGATGGAGACGGCGTAGATTGTGTACCTGGAGAGAGCAAAGTTCCGAAATGGATTAGAAGAACATTAATGTGTCACTTGATCAGGCTCATGTGCTTCATGTCTAACCCTCCCTGGTCAAGTGATCTGACGCAAATCTTACAAAGAGCAACGGAGACCGCCTCGTGGTAAGAACTTATCTTCTTATAATCATGCTAATCTAGTCGAGAACCAAAGGCTCCTCAACTGTTGTGCCTCCCAACTGTTGCGCGATTTTCAAAAGGGCGCTTCTTCTAGTATTTCATTCAACGTAGTATCTAATCCATCCAGTATCTATACCTGGAAAACCTCCATTGGTGTTGGTTCGGGTGAGATGTAAACCCAGATCTTCCTTGGAACCCAGTTCATGTGCTGGTGCAACCAAAGCAAGTAAGGCTGGTTGAAATTGTGGTACATCGGCGCTGCTGAAAGATCCGACAAAACTTCCTTCTGCGCTGGTGACGGAACCTTCGCACTGACAAACTGCTTCTCGGGCCGCATCTTGTGCTTCCATTAGAAGAGGTGGAGGTGGAGGTGGAGGTGGAGGTGGTGGTGGTGGTGGTGGTGGTGGTGGTGGTGGAAGGGGAAACGGAAATGGAAGGAACAGGTAGTGGAATAGAGATGGGGGTGGTGTGGCCAAATTATAGTAGAAGAGTTTATCCAGCAAAAACCACTTACGATTTACGGTCGTGTTGCTTCTCTGTTCGTTGTGGCCGCTTGATGTTTTCTCCCCGACCAAGAACAATTCCATGGCTCCTTATGACCAATTCCATGCCCCCTTATTACAAGAATAAGACTCGGGATTGATCATCATTCCGTGTTAGTTTGCCGTAACGAAACGCTTGCCGAAACTGGCCCACTTTCCCTTCTCGACGTTGTAAAAAACCACTTGGTTGCGACGTCAGTGCATCCAGATCCCTCCTTTTCATCAGCATGAAACCAGGCTCGCAGACGTGTTCGCTCTTTTTATCTGCTTGCATTAGAGACAGAGAGAGGATGCTAATAGTAGTAGTACTAGTCAAACTATAGCCCCGTCTGCTATAAGTAGTACACACGACTCGCAGATTGATTGCTATAAGTATTACAACTTGAGCTACATAATTCCTGCAACAGCATGTTGATCCCTGTTTTCGTGTATCTATTGGAAAAATCGCCGAGGACTTAATGAGCGATGACCTGAGTTGTGGTCCTCTTCGGAATTTATTATTTCCCTCTAAGAACTACAACTTGTAAGGGGACGAATCCACGGAGGAACAT